CAGCAGCAGCCTGCAGTGGCGGCCGCTTCCCAGCAGCAGCCTGCAGTGGTGGCCGCTACCCGGCAGCAGCCCGCAGTGGTGGCTGCTACCCAGCAGCAGCCCGCAGTGGCGGCTGCTACCCAGCAGCAGCCTGCAGTGACGGCCGCTTCCCAGCAGCAGCCCGCAGTGGAGGCCGCTTCCCAGCAGCAGCCTGCAGTGACGGCCGCTTCCCAGCAGCAGCCTGCAGTGGCGGCCGCTTCCCGGCAGCAGCCCGCAGTGGCGGCCGCTTCCCAGCAGCGGCCCGCAGTGGCGGCCGCTTCCCAGCAGCAGCCCACAGTGGCGGCCGCTACCCGGCAGCAGCCTGCAGTGGCGGCCGCTTCCCAGCAGCAGCCCGCAGTGGCGGCCGCTTCCCAGCAGCAGCCCGCAGTGGCGGCCGCTACCCAGCAGCAGCCCGCAGTGGCGGCCGCTTCCCAGCAGCAGCCTGCAGTGACGGCCGCTTCCCAGCAGCAGCCTGCAGTGGCGGCCGCTTCCCAGCAGCAGCCCGCAGTGGCGGCCGCTTCCCAGCAGCAGCCCGCAGTGGCGGCCGCTTCCCAGCAGCAGCCCGCAGTGGCGGCCGCTACCCGGCAGCAGCCCGCAGTGGCGGCCGCTACCCGGCAGCAGCCTGCAGTGGCGGCCGCTACCCGGCAGCAGCCTGCAGTGGCGGCCGCTTCCCGGCAGCAGCCCGCAGTGGCGGCCGCTACCCGGCAGCAGCCCGCAGTGGCGGCCGCTTCCCAGCAGCAGCCCGCAGTGGCGGCCGCTTCCCAGCAGCAGCCCTCAGTGGCGGCCGCTTCCCAGCAGCAGCCTGCAGTGGCGGCCGCTACCCAGCAGCAGCCTGCAGTGACGGCCGCTACCCGGCAGCAGCCTGCAGTGACGGCCGCTTCCCAGCAGCAGCCCGCAGTGGCGGCCGCTACCCGGCAGCAGCCCGCAGTGGCGGCCGCTTCCCAGCAGCAGCCCGCAGTGGCGGCCGCTTCCCAGCAGCAGCCCCCAGTGGCGGCCGCTTCCCAGCAGCAGCCCGCAGTGGCGGCCGCTTCCCAGCAGCAGCCCGCAGTGGCGGCCGCTTCCCAGCAGCAGCCCGCAGTGGCGGCCGCTTCCCAGCAGCAGCCCGCAGTGGCGGCCGCTTCCCAGCAGCAGCCCGCAGTGGCGGCCGCTTCCCGGCAGCAGCCCGCAGTGGCGGCCGCTACCCGGCAGCAGCCCGCAGTGGCGGCCGCTACCCAGCAGCAGCCCGCAGTGGCGGCCGCTTCCCAGCAGCAGCCCGCAGTGGCGGCCGCTTCCCAGCAGCAGCCCGCAGTGGCGGCCGCTTCCCGGCAGCAGCCCGCAGTGGCGGCCGCTTCCCGGCAGCAGCCCGCAGTGGCGGCCGCTTCCCGGCAGCAGACCGCAGTGGCGGCCGCTACCCGGCAGCAGACCGCAGTGGCGGCCGCTACCCGGCAGCAGCCCGCAGTGACGGCCGCTACCCAGCAGCAGCCCGCAGTGGCGGCCGCTTCCCAGCAGCAGCCTCCAGTGGCGGCCGCTTCCCAGCAGCAGCCCGCAGTGGCGGCCGCTACCCGGCAGCAGCCCGCAGTGGCGGCCGCTTCCCAGCAGCAGCCTGCAGTGGCGGCCGCTTCCCAGCAGCAGCCCGCAGTGGCGGCCGCTACCCGGCAGCAGCCCGCAGTGGCGGCCGTTACCCAGCAGCAGCCCGCAGTGGCGGCCGCTACCCGGCAGCAGCCCGCAGTGGCGGCCGCTTCCCAGCAGCAGCCCGCAGTGGCGGCCGCTACCCGGCAGCAGCCCGCAGTGGCGGCCGCTACCCGGCCGCAGCCTGCAGTGGCGGCCGCTACCCAGCCGCAGCCTGCAGTGGCGGCCGCTTCCCAGCAGCAGCCTGCAGTGGCGGCCGCTTCCCAGCAGCAGCCTGCAGTGGCGGCCGCTTCCCAGCAGCAGCCTGCAGTGGCGGCCGCTCCCCAGCAGCAGCCTGCAGTGGCGGCCGCTTCCCAGCAGCAGCCCGCAGTGGCGGCCGCTTCCCAGCAGCAGCCCGCAGTGGCGGCCGCTTCCCAGCAGCAGCCCGCAGTGGCGGCCGCTACCCGGCAGCAGCCCGCAGTGACGGCCGCTTCCCAGCAGCAGCCTGCAGTGACGGCCGCTTCCCAGCAGCAGCCCGCAGTGGCGGCCGCTTCCCAGCAGCAGCCTCCAGTGGCGGCCGCTACCCGGCAGCAGACCGCAGTGGCGGCCGCTACCCGGCAGCAGCCCGCAGTGGCGGCCGCTACCCGGCAGCAGCCCGCAGTGACGGCCGCTTCCCAGCAGCAGCCTCCAGTGGCGGCCGCTTCCCAGCAGCAGCCCGCAGTGGCGGCCGCTACCCGGCAGCAGCCCGCAGTGACGGCCGCTTCCCAGCAGCAGCCTGCAGTGGCGGCCGCTTCCCAGCAGCAGCCTGCAGTGGCGGCCGCTTCCCAGCAGCAGCCCGCAGTGGCGGCCGCTACCCGGCAGCAGCCCGCAGTGGCGGCCGTTACCCAGCAGCAGCCCGCAGTGGCGGCCGCTACCCGGCAGCAGCCCGCAGTGGCGGCCGCTTCCCAGCAGCAGCCCGCAGTGGCGGCCGCTACCCGGCAGCAGCCCGCAGTGGCGGCCGCTACCCGGCCGCAGCCTGCAGTGGCGGCCGCTACCCAGCCGCAGCCTGCAGTGGCGGCCGCTTCCCAGCAGCAGCCTGCAGTGGCGGCCGCTTCCCAGCAGCAGCCTGCAGTGGCGGCCGCTTCCCAGCAGCAGCCTGCAGTGGCGGCCGCTTCCCAGCAGCAGCCTGCAGTGGCGGCCGCTTCCCAGCAGCAGCCCGCAGTGGCGGCCGCTTCCCAGCAGCAGCCTGCAGTGGCGGCCGCTTCCCAGCAGCAGCCCGCAGTGGCGGCCGCTACCCGGCAGCAGCCCGCAGTGACGGCCGCTTCCCAGCAGCAGCCTGCAGTGACGGCCGCTACTCGGCAGCAGCCTGCAGTGGCGGCCGCTACCCGGCAGCAGCCTGCAGTGACGGCCGCTTCCCAGCAGCAGCCTGCAGTGACGGCCGCTTCCCAGCAGCAGCCTGCAGTGACGGCCGCTTCCCAGCAGCAGCCTGCAGTGGCGGCCGCTTCCCAGCAGCAGCCTGCAGTGGCGGCCGCTTCCCAGCAGCAGCCCGCAGTGGCGGCCGCTACCCGGCAGCAGCCCGCAGTGGCGGCCGCTACCCAGCAGCAGCCTGCAGTGACGGCCGCTTCCCAGCAGCAGCCTGCAGTGGCGGCCGCTTCCCAGCAGCAGCCTGCAGTGGCGGCCGCTTCCCAGCAGCAGCCTGCAGTGGTGGCCGCTACCCGGCAGCAGCCCGCAGTGGTGGCTGCTACCCAGCAGCAGCCCGCAGTGGCGGCTGCTACCCAGCAGCAGCCTGCAGTGACGGCCGCTTCCCAGCAGCAGCCCGCAGTGGCGGCCGCTTCCCAGCAGCAGCCTGCAGTGACGGCCGCTTCCCAGCAGCAGCCTGCAGTGGCGGCCGCTTCCCGGCAGCAGCCCGCAGTGGCGGCCGCTTCCCAGCAGCGGCCCGCAGTGGCGGCCGCTTCCCAGCAGCAGCCCACAGTGGCGGCCGCTACCCGGCAGCAGCCTGCAGTGGCGGCCGCTTCCCAGCAGCAGCCCGCAGTGGCGGCCGCTTCCCAGCAGCAGCCCGCAGTGGCGGCCGCTACCCAGCAGCAGCCCGCAGTGGCGGCCGCTTCCCAGCAGCAGCCTGCAGTGACGGCCGCTTCCCAGCAGCAGCCTGCAGTGGCGGCCGCTACCCGGCAGCAGCCCGCAGTGGCGGCCGCTTCCCAGCAGCAGCCCGCAGTGGCGGCCGCTTCCCAGCAGCAGCCCGCAGTGGCGGCCGCTACCCGGCAGCAGCCCGCAGTGGCGGCCGCTACCCGGCCGCAGCCTGCAGTGGCGGCCGCTACCCAGCCGCAGCCTGCAGTGGCGGCCGCTTCCCAGCAGCAGCCTGCAGTGGCGGCCGCTTCCCAGCAGCAGCCTGCAGTGGCGGCCGCTTCCCAGCAGCAGCCTGCAGTGGCGGCCGCTTCCCAGCAGCAGCCTGCAGTGGCGGCCGCTTCCCAGCAGCAGCCCGCAGTGGCGGCCGCTACCCGGCAGCAGCCTGCAGTGGCGGCCGCTTCCCAGCAGCAGCCCGCAGTGGCGGCCGCTACCCGGCAGCAGCCCGCAGTGACGGCCGCTTCCCAGCAGCAGCCTGCAGTGGCGGCCGCTTCCCAGCAGCAGCCTGCAGTGGCGGCCGCTTCCCAGCAGCAGCCCGCAGTGGCGGCCGCTACCCGGCAGCAGCCTGCAGTGGCGGCCGTTACCCAGCAGCAGCCCGCAGTGGCGGCCGCTACCCGGCAGCAGCCTGCAGTGGCGGCCGCTTCCCAGCAGCAGCCCGCAGTGGCGGCCGCTACCCGGCAGCAGCCTGCAGTGGCGGCCGCTACCCGGCCGCAGCCTGCAGTGGCGGCCGCTACCCAGCCGCAGCCTGCAGTGGCGGCCGCTTCCCAGCAGCAGCCTGCAGTGGCGGCCGCTTCCCAGCAGCAGCCTGCAGTGGCGGCCGCTTCCCAGCAGCAGCCTGCAGTGGCGGCCGCTTCCCAGCAGCAGCCTGCAGTGGCGGCCGCTTCCCAGCAGCAGCCCGCAGTGGCGGCCGCTTCCCAGCAGCAGCCTGCAGTGGCGGCCGCTTCCCAGCAGCAGCCCGCAGTGGCGGCCGCTACCCGGCAGCAGCCTGCAGTGACGGCCGCTTCCCAGCAGCAGCCTGCAGTGACGGCCGCTTCCCAGCAGCAGCCTGCAGTGACGGCCGCTTCCCAGCAGCAGCCCGCAGTGGCGGCCGCTTCCCAGCAGCAGCCTGCAGTGGCGGCCGCTACCCGGCAGCAGCCTGCAGTGGCGGCCGCTTCCCAGCAGCAGCCCGCAGTGGCGGCCGCTTCCCAGCAGCAGCCTGCAGTGGCGGCCGCTTCCCAGCAGCAGCCTGCAGTGGCGGCCGCTTCCCAGCAGCAGCCTGCAGTGGCGGCCGCTTCCCAGCAGCAGCCTGCAGTGGCGGCCGCTTCCCAGCAGCAGCCTGCACCTGCTGTGGAGGTGGCCCCGCTCCAAACGTTACAGCTGCCACCGGCCACGGGTGGTTCAGCTGGCCTGCGTGGTAGCTTGCTGGGCGCCTGCCAGGACGCCTCCACCCCACCTTTCACCCCTCGGTCCAAGCGCGACCCCCGCCGCGCGCTGCACTGTCACCAGCCCATCGCAGGTGGCCTGCGGGGCTCCCAGATGCCAGCAGCAGCAGCAGCAGCGCTTGATAAGGCGGTTGCGGTTGATGGGAGCCCTGCTGTTGCCGCTGCACCCGTCGTGCCTTCTATGGCTGCTGCTGCTGCTGCTGCTGCTGCCACCGGAAACACTAAACCAGCAGCAGCAGCGGGGGCAGCAGCAGCAGCTGCTACTGCAACGGGTGCTACTGCAATGGGTGTGGCTGCAGATGCATCCCTGCCCCTCAGCAGCGAGCCGACAGCGCCAGCAAGGGTCCAGATATGCAATATGCTGCAGGTTGCACCACGAGTATGGCCGCCGCCCCCGGCTGGCCTTGATGCCCGGTCACCTCTGCTTCAGCCGGTGACCCATGGGTCATCTGGGTCGCTGCCCGCGCCTGTCACTGGTGGGAGTGCTGGTGCGGCTGGTGGTGTGGGAGCCGCTGCTGCCACTGGATGCTACGATGGTGTTCCGCCGGGTCCCAGACGGATCCGTCAAACGAGGGTGGTAAGGAATAGGGTCAGAGGTTTAGGGTAGGGTACCCATCCACACTACGTGACATGCAAATGTGGCCAAGCGGGCCCTGTAAACGGGGCTGGCGTTACAGGGTCCCGGCACCCTGTCATACTTGGGTACGACAGTTCCCTCACAACGATGTTAGTGTGGAGCGTTGCCACGTCATGCTGCCATACTCGCTGCCGCCGACACATTGCTTGGATGCCCTCCTGCCATCCCACAGGGGGCGGCGCTGAACCCTGCTGCTCCAGGCGCTGCTGGACCGGCTGGCAACCCGCCAGCAGCGGCAGCAGTACCCGGTACGGCACTGATGCCTGCTGGTATGGCAGCCGCACCTGCCAACACATCAGCAGCACTTGGTACGGTAGTGCAACCCTGCACACCGGCCTTATCGTGGTTCCCCTCACCGGTTGCTGCTGCTTATGCTGCTCTTGTTGCTCTTGCTGCTGGTGCCGACGCATCATCAGGAAGCAGCACTCAGCTGCCAGCAGCACTTGCAGCGGGCTTGCAGCCCCACCAGCAGCAGCCGGCGGTGTCTGATGAGCAGGAGGGAGTGCATGCGGGGGCAGCAACAGCGAATGCTGCTGATGCTGCTGCTGCTGCGGCGGTGGTGGCATCTACACCCGCCTGCCAGCTGCAGCCGCCGTGCATGCCGCCGCAGCTGCTGGCGCCCCCAGTAGCTCCGGAGCCGCAGCACCAGCCGCCTCAGCAGCAACAACTCCAGGAGCTGCCGCAACAGCAGCAGCTGCAGCAGCCACCCATCCCCTCGCCGCTACAGCCGCAGCAGCCCGCCGCTGGCACGACGTCTCCACCGCATCTCATCACCTGTCTGCAGCAGCAGCAGCGGATGCAGCACCAGCGGATGCAGCAGCAGCGGCCGCCACAACAGTGGCAGCAGGATTTTCCTTCACCCACACCCCAGCAGGGGCTGCTGGAGAGGCCGAATCTGGACATGTTCATGAGACTGCGGGGATCGAGTGGCAGCGAGGGTGGCCCGTCCAGTGCTGCTGCTGCTCCTGGTGTTGGTGGCGACACCATGTCTGCTGGAGAGGTAATCCGGCCAACTGCTGGGCATGGCGCTGCTGGTTGTGCCTTGCCTGTTCCGGGCACTGGCGGCTTTTGTGAGGATGTCGGCGGTGCTGCCGGCGCGGATGGGAGAAGCAGCTGGGGCATTAATGATGGGAGTGAGGTTGATGACGATGACGAGCCAGCTGAGGACGGTGAGAACGGCGGCGGCGGCGGCGGCGGTGGTGGCGGTGACAGTGGTGGTGACAGCGGCGGACAGCATGGCCTTGACGGTGGCCTCAACCGTGATGGCCAGGGCGACATCCTCAACCGTGAGGTAGCGGAGGCAGGGGAGGCTCGAGGAGGGCAGCAGAAGGTGGGTTTTGCAATCAAGGTGCTGGCTCATCAAATTGCGTGGTCTGTAACGGCATATGTAGATCCACATTCTCATAGAGCGTGTAACCCCTGCCCCGCTTCCTGCCCGTCGCTCTTAACAGGTCATGCAGCAATGCACGCCTGCTGGCGGGGGTGCACACGAGCAAGCAGCGGCTGCTCCTGCTGCTGGGCCCTCCAGCAGCCGGGCCGCCTCCTCCTCGCATGTGCGCGTTAAGCAGAAATGGATCGGGAAAAGCCACCTGGCGCTCAGCATGCATGATGCCCGCAAGTGGTTCGGGGAACCGTTCACTGAGGCCCAAGTGCAGGTCAAGGTACGAAGATGCAGGCCATGCAGTTGGAGACATGCAGGGGTGGCTTTCACCCACCGGTACCGGTATTTATCTTTTGATGTCCCATCAAGGGACCACATACACACGTCGTGTGTTTTCAGCTGTACTGGCCCTCACGCATGTGTGGCTAGCTGTACCGATCCTGACATCACAACTTCCCGACTGCTGTATGCAAGCACCCTTCCTCCACGCATCTTCCTGCGTTTCACCAAAGCCGCCAATTCCCAATGCGCTCTCCACCCCTAGATCGTAATGGATGGTCTGGCTCAACACCAGCAACACGACGTCACCTTTGCTCATGATGCCAAGCAAAGGAAATGCGCTGTCAAAGGAACCAGCGTGCACAGGGCTGCACGCGGCAAGTGGTTCGTGCGCTGGAGCCGCCCCGACCCCCAGGGCCCCGTTGAGCTGCACCTGCGCTCCGCGCCAGGGCGGTGGAGTGGCACGAGGAAGCGCCGCCAGGTGTGTTCGATATGAGGCCACAAGTGCGTTTGCGGCGGGTCGTTTAAAAGCCGTGCCTACCTCCAAGCATGCAGGGAAGAAAGTACGACAGTATATGGTCACTGCTGTACACGCATAAACGGAGGAGGCCTGTAGGGGACCCCGACGCAGACTAACTTTGGTTCTTATAGTGTCCTTGGCCCCCTGGCTCGTACGGGCACACTGTACACGCGTACAGACTGTAACTGTAACTGTAACTGCGTATCTTGCCCGATGTCCTGTCTGCTGACCCATGGGTCCGTATGGACGTGCTCATCCTTGTTGGTCCATTGCCCAGGGCGGTTCGGCGCTTGAGGCTGCAAGGGAGGGACAGGAGCTGGACGAGACGGCGGCCACGGATGAAGCTGCTGGAGGGGCAGCAGGAGGGTGTGACAGGTCGCTGCAGGCTGGGGAAGGAGGCGGGAAGAGCCGGGATAAGCGGAGGCGTTATTGCATGGAGGAGGGGCAGGTGGATGGAGAGGGGGAGGAGGAGCAGGTGAAGGAGGAGGAGCAGCAGCAGAAGACGAAAAGAGTGGATTGACCCATGGGTCCGGTGAGCTCTGAAGTACCGGTATTGCAAGTTGTTAGTACCAGGCTTGCAGGAAGTAATAAGGTCCTGGGAGGCGTCTAGAAGGGCCTTCTACACTTCAGTTGGAGGGGCATTGGCAGCAGTTGCCTGATAACGCTGCACCTACCTACCAGAGCATGCCGGTAAGAGGATACTTTTGTCCAGAATGCTGTGTATGTTAGCCGCACTCTTGCCCTTCCTACGCATGCATGTGTGCGATGTGCCAGGGGGGGCAACATGCAACAAGGGGGGCAGCAGGGCCGGGCAGCGGTGTGCCCTTAGGTGCCGGCATGAGTCCCCAGGGGCCGCCCTCCTACCCCACTTTACGGCGGCAGTTTAATTAAGGGGTTCACTCCTTGAATGAATGAGCGCTACAATCGTTTCTTAGGAATGCGCTTTGCCTAGTGGCATATGATGTGCGATGGTTCTGTGGATGCACAGGAAGCGTGACGGGGTTTGCTTGACCGGAAGGTGTCGAGGGAAGTTGTTGGAAAGTACGGCCGAATCCTTTATTAACGGTTCAACAGCCAAGGGTCCGCACTCCCAACACCTTTCCCTCGCGCTCTGCATACGTTGTAAGGATTTGGTTTTTTTTGTTAAGCGGGTGTGACTGTTATTTAGGCTTTTAACCAATTGGAATGTGACAGGCTGACAAAAAGAACGGATCATTTGTGATGACGATTTGCCTCCGGCCTTCATTCCCGACCAGACATCCAAATAACAATAATTTTCTTCACATCCAGCGTTCCCACGGCTTCTCCAGCCTGCTCCTACCCTTACCAACGCTCGCAAAAAGCCCTAAACACGCTTTTATCGCCGCATCAGCAATGTCCGAGCTAAGCTCCCCAACCGCGCAGCCAAACGGCCCAGTCCGCGAAGTTGCTTCCACTGCTCGCGTGCGTGTGTTCAGCGCTGCTGAGGATCCCGAAGGCGCCAAGCAGTGCATTGTCACGATCGGTCAGGTGCGTGAGACCGATGTGTAAGCAGCCGCCCTGGAAGCCTCGGGCGCCCGACTCGACCCCCATCCGGCTCCCCAAAAGCTACTCCCTCCCTTCGCCTTCTGCCACCGCAGTAGTGCCATCCAAACACCTGTACCACCTCCCCAATCCCCGCAACTCACGCACGCATCTTCCTGCTCCTCCTCTTCCACCTCCACGCCCTCCTTCCCATACCGGCACTTCCGCGGCTCCCCTCGGCTACAAACTTACACTCCCTCTCATCATACCCCCCCCCATTAGGGCTTCGCTTCCGAGCCTAACAACGACTTCTACTGCGCCGACGCCTCCCTGCACGGCAGCCGCTGGCAGGCCATCGCCTCCAATACGCTCCTGCGCAGCCCTCCGCACGTGCGCCTGTTGCACAGTGTTGCAGGCGGCGGCCCGGAGGGGGAGCATGCAGCGGTGGCCTTCGCCTATTCCTACCCAGAGGACAAGGGTAGGGCGTAAGCTGGGCTGGGAAGGAAGGGGTTCGGCGGGTGTAAGTTGTGGGGTGCTGTTGGGGCCTGTGAACCGTAGACAGGCCGTCCGTCCCGCTCCGCTGCTTGCTTGCGGCGCCGCGACGCACTCCCTCTCGCCTTTCCTCCTGCTGTTCCCTTACCTCCTGGCCTCCAGCGGGGCTTTGCAACATTGCACGTTTGCATGCTCCTACGCTCGCTGTCCCCGGCCCTCGCTGCCCTCCACCTCACACCTCACACCCTCCGTCCCCCAGCCCCCGAGGGCGACCCCGACCCGCCCGGCACCATTGACCTGTCCACCTCCACTCGACCCGAGAGCATTCCCGTACGGGACGAGATGCTGTCGTACCTCTCGGCGAAGAAGGCGGAGTTCCATGAGGTGCTGTGCGGGGCGGGGTAGAGAGCATGTGAAAGAGCTGGCTGCTGTTGCCAGCTTTTGCAGCCTCTTTTTGTAGTCTCTTAGAGTCGTACTATATATATATATATATAACCCACGTGCGTTGGGAATACTGGCCGCAAGTCGAAACGTACTGTGATTGCTGCGCGTGTGCCCACGTGTGTATGTGTGTGATGTGCTTCACTGAACCACTGGTCATCCATCCGACGTACCGTACTTGGACCCGCCCGCAGACCCACGGGTCATTCGGGTACATCGCCTTCCTCGCCACCCGCCCCGAGTGGCGCGGGCGGGGTCTGGGGTCCCGCCTGCTGAGGCACCTGACGGACAAGTGAGTCAGAGAGAGGCAACGAACCCGCTATAGTCCCTCTCGCTTTTCACATACAAGAAGTAGTGTTTGCCGTACCACTGTTGACGTACCAGTACCCTTGCCGTACTTGTTCGTACCCTACCATAGTTGGTTTATTTACCCGTACCGCCGTACGGAACCCCACCCTTTCGCTGCCCAGGGCCGACGCGGCGGGTCGGTGGTGCTACCTAGAGGCGACCAATGAGGACAACGCGCGACTCTACCAACGGTACGACAACGGGGTTGTCTTGGTCGGTTGGTGGGTGGGTTGGTTTGTCTGGTATCTACGTGTTTGGTTGCTCGGTGTTTATACACCTGTCACGGTCTATACCCTCATCTTTTTTACGGCGAGTGTGGCCGCGTGCGCTATGAAAACTAGCCGCGAGTCAGAACGTACTGTGATTGCCGGAAGAGGAAGTCCCGCTGAAAAATACCACACTGTGTGCAATGCGTTCATATGCTGATGTGCGGTGTTGTACGGCGCACTGGCATCACTGGGAACCGTTACTGTAACGGCGGGTCAGTTAGCCATCCACCCCATCCATCCATGCAGGCATGGCTTCCGTACGATCGAGACCAAGGTTTGGACTCTGGAGTGCCTGCCTGGGAGGCGCGTCATGCTGCTGCCTATGAGCCGACCTCCCTCACGCTCCCCCTGAGGGCAACAATGAGGGACGAGGAAGCTGCAAGTGTATCCATTGGCTCCACCATGATGGCCCCCTTGCGAGGGGGCAGGGGATTGGGGCAGCGGCCTGGAGGAGGGCGGAACCCCAGGAACCCCTAGGTTGCTCCATTGTACCAGGTCTAAGCAGCAGTTGCTGCGTCCTTCGGGGATTACATGCTTTACGATGCACAAGTTTACATAGCTGCGGTGTGCAATGCGACAGCGTTGGGTAAGGTATACACTGTTCGCCTCTTGATGAGCCCTCCTGAACCCGGCAACGGTTTGTTCCAGCCGTAAAGGGAACTGTGGTCTGCATGGTTGGTGAAGGAATCATCAGCGTGCGCTACATGGACGACATGTACGTGAGGACGCCTGTGTACGGCAGGGATAATGGTGACTTTTGAATGAATCCAGAGCTGCTGCAACAGCGGATACTATGACTCCAACCAGCAGACCATGCAGCACGAAAATCGCAAAACGGAAGAATCGCCGACAGAATAAATTGTAAAAGGAACCTTCCACCTCTACCCTCGAGCGACACCGCATCACCGCTCATCACTACCCTATCCCCATTCCGGTCTTCGCCCTCACTTTCCGCGCCCCTTCCCCTTCTTCACACCCCCACCCGCCCCGACCTCCTCCTTCCCCCGCTTCCCCTTCCCCTTCCCCCCCCTCCCACCACCCCTCACCACCCCGCCCTCCACCACCAACTGCCGTACTTGCTGTGCCACCACCGGCCACATCCGCATCAACGTCGCGTGCTGTGTTTTGGGCAGCCACGCCGCCACCTCCCGCTGCAGCAGCGCGGGTTGGGCCGCCCATGCTGCCCTCAGAGAGGCAGCCGAGTCCACTTTGGCTCGTGTGAGTGCGGATAGCAGCTCGCCCACCCGCACCACCCCGCGTAGCTCCGGACGGAGTAACATGGAGGGAGCCGCCATCAGGTGCGGTCGCAGCTCTGCAGGGGAGGAGGAGGGGGTAGCAGTGGGAAGTCGGTGGCAGGCAGTTGAGTCAGGTGTTCGATGTGTGATCATTTCAAGGAAAAAGGCGCGAGCGATGGGCGAACCGAGCAAGGTAGTAACCGCAAAGCCCCTTTTCCCTCTCCCCTCCTCGCAATCCATTACAACTAACCCCAGCCCACATGCACATCAATACCGCCCCCACCTCCTCCTCGCTACCCCACCAACCCCATTATTATCACCACCAACATCATCATCCTCGCCACCAGCACCCACCTGTCATGCACGGCGCCACCCGCCCCTCCAGCAGCGCCGCAGCGAACCCCGCCGCCCGCTCCCTCGCCTCCGGGTGCGCCCCCATGACGGGCGGCAGCGGCCAGCCGTGCAGCCCGTATCGCGCCTCCCGCCAGCAGACCACAGAGTCCAGGGGGGGCGGGCGGTAGGTGGCGGGCGGCTCGGGGAGCGGGGTGGCGGACAGCCTGCAGAGGGGCGTGCCGCACTCGGATAACCACTCGGGCTGAGTGGAGAAGGCGGGCGGGGAGGAAGGGAGGGAGGGAAGGAGGGGAAAGAGATCAAAGGAAGTGTGGGGGTTGGGGTTTTAGGTGGCAGCTCCCAGCTCACCCCTGCCCTCCCCCATCCTCCCCTCCCCTAGATGCCACCCTACCACCCTCCCCTCCTCGGGATTGGGACTTCGCGGATGCACTTATCTATATTTTCCTCCCACCGCGCCTCACCTCAATCGCAGTCAGCCCTGCCATGTAGGTCCGCTTGTCGGTCCGCAGCAGCTGTGCATACACCAGCAGCTCGGGCGCGTCCCCATGCAGCGAGGAGCGGGGGTGCAGGAACACACCGGTCTCGGCGGCGGCGCAGGCGGGCTGGTAGCGCACCGCGTGGCGCTTGCGCCTGGGGCATGGAGGGGGGGGAGAAAATGTTAAGTGCATGGAGGAGGGGAGAAGGAGATGTTAAGTGCATGGGGGGAGGGATCAATGAGAAGTGCATGGTGGTGGGGGTGGGGGTGGGGGCCATGGGGGTAAAGATAAGGAAACTGAGGGAAAATGGGGTTACGAACGAGAGCCGGAGGGAACGGGGTTGGCTTCTGCGAGATCTTCATCTTGGGAGGTTGGTTGCGAAACCCATAAGCATGATGAAAACCCACATACCCCTCCATCAAACCCACCCACCACCCACACCCACCACCCACACCCACCACCCAACCCCTCTCCCAGCCCCACCTGCTCTCCCCCAGCTGCGCCAGGTACTCCGCGCTGCGCACCCGCCGCGCCACCTGGTCGGCCCACCCAGCCGCCAGCGCCCGCCGCAGCACCCCCGCAACCCGCTCCGGAAGCCAAAACGACACGTCGGCACCTCCTCCACCTCCTCCGCCTGCACCTCCCCCACCCGCACCACCAAGACCCGCTGCGCTGCCTTTCCCCGCAACAGCGGCCGAGGAAGGGCCAGAGGGCAGGACCATACCCGCTGCCAACTCACGAGCCACAGCCGCTAGCTCATCCGCTAAACCACTACCACCAGAACCCCCACCACCCCCTCCTGCCCCCGCTGAGTTGGCTTGCTGTGTGGCCAACAGCCGAATGAGCTGCCGGTGCAGGTCCGCCGCCTCCCGCAAATTTCGCCCATGCAGGAAGTGAGAGGTCGCGAACTCCTCGCTCTCGCCACTAGCCTCAAAGGCAACCAGCGCGGCCAGGGCGGACAGCGCGTCGGAATGCGGGTGCCGGAAGCGGGCTTGCATGGAGGCGGCGTGCTGGCGGCGGCGCCGGGCGGCCTCTCGTGCGGCGGCGGCTGCAACAGCGGACCGGACACTGCCCGGTCCTGGACCCGCACGGCCAGCTTCGTCCTCGCCATCCTCCTCCTCCTCCTCCTCCTCCTCCTCCTCTGCTTCATCCTGACCCATGCCCTTGCTCTTCTTCCTCCGCTGGCCCTTCTTGTCAGGCCGGGCACCCCTCTTGCTGTGCCCGTTCTTCTTGTTGTGGCCTCCCTCACCGTCCTCGTCATCCTTGTTGCCCCGCTCGTCCTGATCCGGGTCCGTGTCTTTGTCGTCGTCCCCGCCTCCCACCGTGTCGATGTGGATGAAGGGGCTCTCCACGCTGACGGCGGCCGCCAGAGCGAGGGCGTACGGCAAGGCGCGACCCGCCCGCCGTACAACCTGATCTGGTACGGCAAGCGCGCCGCCGCTGTTGCCGCCGCCGCCGCTGACGCCGCCGTCTTCAAGGTCGTCGCCGCCGGCGGCTGGGGCAGCTGCGTCCCCGTGCAGGGACTTGTGCCATTTGAGCACCTGAGGGACGAGGGCGGAAAGGGTCAGGAAGGGAATGCGAGTACCACAGGGGAGTCAGAACGACTCAAGTGCGAGGAAGAGGCCAACCCGAATGAAACCCCACCACACGTTTGGCCATGTGAGGGGGAAGCACAAGGCTTGTGAGCCAAGCGAGCATACGTTGTTATAGTTCCGCTCCTGGTCAGGGTTCTCTCATTTCTTTCCTGCACCAAACCAAACCTATTCCAACAGCCCAGCCAGCCCGCCTCGCTCACCTCCAGCAGCATCCGCGCATGTCGGGGGCTGATGGGGAATGCCGCCATGGCTCGCCCCACCTCCGTCAGCCGCCCTCCGCCTCCTCCACCTGCACCTCCCCCTGCCGAGACCTCCGGCTCCAGCGCCCCAAGCGCCTCCAGGCAGCGGTGGGCGGCCAGCAGCGCAGCGGGGTCGGGCGGCGTGGGGAAGGGGAAGTTGTGAACCTGAGGGGTGTGGGGACAAGGGGTGCCAGTTGACGAGCCGCCGGCATGTGGCGGCATGCCGGAGTTGCCTCACAACAAACATGGATGCATGCATGCATGCATGCGTGCAACTAAGAAGCTAACTAGTCGAGCTAGAACGGCCGCCACACCCATCGCCCGTCCCTGCCCCTGCCGCTCCCCTCCCCTCCCCGGGGGAGGGGCATATGCACCCCCCCTATGTACCCCCCCCTCCCCTCCCCTCTCCTCCCCTTCCCTCCCCTCCCCTCCCGGCTCACCTTGTCCACCCCCATACTCTTCATCACCAGCACCACCCCCTCCAAGCTGGTGTTCACGATCTCAGGCGGCGAGTGGTCGGGGAAGGTGTCGTTAAAGTGCGCGGAACTGAACAGCCGGTAGGTGTGGCCGGGGCAGGTGCGACCCGCGCGACCCGCCCGCTGCGCCGCTGCGGCCTTGCTGATCCACCGCACCTCGTAACGAGCTACCTGGCCGCCTGCACCGCCGCCTCCGGCCTCTGCGGAGGCGTCCTCTAGAAGCCGCTGTTTGCTGCGCCCCGCATCCACCACGTAGCGGATGCCTGGGTGGGGTAGTTTTGGTGTCAAAGGTTTAGACCAGACCATGTGAAACGGGCACAGGGGTGGTGGGCAAGGGAAGAATACCCTCATGTGTGGAATGAGGAGCTGGGTAACAAGACGACAGAGCTGGGTGGAGGAAGAAGGAGGAGGGGCGGGAGGGGTACGAGGTGGGGGGTGAGGCAACCTTAGACACACGGCTCACTCCAGCTCGGCAACCAGCCAGGCCGGTGTTCCTTCCATCGCGGCCTGGCTCGCAGCACCACCCCCCTAACCGGTTCCTCTCCCCTTTACCCCCTTTAACCCCCCCCCCCTAGCAAAGTTACCCCCCTCCCAGTACAGCAACCCCCCACCTAAAAAAGGGCCCACCTGGGATGGTGAGAGACGTCTCTGCCACATTGGTGGCCACAATGATCAGTCGGTGCCCCGCCGGCTGCGGCGCAAACACCCTCGCCTGCGCGCTCTGCGGCAGCATGGCGTACAGCGGCAGCACATGCACCGGACCGGGACCTCCTCCCTCTCCTCCTGCTGCTGCTGCTGTTGTTGTTGTTGTTGTTGCTGTTGTCTGGCTGCTAGATCCGCCTGGCCCCTCCGCTCCTGTTTCTGCGGCTGCCGTACCACTCAATGGCTTGCCGTACGTCTCCTCAAACCGCCTCTCCGCCTCCGCAATCTCCTCCGGCGTGAACTGGTCGCCGCCGATGACGTGAACCTCCTCCTCGTCCTCGTCCTCCTCGCCCTCACCGTTCAGGGCCTGGGGGAAAAAGAAATTCCAATGTGTGATGTGATAGGGGAAGGAGGGGATTAATGGGGATACATATTCCGCATTAGGCTGGATTCCAGGATTGCGTATAGTCAAACATGTTGGGGTGAGGGGGGGGGAGATTGGTGTGGCGTGGGGTTGCAGTAACGCGGCGGGAAGCGGCGGGAAGGAGGGGATGAGGTGAGAGAGGTACGAAGATGCAAATGTTCGTAATCGAGCGAGTAGCCGTAAATGCTGTAATGAGACAGGGCGAAATCCCAAAACTCCCCAACCCACACCCACACCCGCAGCCACTTACCCCATAGTCATCCACCTCCTCCTCCTCCTCCTCTCCGCCTCGTCTCCGCCGCTCCGCCACCTCCCCCGCCACCTCCGCCACATCCCCCCCACCTCCAAACTGCCCTGCCGCCTCCTGCTCCTCTCCCTCCTCAACACCCCCGCCCTCCTCCTGTTCCCCTCCATTCTCTGCCGCTGCTGCTCCCCCCGACCCACGGGTCGCTCCCCCCGCCGCCGCCCGCCTCCTGTCCCTGTCCTGGTAGTGTTTCCGCAGCCGCCTGCAGAGCTGCTCCACCTCCCGCTGCCCCGTCAGAAACACCAGCACACCGCCCGGGGGGAGCTCTGCATGGATGCGGGTGACCTGGGAGAGGGGGGGGGGGTAAAGAGGAAACATCTAACTGACCGTGTGGTAAGGCATCATCATCAGGGGGGCGGGGGGGGGGGGGAGATTTTCCAATGTGTGGTGTGGTAAGTGGTACATTTAGCTGACAAGCCCTGGTGGAAGGGAAGAGGGGAAGGGGGGTCAAAGACCACATCGAACCATAGGAGGGAGGGAGGGGGGGAGGGAGGGGAGCGCATGGGGTACCATGTATGTGGGGGCCGAGGAAGGAGGCGGAGGGGTACCGGTAATGGCCCCCTCCAGGATCCAAGGGAGACCCAAGGACACCACATGGGACATGGCACCTGCTCCCACCTTGCGGAAAGCCGCACCCACGTAGTCATGCAACTCAGTGCGGCGACTGAAGTGCACCGTCACCGGGAACTGTCGGGCGGGGACCTGCGGGGGGGCGGGGGGGAAGGAGGAGGAGAGGGGCGGAGGGGTGGAGGGGTTGGGAAGGGGAGGAGAAGGAGCATGCGGGTGGACGGAACATGTGGGTTTCATGGAGGATGTGGGTTGCCTCAATATGCTTCCTGAAGAGGAAAGGCGGCAGTAGCAGTAGCAGTAGCAGCTGCAAGGGTGCCAACAGGAAGAAGAAAGCACGAGAAGCACGAAGGCATCGCAGGACGGAGGGCACGCCAGCCGTGTCCCACCGCCTCCCCACTCCTCCGCCTCCCCACTCCTCCGCCTCCCCACTCCTCCGCCCACCACCCTCATCATCCTACATTGATCACGGGCGGCGGTACGGCAAACAGCCGCTTGTTCTCCGTGAAGTCTGCCGTACGCAGCGTGGCACTCATGATGATGAGCTTGAGCGGGTAGACGAGCTGACCCGTGGGTCGCTCGCCGCGCGCGATCGCCTCCTGCTGCTCGCGCCACAGGCGCCGTCGCAGCGGTACGACGCGGGAGAGCATGCCTGGGTTGGGTTCGGGTTTGGGTTGGATTAGGTTTGGGTTGGGTTGGGTTTGGGGTCGGGCCGCAGAGCATGGCATGCGCTGTGAGTGGATGTGCCCCCATCCTCTGCTGCCAAGACTCACTCCCCACTCCCCACCCACCCACCCTCCCTCCTAGCTACCGTACATCTACCACCCCACCCCGCTTTGGCATGATCTCCAGACCCACCTCCCAACCCGCCCACTAACCCTACCAACGACCCACCCACGAGCCCCACCTCCCAACCCACGAGCCCCCCCCACCCCCCCACCCCCCACCCAGCAGCAGGTCGGTGTTCAGCGCCCGCTCGTGCGCCTCGTCCACGATGACCACGCTGTAGGCCGCCAGCGAGAAGTCCAGTTGCAGCTCGCGGAGCAGGATGCCGTCCGTCATGAACTTGAGCGCGGTGGCGGCACCCACACAGCGGTCGTAGCGGACCTGGGGGGAGGGGGTAAAGAAGGGGAGGGAGGAGGAGAACGAGGAGAAAAAGGAGAATGAACTGAGCAACTGACCAGTTAACAGCGGTTAACAGCGGTGGCAAGGGGAGGAGGGGGAGCAGGAGGGGGCAGCGCATGGGGGAGGGGGGGGGAGGGGGCGGTACAAGGTAGGAGGGGCGCAAACAGAGACCGCGGCAGGTGGCTCTAGCCTGTGGTTTTTGGTATATCCCTGACCCCCCCCCCTCCCTCCCTCTCCCCCCCCCGCCACTGCATGAGTCGGGATATGGGATTGGGACTCGTTGTTTCACTTATACAATTCCCCCCCCGCCCCGCTCACCTGGTACCCCACCATCTCCCCGATGCCGCACCCCAGCTCCTCAGCTACACGTTGCGCGGTGCTGACCGCCGCCACACGCCGCGGCTGCGTCACCCCCACCGCACCCGCCCGCTCGGGGAAGGAGCGGCAGCCGTAGCCAGCCTCTAGCAGGAATTGCGGAACCTGTTGGGGGGGAGAGGGGGGACGAGGGGGGGAAGGGGGCAGGGGAGGGAAGGGAGGGAGGGGGGCAGGGGAGGGAAGGGAGGCAGGGGGGCAGGGGAGGGATTTGGACCGTGTTGGGGCATGTTGGCTCAAACTACTGGTGATTTACCGGGAACTTGCTCATTCACTCAGCAGGGCTGGTTTACAACCACCATCACACCAAGAGTTGCCACACAGCGTCTGGGTTCTCCCTCACTTCCTTTGCACACACCCCACCCAGCCATCTCCACGCCACGCCTTATCACACGGCCAGTTGGTTGTTTCCTTCTTTACCCCCCCCCCCCCCGCCCCACACCGCATCCACGCATTCCCCTACCCCCCCCCCGCACCTGTGTCGTCTTGCCGCAGCCTGTCTCCCCCGCCAACACCACCACATCATGCGCCAACACAGCTTCCATGATGTCCGCCTCCTGACCACTGATAGGCAGCGCAGCACGCGCCTCCGCCATGGCGGCGGGACGGGAGATGTGTACGACACGGTGGGGGTAGGCCGCCGCCGCCGCCGCGGCGGCGGCCGCCTGCGCCCGCGCCGCCGCCACCTCGGCACCACCCTCCCGGAGTCGGTCGTCTTGTACGGCAGGCACGGCGCCATCGAGTTCCGTCGCGCGAATGCAGTCGGCTTCGCGACGTGCGGCTTGCAGCGCCTCCCGACGAGCGGCGGCGGGGTCCTTGGTCGCGCCAGCGACGGCGACGCCGGCGGCGGCGGCCTTCGGCTGCTGCCGCTTTGCTGCCTGCGAGCTGACCTCGCCATCCGCGGCGTCCTCCTCCTCCTGGTCATCATCATCAGCATCAGCATCAGCATCGTCATTGTCGCCGCTGCTGCTGTTGTGGCCTCCCTTTGCGGCCGTCTCCGTCTTCACCCCCGCTGCCGCCGCTGGCTGCTGCTGCTCCTCATCTTCCTCTTCCTCACTGCCGCTCTCCTCCTCCTCCTCCTCCTCCTCCTCGCTCTCCTCCGCCTCCCGCACCCTCCGCCTCCGCAGCAGTTCACTCTCCCCTGCTGCGCCTGCTGCTGCTGCTCCCTCCCCTGCCAGTCCCGCCCGCTGCAGCTGCAGCTCCCGCCGCAGCCGCTGCTTCTTGGTTTCCCGGTGGCCCCGCTGGTGCAGCGGCCGCAGCAGCGCCAGCGCGGTGTCGCTGGCAGCGTGGGTGTTCAGCTGGGCTAGCACCTGAAGGGGGGAGATCAAAGACCATGCACCAAACCATAGGAGACCACAGGTTAGGGCAAAGCAACGGGGGTAGGAGGCGGCAGGGTGCCACCAGAGGAGGAAGGAAGAAGAAGGCATGCGTTGGGGTAAGGAAGGTTAGGAGGGGGAGGAGGGGAAAATGTAGGTAAGTGCATTAACGGAGTCCCAATCCCGAATCCCGAGGAGGGGGAGCGAGGAGGAAGGAGGGGAGGGAAGAAGGCAGGGAGAGGATGAGGGCATCAAGAGATGCTGGGCCGGGCCTATGGTGTGGGGAACTGCGAATGTGTGCGCTGGGGGTGCGATGGGAAGCCGCCTGCCGTACCTGAGAGATGTTATCGCGCCGCTCCTTCTTCAGCTGGACCTGCTTCAGCTTGCGCAGCTGGGATTTGCTGAGCTCCTGGGGTTGCGAGCCGGACTGATCCTCAGCGTCTCCCTGGGGGAAAAGGAGGGTGATGGCGGCGTTAGTGCTTGCCCTGCTTGGTAACGAGGGGCGTGTTTGTATGTTGCCATGAAGGCGTCCCTTACCTGCTTCGGCGTCTTTGACTTTGACTTCGACGTAATGATAAGGTCCAAAGGGTTTACACCCGAACTGTGGAAAGGGATGTGTCAGCGAAGGTTCAGCATATATTACGAGCCGGCAAGCATGAGCGACGGCAGGTAACTGACGAAAGAGGAAGGAAAGGCACTTTGACGTTTTCGACACTTACTCTTCATATTGCTGCTTTAACTCATCCGAGAGCAAGTCAAGGCCGTTTGCCTGCCCAGCAGCAGAGCCGCCAGCCTTACTACGAAGGCTCTGCACATTTTTGTGCTTCTGCTGCCGTTTGCTAGTTTTCGTCATAGTTACAGCCCTCGTCGCCTACTGTATACTGTTCGCTTACGAGTATGTTGTCATGTCGAGTCCATCGGCCATATAACAGCAAACAGTTACGCTCTACACAGGCACAAGTCGCTCGCTACACTGACTAGCGGCAGCAGCTGCTGCTTATCTCTTTGCGCACAAACAGGCCAGCTCGTCTACAGGAATTCGGCAGTTGGTCGTTGTCATACAGCGATGGACAGATAGTTACATTCTTGGACCGTTTATACCACCAAGCTTTAGCCGTTGCTCCGGTCATGGCTGCGGCCGCGCTAACGCGGTCTGAGACAACGGTCGCGCAAATGGCAATCCCAGCCAGACATGGGCCGCCCACCAGCCATCACAAGCCGCCTCGCCACCGCCACCACCAGTTCCCCGCCCACGCCTACGCCCCCAGCCGCTCCATCACCGCCCGCAGCAACCGCTTCTCCCCCACTCGCAGCCGCAACGCACACCTCCAAGCAGCCTCCGCCTCAGCAGCACTGCACGCCGCTGCCGCCTCATCCACCTTGCTCTTGCCTTTCCCCTTCCCCTTGCTCGTCCCTTTCCCCTTGCCTCCGCCTCCATCCGCACCACCGGAGCCAGCAACAAAGCCGCGCTGCAGCTCCTGCTCGTCCTGCTCCAGGGAGGTGGGGTAGGCAGCCAGGCGCTCCGAAACCACCCGCTGTAGCAGCGCCCGCATGCGGGGGGTCCACAGGGAGGGCTCCATGGAGGGCGCCGTCTGCTGCTCAGCCGCCGCCGCAGCTAACGCCTGCTGCTCGGCCTTGGGAGGCTGCAGGTCCCCCGCATGGGCTCCCTCGTCGGCCCGGGTGCTTCCGTCACTCCTCTTAGCTCCCGATGCTGCAGCTGCTGCTGCGGCGGCGGCGGCTGCTTTTGCAGTGGAGGCAGCACGGGCCTTGAACTGGGATAGCTTGGAGGCTGTCGAGGACTTCTTGCTTTGATGTTGTTGATGTTGCTGCTGGCCGCCTGCTTGCCCGCCGTTCAAGACTTCAGGCTCACGGCCGGCAGTGGCGGTTGGGGGCTGAGCAGGAGGCGCCTCAATCTCCACATCCTCTGGCAGGTCATCCTCCTCCTCCTCCTCCTCCTCCTCGCTCTCTCCCTCCGCCTTCATGTTAGCATCAGCATCAACATCAGCAGCTGCAGCAGCTGTGGCGGCGCCAGCACTACCGCGCTTGGCACGCTTCGCAGCGGGCTGTGAGACAGAAGCCGCCGTCCTCCCGCTGCCGCCCTGCTCCACCCGGGCACCCTCGCCTCCGTCCTTCTCCTCCTCCTCCTCCCCGCCCTGCTCCCGTCCTTCCCTCTTGCGCTTGCCTCCGCCTCCCTCGCCCTCGCCAGCCCCATCCTGCTGCTCTTGCTGATCCTCCCGCCCCTGCTCCCGCTCCTTCTCCCGCTGCCAGGCCTCTCGAAGCGGCGCCACCACATCCTGGAAGCGCGCATGCATGCAGTTGGGGGGGGGGGGGAGGAGGGTTGGGTAAGAACCAACACCATGTGACACGAACCCACACCATCTTGACGGCATCTTGTACAGCAAATTGTACTGCATCACAATGACCAACATGGGTTCATGTCTACCGAGGTAGGAGGGCTGCCGTGCAGCTGGGATGCCGTCATCACACGCCCCCCCACACAACACGGGCCTCCCGGGGTATACCTGGCGACGTCCCCCCTCCCCTTCCCTACGTGCAACCCGCCCCCTTTCCTTGGCTTCACCCCCCCCGGGGGTACACGTGATAATCCTGCGTTCCTGCGGAATGTGTATTACCGGTATCCCTGTTTTACCCCCCTCCCCCCTCCCGCCCCACCCCCACCTGCATGTGAACCCTCCCTCTGCCTTGTGTATCCCTGCTTTTTCCTTTTTTGTTTTTATAATGGTTTATATGGTTTGAATGGTCCAAAAATTGACCCACCTGCATGTCCCGCCAGCCCTGCACCTCCCCCGCCTCCGCACCCAGAACCCGCAGCGCTAGAAACAGCGGCGTGTTGACGTGGCGGGGCGGCAGCAGCAGGAAGGGCTCCTCACCCTCCGATAACAGCTCGCTGCAGTGCAGGAGAGGGGAGAGGGATACCGGTATGGCGTATGGGGTGGGGTCGGGGTGGGGTGGCGGTGAGGAGGAGGAGGAAGAAGAAGGCAACCGCAGCATTGGGTGGGGTGCCTAAGGAAAAGACGTCGCGTAGAGTAGGTTGCTGTGTCTCTCGGGCCTTTTGCGTCCTAGGGCCTCGTTCCTGGTGCCCTAGGGCGCCTCTCCTCCTCCTCCGCTTCCCTGCCCCCCCCTTCATCATACCCCTATCACACCCCTACCACTATCACACCACACATTGGAATTTCTTTTTCCCCCCCCGGGCCCGCACCTGTGCTTCTCCAGGAAGCGGGCCCCCCTGCGCGCCACCTGCCGCTCGAACAGCGCCTCCGCTGCCGCCACCACCGCGGCCTTGTCTAGCAGCAGCTGCGGGGAACGAAAGGAGGTTCATAACAACAGTACTGGTAAAAGCTCGTAGGAGCAGCCTGGGAAACAAACAATCTCATGCAGACTCATGAAAGAGCGCAACGAATGGAAACAAGGGAAAGCACGAACGGCGATCGAAAGGACATCCATCGCATCCTCCATCCTCCCCTCCTCCTTCCTCCAACCCCTCAGCCGCCCCCCACTTGGGATTCTTCTTTTCCCCCATGCCGCCCACCTCGTCAAAGGGGTTGTACGGCAGCGCGAATCCGTACTTGTTGACGAGCTCCGAGTTGCCGTGTTCGCCGTACGTGTTGAACACCTCGGCCCCCCGGGACAGCGGCTGAGCGGCCACGATATCCAGCACCTCGCAACCTGCCGGCGGGGTGTGTGTGTGGGGGGGGGGAGTTGACATAAGGGGGGGGACGTCATGGGGGACATGACAGGGGGGAGGCATGATGGGGGTTCGGCGGTCGGTTACACAATTGCCACTCACTGCTCTCCTCCCCCCTCACCTCCTCGCTCCACCGCGCATATCCCGATGTCCAAATGCAGGTTCAGCCGCACACCGCTGCCGCCACCTCCCCCGCTGCTTCCATCACTGACAGCAGCAGCAGCAGCAGCACCCGCCCCCGCAGCCTGCTGTGCTGCCAGCAGCCCCCACCGGCCCCGGGGACCCCTCCTGCTGCTGCTGCAGCCCTCAGAGCCCTCCGTCTCCCTAGATGAAGGTGGCGGCGGTGGAGGTGGTGGAGGAGGAGGAGGGGCTGGCGGCCAGGGCTGCTCCCCATCCTCCCCGGGATGTCGATCCAACTCCTCGTGGCTGAGGACGGGCGCCTCCTCGCTCTCCTCCTCCTCCTCCTCCTCCTCCTCACTCCCGTCGCCCTCTTCTTGCTCCTCATCGTCCGAACAGCCGCTGCCGCCCTCCTCCTCGCTCCCCTCGGCATCCGCCTCTTCCTCTTCCTCCTCCTCGCCCTCCTGCTGGCGTCTGCGCCGCTTGCCACCTCCGTCCCTCCCTTGGCGATGAGCGGCATCTGGGGGGAGGTTGTGAAAAGCAGGAGCGGGAGAAGACCGGCCTATCAGCGGCAGTGGCAGTGGCAAACCGTGGCATGTGTGTGAGGGATGCTGTACGACATCTATGCACGGGGTGTGTTTCGGAAGGCCATTGTACGGCCGCTGTGGAGTACGGCGGATGGTGTCCTCCCTCCTCCCCTCCCTCCTCCTTCCTCCCCCTCCCTCCCTCTTCCCCTCCTTCCCTTCGGGCCCCCCTCTCACCCGCCTGCTCCGCCACCACGAAGCCCTCCGCCCAGCTGCCCCCACCGCGCAGGTCCACCCGGGCAGCCTGGGGGGGAGGGAGGGAGGGAGGGAGGGAGGGAGGGAGGGAGGGAGGGAGGGAGGGAGGGAGGGAGGGAGGGAGGGAGGGGGAGGGGAAGGGGAAAGCTACATGAGAAGTGAAGCAACTGGCGGAGGAGGGGCAGAGGGAAGCGGAAGGAGGTGGGCGCAGGAGGGAGGAGTCAGATGGGAAGAGGGCCATCAGCTTACATGGGCGTCAGCCCGGGCGACCAACCCTGGGGGACCGCCGTACGTCTCGCACGTCGTACAGCCAACGTGTACCTCTGTCGTACAACCTACAAAACACCAACACTAATACACCTCATTCCGTGTTGCACACACCCCATGCACCCCTCCCCCCACCAGCCGCCCTCACCTTGTGGTTGAACACGTCCGCCAGCGGCACCAGCGCGTCCCCGTGCCGCTCGTCCACGTAGAAGGCGCGGGAGGCGACCCAGGAGGCAGCGCGCCTGCAGGTCGGCAGCGGGAAAAGAAGATCATCAAATGTGTTTTGTGACATTGGCAACCTAGCTGAGAAGCCGTGGGGGGAAATCCGTGTCTGTCGAGCCGAACTGGTGACTGACGCAATGCGAGGTGGAGGGGGGGCAGGGAAAGGGCATGCATGCGGGGGCCCGGTGCATGCGGAGCGGGGGGGTCAAGTACCACATACCAAACCAGCCGAAACCAAATCCCACCCACCAACCCATACACGCCCCCATCCGCTGACCCCCCCCCCTTCACCTCCTCCCCCCCCCCACCCGCTAACCCCCTCCTCCCCGCTGCCTCACATGAACGCCCGCAGGTTCCATCCGTGCGCCAGCGGCCCCAGCCGGGCGGGGTAGCGGGACAGCAGGGGCGCCAGCTCGGAGCGGAAGTCGGAGGCCATGGCAGCTCTGAAGGGAGGGAGGGAGGGGAGGAGGGGAGTGGGAGGGGGCCGAGAGGAGGGGGCCGAGAGGAGGGGGCCGAGAGGAGGGGAGGAGGAGGTGTTACGAGAGGCGGGTGTTGCCGGTTGTGTTCATATGTGGCTGCTGACAGGAGGGTAGAGTAATAGAAGTGCCCTAGCGGGAGTGCGTGTGGCGTTGGCGTCCGGGTATATCCCTCATGCCTGCCTCCCCCCGCCCGTGTTGTCTCTTGCCTGGCCCCCGTCTCCTTCCCACATCCTCCCTCCCTCCTCCTCCTTCTCCCTTCCGCCCCTTCTCCTCGCACCCCCCCACCTGTCCGCTCGGGCCTTATGCGCCAGATCCGAGCCCTCCAGCCGCCGCAGCTGCTCCTCACTCCAGAAGACCGGCAGGTACTCCCGGAGAGGCAGCGAGGAGAGGTAGCCGTACCTGGAGGACGGGCCGGGTGGTACGGCAATGGGGCAGTACGGCAATGGGGCAGTACGGCAATGGGGCAGTACGGCAGTACGGATGAGACGTATCCCTTGGTACTGGTGGTGGTGGTGGTGGAGGAGGAAATGGAGGGTGTCTGGCTTGGTGGTGACTCGAATGTAGCCCCTTCCTTCGATTGACAGTTAGGGGGTCTTCCTCGACTCAGCTAGGGCTCACGCCGCTCACCATTTCGACTGCTTGCCTCGAGCCGCCTCATACATCACCCCCGCCACGAGCGCCAAGCCGCCGCCCAGCCGCTCCGCTGCGAGGACGTCAGACAGCCCGCAGCTGGCGGCCGATAGTACGGCACAGCGGGGGATGCTGGCCAGTACGGCACCCTCGGGAACGGGGGCGACTGGGTGCGTGCGTATGTGTGTGTATGTGGGAGGAGGGTGGGAGGAGGGGAAAGGAGGGCAGCGGGGAGGCGGAGAACGGTTGCGTGAGGAGGATGAATTGGTGAGAGGGAAGGTGGTAAGAATGGCGCTTCAACTTCCCACCTGCGTACACGGCCCAAGGTGCGTCCGCGGCTTGCTTCGGGTCCTTGGGTGCTGCGGCGTCATGCCCAGCGGTGGTAATGTCGTCGGAGCTGCTTGCACCGCCCGCCCGCAGCTGGATAAGCGATGTGTCCCAGGTGATGTGCGCCTTTGTCATCCATGCCTCGAACTCAGGAAGCGAGCTCCGGCCGCTGTCGGTCGGCATGGCAGCATCGGCGGCGGCTTTCTCGCCGCTGGCTACGTCGGCACCCTTACGACGCTTTGGTGCCATAATGCTCTATAACAGCTACTTCAAATAGTGATTTCCCTAACCGGCTTTTCCGAACGAGAGCAAGGATGGCAATTGGACGTCGAGATGGGCAACAGCCTATATTAGCGAAGTGGTCACTGTAACGGAGGATAAATGCGTAACCATATACAAGAGTCGGGCGTCCTTGAAGGAAATGTCCTGACTGTTAACTTATCTTGCGCACGCCGGTGCAAATACCGATAGTAGTATCGATGTGTTTTCGCGCAAAGAGCAGCGGCTCACATTAACCGATGTGCATTGCTAGCAATGCGCGCCAATTACGAACCATGCGCCGGAACAGTGTTGACCATTTTCCAACCGAAGCCAACCTACTAACGGCCCTGCTTGGGAGTATCCATGCACGCCCGCGTAAGCTGCGCCTAGTGCATCATGAATCGTTACCGAACGGTCCGTTACAATGATTGTGCTCGTCTTCGTCGCCTGCAATCGATCATCGCAACCTCATCGAATCGTGTCACACCCAATCTGTTCGCGAACGTCAAGTAAGACATGAACAAGAGGCTGCATACTGTAAATTTAATCGTTTGTCCCGTCGCTCGGAACCATTTCACGCCAGTCCTTGACGCCACGTGGATGGGTACATGCGGAGCGCCAGGATGTCATCCATGGTAGGCGGGCGATTAGGCGGCAGATCCGCTACCGTGGCCTGACAAACGAAGCAAGACAAGTTCAAAATGTAAGCGGAGGTAGGAAGAGTATAAGGAGCTGGCTGTGTGACCCTGGTGTAACGGAAGCTAAGTGCCGACATGTTGGGATGTGGACGCCTTGATACCGGATAGTAGCAGCGACTAAAGCTGCTTCCCATGGTCGTTTCCCTGCATCACGAGGTTCATGGCGCCGTGTGCAGCTGAGAGTGAAGCGATGTACGTGCATGCTAAAAACCTCTTTAAACTGCCCCACCTTCATGTAACCGGGCCCGAACAGCTTGTTATATTCAGATATCGCCTTTACGTAGTACAATACCCTGCGGAGCGTCCATCAGAGAGCAATCAATCAATCCAACGACGAGTGCAAGGAATACAGAGCTGGAGGCAGGCGGACAGGGAGGACCGGCAGCAGGTAGGGAGGGTAGAGCCGCATCAAGCAGCAGCAATGCATGTTACCCTCCCCGCCCAATCCTGGATGCCTGTCTTTGCGGAATACCCACCTCCCACTAACCCTCGCCCGACAGCACTACACACTGGTATGATGGTATCTCACATCACAGCACCATCTTCTTTCCCCGTCAACAACCCACCGGGATCTCTGAGACAGGTAGGTGTATGCGAACTTCTGAGCCGCCTCCGCCATTGCCGCCATCCGGGACCGTGAGGAGGGCTTCAGAGCCTCCTTGACTGCCTGTGGGAGTGCGTGGGGAGGCGGGCGGGTGTGTTACGAAAACTGGCCGCGATGTGGAACGTACTGTGATTGCCGGAAGATGAAATTCCCGCAGAAACGCCACAGGAGCGGGCGCGTGTGTGTGTGGCGGGAGGGGGTTAGTGCAGGGAACATGTGCAGGACCCATGGGTCACCATGAGACTCCAACACACACATGGGTCACTTCTCTTAGCGCACAAACACACACACGTGCAGTTTTCTCCACAGCCAACACCCCTTGCTAATGCCCCCCACCCCCCATCCCGCGCCCGCAGTTTCCGCACGCACCTCTACTGCGAACCCCGGATCGAACTCCAGGTAGTGCACCCCCTCCTGCAGCGCTCGGTAGTAGTACTCGGCCCAGTTGGAGCGACCCTGTGTGGTTGAGTAGGACAAGAGCAAGCAATTGGGAGAGGTTCGCAAGTGAACCGCGAGTACAGGCAAAACAGAGGTGACCAAACCTGAACCGTAATTCAAGAAGCTGCTTAAATGGCTGTTGCTGGACCCTGTGTGTGTGGGGGGGGGGGCACATGTGTGAGGCGGGTGGGTGCACGTGACGTGGGTGCAAGGGAGGCGGGAAAGAACAGGGGCGGGCTTACATGCCGCACAGGAGGCGAGCCGGGGAGCGCAGGACTCCATGCGGGGCTTCAGGACTCGAGGGGTGCAGTGCAGTAGTGAGGATTTGGGGGAGCATGAAGAGGCAAGGAGGCATGCGTTCGGGTGCAGCAAACGAATTGCCGGGCAGAGCCCAGACTGCTTGCTGCGGCCCGCTAGCGGGCGGGTCCAAGCCAGCGCGCCGTATGTGTAGAGACTCCAGGGTAGCTAGCTCGGATAACCCATGGTAGGGTTGCTCGGCCCATGTTAGGCTCTTGTCTCGCCTGAGAGGCGCCAGGCCCGCCGCTTTGCAGCACGACACTCCCCCTTGTGCGGACGGCGCCTGGCAGCTAGCAGCAGAGTCCGCGAACTTTCATAGATCTCCCAAGCGAGGATCCCAACCGCCCCCAACCTATCAGCTCCCACCCGCCCCCAACCGCTCCCACCCCTCCCACCCCTCCAGCAGGGTGCCGTACCTTGAGCACCGGTGAGTTGGTGTGCAGCAGACCCGCCAGCCCCGGGTTGGCCGTCTGACAGTCGCAGGACAGCAGCGCGGCGTAGCGGGAGAGCGGCGCGGCGGGGGCGGGGCGGGGGGCCTGGGGGGGAGGGAGGGAGGGAGGGAGAGGGGGAGGGAGAGAGGGAGGGAGAGGGAGGTATGAGTGAGAGGGCGAGGGGGATGGAGAGCAGGAGAGAGGGGGATGGAGAGCACGAGAGAGGGGGATGGAGAGCAGGAGAGAGGGGGATGGGGGGGGCGCTGGTGGAGGGCATGCACACACACTGACACACACACACCCAGTCGCGGTCAGTTATTTTAACACACACACACATGCGAGTACGTGGGTATGTGCGTATGCGACCACGTTTCGACTCGCGGCCAGTTTCCTACACACGCACGCACATGCACCTGGGCACACCGCAATGTTCCCCTGCTTCCCAACGCCCCAAGCCATGTGAACTACTCCCCTTCCCTTCCAAGACTCCTTTCCAAGCCGCACACACACCACACGACTCCTGTCACTCACCATGCCACTAACGGGACCGCCCTCGCTCCCCTCGCCCGGCTGCCCCAGCTGCTCCCCTCCTCCTCCTCCTCCTCCTCCTCCTGCCGCCCCCCGCAGCAGCTCCCCCGCATCCAGCACCGCCAGCCACTTGCCGCCCGGGCCACCCGTGTCGGCAGCGAAGCGGCGCACGAAGGCGGCGCAGGAGGAGCCGTCCAAGCCGCTCGTGGGCTGGGAGGAGTGAGCGGCTAGCGCACCGCGAGGGATCTACGACTCGTGCCGAAAGGCAAGAGGAAAACACAGTGGATACCGGTGCCCGGTGTGTAAGGCAAGAGGGGAGGAAAAAAGAAATTCCAAATTCCAAGAGGGGAGGAGGGAAGGATGCAGGAGGGGACCCCCACCATGGTGACATGCTGGGCGGGAGGTTTCCGGATGTTGGTTAGGAACATGAGTCATCCAGGAAAGGCCGTGTCACAGCTGAGACAACAAACACCGGAGCGCCCTTCTCCCAACGCCCCGGAGCTCCCAACGCCGCCGCCGTCACCGCCGCCGTCACCGCCGCCCTACCTTGTCCCCCTCCGGGTAGTTCACCAGCTGCTCGTGCGGGTAGGCCAGCAGCGGCACTAGCAGGTCGTCGTTGTAGGAGGACTGCGAGCCCTGCCGAATCTCCTTGACTGGGGAGAACAACGGAACCAGGCAGTAGCCTGCAGGGACAGGCAGGCAGGCGGGCGGGCAGGAATGATACCTAGACATACATGCATGTGTGTTGCTTTAAGCTACAGTACTATTGAACATGTGGCGCGTGTAGCCGTACGCGTGTGTAGCCGTACGCGTGTGTAGCTGTACGCGTGTGTAGCCGTACGCGTGTGTAGCTGTACGCGTGTGTAGCCGTACGCGTGTGTAGCCGTGTGCAGAACCAGTCTTGTGTCGCGTGTTGGAATTGGCGCGCGCATGTCCCCCTGCCTCCCATTCACACTCCCTCTCACCACACAGTGCCTCCCGATCACAGAGAGGGGCAACCACACATAGGGGGGCACCCGAAAGCCCCATGCAAGATGCAACGACCCCACGCACCCAGCGGGCACAGCGGCACATCCCGCGTGTTGAGGATGAAGATGGAGTCCTCCAGCGCCACCCAGCCCGCGTCCTGGTGCCGCTGCAGCTCCGAAACCACCGAGTCAAGCTGTGTGCAGGGGGAGGGGTGGCGATGTGTGAGGGTACCGGTATGTTGTGTCGGATATTGGGTAAAGAGGAAACAACTAACTGACCGTGTGATAAGGAAGTGATGCGGGGGGAGGTGTGGGGAAAAATTAAATAGGTGAAACAACGAGTCCCAATCCGGGGGGAGGTGTGGGGGGGAGGTATGAGAGGGAGTGGGGGAAAGACGGCAGGGCCGGGCTGTTATGTGCGGTGGTGTCCCAGCCACTGTGCTCACCCGTATTCGGAAGGCGGGGTTGAAGTCGTCAAAGGTGACTCCATGCACCCTGCAGAGGCGGAGGCAAGCATGCAGGCCCATAAGGCTTGCAAAGCTCAGGTGTGGGTCCCTGTTGCGAGTCTAGGCAGAGTAACGGCACAAGAGCAACAACATGCCGTCTTAGGTCCCCACCTGCCCCCCCGCACCACTACCACCGCGGTGCTCCTGCGCACGCGGGTGGCGTTCATGTGGTACTTGCGCAGCTGGTTGGCGATGCCGAGTGCGGAGGCCAGCCGTACACGTGAGCGGAAAACAGCCAGGTCAGGGTAGAGGCTGGCGCTGAGGGAAGGGAAGAGGTGGAGGAGTTGGGAAGTCGTTGGGAGGTGGGAGGGTGGTGCAGGCAGCATTTGGTCGGGGACAAGGGAGGCTTGGTGGGGCGAAGCTTACTTGTACAGCGGTTCCATGTCTTCATGGCTCCAGGCCCTTCGCCAACCCGGCTTCTCAAGCAGGAGCTGCACTTCCTGTGATGTTTGGAAAATGGGTGCAAGCGGATAAGTTTTAATGGGTGCAGAACTTGGCTGTTGAGCATTGCATAGGATGGAGTCAGGGTTGGGTATGTTGAACAAGCGGCAACGGGATCTGACGGAACCATGGTAAAGAGTTCGAAGCGCCATTTTATTTGCATACGTTCTCTTACCGGGTTAGCTGCATTAGCCTGTGCAAGCCAGCAAGCGATGAAGCAAACGAACGCGTGCAGGCCCGAAAGAAACGCCGCCTGATTCATCGCAATTAGTTTATTGGTATTCTTTTAGGAATTGTTTGCGTGCAAAAGGCGTTATGGGCAAGTCCGAGCTCCCAACCGAGTCGAATGCGCTTCGGGAACCTCGCTGCGTTCACATCCGAAATAGGTCCCGGAACGAAGAAAAGCATAACATGTCACAGCAATGAGGTATTTCTGCCTTGGAGGCGGGAAACATAGCGAACATAACTAACACTGACAGCTGGCCACCTGGCCTCCTATATACGGTAGGTGCCCCAGTCGTGATTCTTCTTTCCAGTGAAGGAGTATGCGTGACAACCGCTAAACTGAAAGGGGAACACTTATCAGCGTCCCCGCGTGCATGGGCTGGGTGTTGCACTGTCCCCTGACCCCTGACTCATGCATTTTATGCGAAAATGCTGATCCGACTTTCCTATACGACTTTGCCTGTTGGGTGTGCAGCGCATGGACGCTGTGACATAACTGAATAAATGAATGACCGTTACAGTGGTCCCAAACCGGAAGACAAGGGAAAGCGGACGATACCCAGTCCTACACTGCAAGAAAAAGGGCAGAGCCCTTAGTCAAAGGGGACCAGGCCCCAGAAAAAGCCCGTGGGCCAGGTACACCTGGGGAAGCACCCCAGTGGGAAAAAAAGACACCAGCAGCACTTAACTATCAAGAGTTGTGAGCTATATGTAAACCCAGTCTATCATGGTTTGCGTGTGTTTTCCATAACAGCTCAGGCACCAACGAAGCCTGCCTTAGCTCAAGACACCGGTGCTACATTTCGGGTCGCATGCTGCACATGCCAGGAATGATTAAAGCATTGTTGACGGGCCAAGGTACGCCGATGTGTCAGCGTATGTGGAATAGGGGTGTAGCAAGGTGGGCCTCTGTGGCAGTCCGGATCGGAAACAAAAGGCGTCACCTTGCAGGCGGCATTATTGTTGCATGTTTACACGTATTGCTATTGCTACAATAGGCATATGCGTCCGCACCTCTCCATCCGCAGACTTCAGGTGCAAGAGCTATATGCAGGGCACGCGCGTTTCCTTGACCCGTATGATACCGGAATACGGCAGCAAGAGGTTGCCTGGAAGCCAAAAGAAATGAATGTTGAGGACACCGGCAACAACAACAACACACGCAGGGAACATACACGCAGTTATCACAGCGTGCAAAGGCGCTAAATACTACATGATAAACCAGAGCATATTATTCTCCTTTATGGTACGGGGGATCTGTACGGCAGTAACAACGCCGTACGTACATAAGAGGCACAGATGACCAAACGATCCGTAGCCTGCTTTAGCTAGAGCGTGCGTGCAAAGTAGGAGGAAACACAGGTTGCACGCTCAGCTGCGCCCATGTGACATGAACTACACAACGTGTGTTTATATTACCACAATAAACGTGGGGGCGGGGGGAACAGGTAGATACATACAGGCGTGTGAACGGATTTACGTGCATGCGTGCATGTAAATCAACTAAGCCGCCAGGATACATCGACAGTGATTGACGTGCAGTACGCCGTTGGAAAACGCGTGCGTGGCGTGCGAGCGCACCCACACCTTCACACCTTATACGTTCCTCACACCAGAGAAATGAAATAGCCAACAACGTTATCAAGGCACGCGGACGCAAAAGCATGTCCACATTTTCCTGGCCGCTTGCCAATCCTGAGCTCATCAACTTAGTACCCTCAGTCAACGTCCTTGAAGATGCACACAGCACAACCGCGCAAAAGCGCCTTATTACACCACCTGCTAGTGTGCCCTTTGCCTGCCTGCAGCCAAATACGGAAAATCCCGGTGCGCACCATTACCCTGCCAAACCACCCCACCTCATCCCCGATACAGCACCTTCAGCCGTTCACCCCTCTTCCTACAAAAGGCTACGTCGTCAGTGAGTAATAACGCTCCCAGCGGCAGTAGCAGCCCGCCAGTTCCTCCTCTGCCAACCAAACAGTCCATTGCATTTCGAAGCCCCAAGCCAGCGATGGCACAACAAGCACCCACTCATTCCCAATTATGAAAACTCCTCTCCCGTTAGCGATGTTGTCCAATTTACCTTCAAACCAAACCCGCCTTAACAGTCGCAACCTGCCAAGACACGTCCGCAGCAAACCAGCGATGCATCAAAGCCACTGCAGCTCTAGATGAGGGACACAGGCCACAGCCAAAAATGCGGCAAGTATCATACCGTAGGAGACACCGCATCGTGCTTAACAAATCGAAAAATTCTTTCACAGCATTACACACGTCCACAAGAACCATGTGCGCAACCACCTCTCCTCTTACGCCCTTGACCCCTCTTCCCCAATCAGCCCAGCCCCCAAGCAAACCAAAGCAAGCCCCTGCAATCCACATAGATCGAATAACGTGGCATATCAATGAGAAGCACGAATTGCCCCGATATATTAGTATCCTGACGTTTTCGTGTTCCGCTCCACTAACCTCTTCGCATATGCGTATCTTGGCCCAACCCTGAGCGCAGAAAGCGAGCAAAGAAACCAGGTACACGCATAACGTCTTGCTGCGAACCCATAACCACGGGCTGACACACCGTATCATGACTAGCACGCCACTGGCCGCGTGCGGTATTCAGAGGACCTCAAACGACAGACTGGCTCGCCTATGTGGCGGGGTCACGAATGTGGCGGGGTCACGAATGCCGTTTGGCAGTGTGTTTTATCATTATGCACACGTTTATTATTATTATCGGGAAAGAACCACCAACCCGCCATCCAGCTCGGCTTGTACGGGCATATTCCCCATGCACAACACGCCGTGTGAACCGAGATGAACACTCGAAAACTCTGGTAACCCTCAACGCTTGGAAACAGCACATGCCATAAGCACATGCCCCACATCCCATAACTACTAGACCTCCAAAATCTATGAAAATCCCTGTCCCGGCATTGCCCCCAGGAAAACGTACTTTAGATGTCATGCGTGTAACTTTGGTTTATTGGCCATTTAGGCGACGCTATACCGGAAGATTAAGACCTGCTTCAATGCCAAAGACCAAGACCCAGAATTTGTCACACCCACTTCAAAAACTTCAAAGCCAGGCTTCTTTCCGGCCGGGAACCTTGTACACCTTCACTCGACACGCGCAAGCACGGCAGCTATCTCCACATAGGCACCCGTACGGCACGCAACACGAACCCCAAACGTCCTGAAGCCGCCTGAACCTCCTTTTCACAGCAGCATGCCTTGGTACGCCGGGTTTAGGGTTGCAGCGGTGCAGCAGGCGGAGATGCGGGAACACCTCTAGAAATACGCAAGCACTCCACATAGCAAAGAAACGGCACAAACATCAACCGCTAGCCACCACCCCTGCCGCGCCCATCCCTGCGGCATCCTGGACTAAAAGAAGGAGCCCCCAGGAAAACACACTAGGGAAGAGCACACCCGGTAGGCAGGAACCCATCTCACCCCGCACTCTACTGCGATTAGCAGCAACGGTCCTTTGACGGTCTTGGCAACCTTTGGTTGGGACGAGCAATTGAGGACACAACCGCTATTAGGTTAGGAACAGGCGGGATCATCACATCACTGTGGGTTGAGTTTACCTTAAGTAGATTGCATCAACAACCGAAATCCACCCAAACAACCAAACAACTCCCAACCGCTCTTGCTAGCGATTTCTCTCCAGATGGCTCACCTTTGCAAGATGACAAGGCGATGTTTCACAAGTTCAAAAGCCGTGTTACTGTGCAGAGGCTGTCTCACGTCATCGTGGTGCTCTAAATATCCGCTTTACCAATCACCGGCTCGCGCTCTCCACCTCGTATACTGCCCCACGAGAGTAAGCCGATACCGGTAGCCATTCTCCGACTATCAACAACTAATTCATGCCTGCTCCACTCTGGCGCGTTATCATCTAATCACTCGAACGGCGGTCTCAATAAAAACCCGCACCTCTCATGCCCATGCCCCCTAAACCGCAACCACAGGACCTGGGTTGACGCTGCATTTATGCATATAATGCCGCGCTCAGCGTTCACCACCAAACAGACCCTCATCCAGCACAACTCCCATCCAACTCAACTATTATTGTGCTCAAGCCAGCTCGGCCAACGTGCGACGGCTGGATTGATGTGGCAAGTGGCCCTGGAAGGGACTGACGGACTGGTAGTTGCTCTGAGATGTTCGGTGCGCGCCGTTCGGTTGGTGGTGGTTGGAAGTTGAGGAGTTGCGCTGCGGCGGTTGAGATTGCGGTTGTTGATGCTGGCTATCCGACGCGGCACGAGAGTGGTTGCTTAGCTCGCTGAATTGAGACGCGTGCGCATGAAGCCCCGCGAAGCCACTCAAGGGCGGCGGCGTGGGCGGATGCGGCTGCTGATAGAGATGCGCCGCAGAGCCGCTGCCATTGCCGTTATTCACACAAGCCGCTGCCCCGCTGAAGCCTCCTGACTGGTACGACAGGCCCCCGGCATACGTGCCAGATGTCCCATGCAGGCTGCTTGCTCGTACAAAGGAGGTATGCCCCGACCCCTCCCCACCGCGGAACGAAGTGGTGGCAGAGGCAGAGGACCCTCCGCCGCCGCCGCCGACAGCACCCCCGCCGCCGCCAAAGCTCGCGCTCGTACGAAGCAACCGAATGCCTGCCGCCTCGGCCCATCGCGCCGCCACGTCATTCTGCTCCCCATGCAAAGGCAACACAGCAACTGCGCTGATAGGGACGGTGGATACGGCACCAAACAATGCATGGCGCTCGCGCCATTGACGCTGTAGCAGCGGCGCTTGCGCCTGAAGCTCAGTCAGCCGTTGCAGTACCTGCGGAACCGTGGGTCGCGCTGCCGGGTCGCTCTGCCAGCAATCCTCCACCAGTCGCCGCAGGGGCTCGGGAACGGCGGGTGAGAAGGCAGGCCGCATGCCGCACGCCACTACCTTGTACGACACCTCGGCGGGCTGCAGCTTGCCGTACGGGGCTTCCCCGGTGGACGACAGCATGCGCCATACTGTGTGGGGTGGGGTCGGGGGTAGGGGGAGAGAGGGTGGGGTTGACGGATTGTGGAGGCGATGGCGACAGGTTGAGACCCCTCGGGCAGGAAAGGAGAGCCTTGCCTTACGAGTACCGGTCTATCGGGAGTTGAGTAGCTTGTCTAGGAGCACATCAACGCGGCGATGACCCGCATGCATATCACCCCACACTTCCCCACGCGCAACACGCTTTCAAGGACACGCGCATGCATGCAACGGACTACTCCTTGCACATGTGCCATTGCACCCCTCGCCGCTGCCTGCCGATTGCCTACAAAAAGCATGGCGCCGGTATCCTCCTCCTCCTCCTTCTCTTCCCATATACCCGGGTACTCACATAGGATCGCCAGAGAGTACACATCGGAGGAGGGGTGCAGCCGCCCCGACAGCAGCAGCTCCGGCGGCAGATGAGACACGTCAGCACCCGAGGTAGCACCAACCGCAGCAGCAGCCTCCGGCAGCCAGGGCCCGCCGGCACAGTCCGCGGGCATGCGGGCGAGGCTGAGCCACGGGTCCGACAGCTTGGCGACCCGGCGTATGACGGGCAGGGAAACCACGGGCGGCGCGGAACAGCGGCGGCCCTGGTGGGTGGGAATGCAGCCCGCTGCGGTGCTGAGGGAGGAGGGGCGACTGCGGCTGCCAGCGCCGATGCCGCCGCCGCTGCTGCTGTTGCCGGGGACGGGGGACAGGGTTGCAGGGGTGGTGGGTGTGGACGGGGCGCCGGAAAGGGCCCCGGGGTCCGTGGAAGGAAGAGCGGAGTCATGCACAACGGTGGCAGCGCTGGTAGCAGCAGTAGCAGCACCAGCTGCAGCTGCTGCTGCAGTGGTTGTTGTTATAGACTCGCGAGGTGAGGGCAGCATGCCGCTGTTTGCGGGGGAGATCTGAACGGTGATGCACTGAGGGGATGCGATGACGGCATCCGCTGCCGCTGTTGCGGCCGAGGTCAGCGGCCCAGAGGCGCAGATAACCTCTCCGGTGAGCGGCTCGAGGCTTAGCGGCGGAGGCCTACGAGGCGCAGTGGGCGTGTCGGGTGCCGGGGCGTCGCTCGCTCGTCGTACCGAGTTGGCAGCAACGGCGGCAGCAATGACGACAGCACTCCTTGGGCTGTCCGAAGAAGAAGGCGGCGGTGGCTGCGGCAACGGCGACGGACGGGGCACTGTTGTTGCGACCGCGGCCGCAGCCGGCAGCGGCTCTGGCCCTGCCAGCGCACTCCTTAGGCCGCCTACAGCCGGGAACCGACGGAACGAGGGCAGGCCAGACGATAGCGCCCGGGTATAGCCTGTAACACTGCGACCTCCGCCGCCACCCACATCCGTCGGGCTTTCCGTGCCAGCCGCACCACCACCGCCACCGCCGCCGCTACCGAACATGACAGTGCTGCTGCTCGCGACGTGCCGTCCTTCCAGCGGCGACTCGGGCCATGCGGCGAGGTTGGAGGGCGCCTTGCAGGGTGGCGCTTCGTTGCATCCGTTCAGCAGCTGAGCGCTTGTGGTGAAGGGAGACAGGGAGCTGGTGCTCTGGCGCCGGGAGGAGTACGGCCCGTTGCTCAGAGCGCCAACCGGCAGGCTGCATGCTGCCGCGAGCGGCTGGTAAGAGCCGCCGCCGAAGCCCCGTGCCAGCGCTGCAACAGCAGCTGACGACGGCGAGAGCGGCGGAGCCCCAGAGGAGGAGGAGGGGTTTCGGGGGTTGCCGTCTGTTTGCATGCCGGCGGAAGCGGCGCCACCGGGGACCTCGGCGGCAGCAGCACCTTGCATGCCCCGATGTGCTGAGGAGCAGCCATTGCCGGAGGACGCGCCGATGCTCAGCTGAGAGCGGCTGCCGCCGCCATTGCCGCCGTACGCCGACGTGGCGTTGCCGACGCCGCGACGGCCGAAACCGCTGGCTCCGAAACCCAGCTGTGAGTCGTAGCCACTGCTGCCAGGCATCCCCCCATTCAGGTTTAGGCTGCCCGCCGGCATCATTCGCTCGTCCATGCTAACCGTGTCAAAGCCGCTGGACACCGGGGCGCCGCTGCCGCGCATGGCGCTGACGCCGACCCCATGCGGAGGCGCAATGCCCATGGCGGTTGACGCGTACGTACTGGGCATGAAGCCGTTGAGGTTCCGCAGGCTGCTGCTCCAGGGATGCCCCACGCTGCTCTCCGGGACTGTGCTGCTGCCCTGAAGCGTACATGCGTAGGAGGAGTTGTTGGACACCGTCTGACGCGGACCAACACCAACACCGCCGCTGCCGCCGTACACGCCGCTCATATCCGTCATGTCGCTAACGCTTGCGCGGCCGTAGGCTAGCGCCAACGCCTCGTCATCCCGGCGGTTGCGGCCGACAGCTGCCGCATCCAGCGGCACCATACCGCCCTCATAGTACTGCATGCCAACCATTTTCACTGTTGAGACGCCTGCCGCAGCCGCGATGGAGCCGCCGTTGATACCCATTACGGCGCCGTCACCGGCGTTGCCACTGCCGGCGTTACGTGCCTCATCCGCAGCGCTGGTGATGGCCATTCGGCCGTCTCCGGAGTGTTGGTGTTGATAGTCGCCAAGGGCGGAGGCGCTGCGAGCGCCGCTGGGCAGCACGAGCGTCTGCAGCAGGACGTTTTCTGCGCGCACGTCGCCGTGGCATAGGTCCAGGGAATGCAGGTAGGCTAGGCCAGATGCAACGTCATGCGCGATGGAAAGAACCTCGACCTGGGCAGGAGGAGCAGAGGAGGGAGCGTGTGGCGGTGTGTGTTTGGCAAGCGGCGTTGCGTACATGGCGCTTTGCTGCGAACGTCAACAACAAGCGCACTTGAAAACGTGACCAAGACAACTATAGCTGTAGCTAGTTATGCAACACATCGCAGTGTTTTTAGATACGGGGCCTTGTAACTTTTGGTGCCGTCAGAGCCCAGCACATGTAGCCCCTCCCGCCCCCTCACCACTGGCAGCAACCCCGGCAACGCGCTCTCTCCACCCTCCTCACTGCCGCTGCTTCCCGGAGATCCCCCACGGTCTCCCGCCGCATGCTGCTGCTGCTGCTGCTGCGGCGGCTTAAGCAGCGATGCACTCAGCTGACCCTGCCCCTGAGAGGACATCACCGGCACCCCAGCCGCCGGCAACGCCAGCGGAGGCGGCGGTAGCTCCGATTCCTCCGCTGAGGGACGGCTGGTGATGGCCGCAGGAAAGGCAGTTGGCGCCGGCGGCGGACCATGTGGATGCACCATTCCAGGCGCCGCCTCCCCCACTGACCCATGGGTCTCCGAGGGCTGGGAACTCCGGCGGCGGCCGCGACTGAAGCGACCCAGGCGACGAGCCAGGTGGGATGCTACATGCTTGCCGTCACCGCCGGCTCCAGAGTCAGCAGCAGCAGCGGCCTTGCGTGCCTGCAGCTGCTGCTGGTGTCGCAGGGCCAGCAGGGAGGCAAGGGAGCCGTTCTCGCAGCGCTCCAGAACGAGCCATGTGAGCAGCAGGGAGGAGGAGGAGGGGGAGGGGTCCACCGGGTCGACTGGCTTGGGCAGCAACTGGGCCTGCATGCATGTGAGGGAGGGAGAAGGCAGAGGAGAAGGAGGGATGAGCAAGGAAGAAGACATGGCATGGCATGTGTAGCGGAAAGGAATGGTGGAAAGACGGTGCGTGTGCGTAAAGACGGTGGGGGCGTGATGGGGCTGCAGGCATGAACAAGTATGCGACGCGTCGCGCGGGCAATGCAACCTATTCAACTCCACCTGCATCCCATTTTTCGGTCACCCTAACCATTCGGGACGAAACTTGTAAAACCCCGAATCGCATCCTCAGCCGAAGAACAGCTCTAACCACGCGTCCCAAGCTGCTAACCCACCCCACCCCACCCCACCCCACCCGACCCACCACGTCAGCCGGCACCGCCGCCAGGGACGTCGCCGGCAGCGTCTCCGCCGCAAAGCACGCGACAATGTTGGGGTGCGTCAGCCGCGTCCACACCTCCCCCACCTGCTCCAGCATGAAGCAGCACTCTTCGCCATGGCTCATCACCTTGACCACCACCCGCTGCTGCTGCTGCCACAAACCTGCGACATTGGCACCCGCGCATGCACGCGACTTTACGGGGCGCCGAATGCATGGAGCACGCCTCGCGCCAGTTGGGTGACGACCGCCTGAGGAGGCTCCACTGTCGTACACCACCCCATCACCCACCCTTCTGCCCGCCTGCCGCCTCATTCCCCCATTGTTTTGCCCAATCATGGTGCCCTACTGGTTTGGTCTACTTTGGCCCCCCTGGTGGTGACCCGGCAAGCCCTGTCGTTGCAATCCGCCAACCCTCATCCCCAACCCACCATGCAGGGAGGTGGCCAAGCGGCCTTGTTGTCCGCCGGACTTGAGCTCCGACAGGTCCTTCAGCAGCTGCGGAGGCAGCACAGCGGCGGCGGCAGAGAGCGGGTGCGCGCCACCACCGCCGCCACCACCAGCAAAGCTGCCGTCCGCGGCGTTGTTGCCGTCGGCTCCACCAGCACCAGCACCACCAGCACCTCGCAGAGCCCCCGTGCGACTGAAGCTACCATCCTCACTGCGGCCAGCGGGAGGAGGAGGTGGAGGAGGAGGAGAGAAAGCGGATAGGCTTTTGGTGGGATATGTGTGACATGTTAGGGTGTGATCTTTTCCCTAACTACGGGATAACCCAGACAAGAGGCACCGTAAACAACAGGCGGTCATGCACGCAAACAACGCTGCTGAACATCCGCTTTACCACAAGGAGCGGTGGGCTTACCCCTTGCGCAGCTGCGCGCTGAAGCGGGAGAGCGCTGACAGCGTGTGGTTCTGACTGCTCCGAGCGAACACAGTCGTGGACGTCTTGCCCATGGGGCGGCTGCCGGCCTGCACAGGGAGGGACACCTTTTGAGACGTGCGGGTAGGAGTATTCAGACCCTGACAAGACCGGTAAACAAGGATTGGAAGTGCTCTAACGCACGCAGGGGAAGCATAGGTCTGCGCCGTTTGCCTAGCACTAGGCAAATGGAGCAGACCTATGCTTCCCCTGCATGCGTTAGAGCACTTCCAGTCTTCTGTCTTTTGCTCCTCAGCCTGTCACATGTTCCAATCTTGATACCTATTTGAAGTGTGGTAAGCCCCACATAAGCTCCCCACACCGCTCCACACCCCCGCTGCACCGTACCTGCTGCTCTGCGCGCTGGTGCGCATCTGGGCTGCTCGGGGCCGCTGCCTTGGGTGGCGCCATGCAGGCGCAGCTCAGCAGCCGCCTCAGCCACACACCGCCCACAACCACCAACATCAGCGCCACGGCAACGACTGTGTGGGGCGAGGGCAGGGATCGCGCAGCCGGTCAAGGTCAAGGTCAATGGCAAGGCAACAGCAGCAGCTGCCATCGATTGTGATGCGTGCGGGGACTGCTACAGGGCCGGGCGGGAAGGCGCCGAACAACCCAAAGAGATAGAGAGAGACACGGTCCCATGCAATGGCCATGGCCTCTGCACATGCGCCATCACACCCTCTCCCAGCGTGCCTTTTGACTTACACTGCTGCCCCCAAAAGCCGCCTGCAAGACTGCCCCGTCCGCGACCGGAAGCGCCAGCACCAGATGTCCCAGCGGCCTCTGCCGCCAGCACCTCCCCTTGCAGCAGCCCGGCAGCAGCCGCAGCAGCGGCTCCGGCACCTCCGCTGCCGCCTGCCGTGTTTCGGCCACGTGGCCACTGCCCGGACACTGCCGCAAGCAGGCGCCGACGTCGGTACGACGATGGAACAGAGTCGCTGGAGGCTGCCGTCGCTGCTGCTGCGCTAGCAGAGCCTTTGGTGGCGTCGGTGCCACCGCCGCTGTCGCTGCTGCCGCTGTCGCTGCTGCCGCTGTCGCTGCTGCCACTGTCGCTGGCGCTGTCGTCTGACGTCATGTGTACATGGGTTGGCATGTTGCAGCGCACTTGGGTGTTATGCAGTAGCACTGTTGCGAAGCCATGCCCGCCGTCCGACGGCAGCTGCAACTGCAAGTCCTCAATTAGGTACGACGAGGTTGCAGTCGTACCCAGCGATAACGGTGATGGCCGCCCGGGGCCGAGGGTGGTCTCAAGGACGTCGGAAGCATGCTTAAGATTGCTGGTTGACAGATGCTCAGGTTCCGGATTTGAGCGGGCGCTTGACAGATGGAGATGCTGGCCCCCAGAACTGGGAGTGCCTCGAAGGTGAGAGAGGCCGCCCTGGCTGGCCGGGAATGTTTGTGGTCTCGCAGGATCTGGCAGCAAATCTGCTCGGGTGATTCCGGGCTGTGCGAATGCGCTGCTCCCGTCGCTGCTACTGCTGCTGAGGACGGAGGGATCAGCGCCAGCAGCGGGCTTTCCCGCGTGGAGCATGCTGGTGGTAAACTTAGCAGCACCACCTTGGTGGCTTTCTTTCCCCGTTACAGACAAAGCTGGTGCTTGTACAAGGCTAGAAAATCCGTTTGCCTCGCAAGAGGCAAACTCCAGGACGACATCTGCCAACGTGAGCGTGCCTTGACTGCGTTTATCTAGTAGCCAGCCAGCTACCAGACTCGCGAGGTTGCCGTCCGGTTCGCGCCCCTGCCCGATGTGCAAGCTAACGACAGTAAGGCCCTCAATGTCCAACCGCACGCCGGCAGGTAGAACCACGTGACGCTGTAAGACGCTGCGACTGTCAGCCGTTTGAATGCGGCCCTGGCGCCCCTGCCAGTTTATGTCTGGATTAGAAGGGCTGGTAACGCCGATAAGATGCGCGCTCCGGTGCAAGGTTAACGACCTGGTGCCCGTAAAAGCAACTCCTCCGATATGTGCTGGTGACGTAGAAGAAATGACCTTGACGACCATTTTGCTTTCATACGGCTGGGCCTCGGCTTCCGCCCGAGCATGGGCACGCGCCAAGGCCTCCAAGAGGTCACCCGGCGTTACAGTTACGCTGTGTGTTGCACAAAGCCTTACAAGAAGAATTCCAAACAGCAATGAGATCAACCGGACAAACGAAGAGCACGTTTTCTGAGGTGCACATAAATTGTGCAAGTTGTGCCCGTGTCTAGCTTCATCCTTCAATGCGGATGAAACCATGACCCCTTGAAGCAGACCACTTGACCGTTGAAGCCAGTGCCGTAAGGCTTTAGCAGTCAAGCCTAAGTCTCCAAAACGTAACTGGCGTCATTCCCGCCTGGCCAACGGTTGTGCCCTAGTCCCGTAGAGTTAAATACATTTTGTAGTATTAACCGAGAAGCATGTCCTGGTATTGCCAAGGCTGTACAACCAGGCCGAATTGCCGCCTTGCAGTGCACTGTGAATAGAGGGGTCTCTTAGGCAATGAACGTCCCGCGAAAGACAAACTATGTCATCCTCAAAAAGGAAAAAGCGCTATGACAAGTCGTGTCGAACTTCAGAGTATAGCTTTGTGCGTAAAACTGTAGAGATCCTTTCTCAGTGAAGAAAGGACGAGTACTAGACGACACCCTACAACCTACACGTGTTAACGTAATAGGATACCGCCAGGTGGTCAGCCAGCAATGTGTACGAAGCCCCGTACGGGACAAAATTTAGCGTTTTACAGCCTCAACGCACTCATACCACCTAGCTTCAACCAGTACAAAGCGGGACGCTTGCCTGTTGGTCTACGGCTTTCCTGGCGGTGCTGCCGCGGAGTGCCTGGATCCGGGTCCCGTGCATGGACGACGATGCTGCGTATATACTAGCATTGCACACAAACATTTGCCGACGCAATTGAGGTATGGACACATTGCGGGGAACCCTAATTATACTTTTGGGGGCTAGGGCCGGTGCTTCCCAGCAATCAATGTTCACTTATAGCAGGCCGTTGATAACTATGCTTGTGGCCTAACACTAGTAACTTGCGGCAGCGCGGCGCCGCATTTGCAGCCGCAAGTAGTAGTAATACCGTTGCCCCGTTCTATCCCGTTGTTTACGGCTGACTTCACAGATTACTGAAGAACTCAGGTAACGGATTAGGAGGACCAGTAAAAGTGTTTTCTCGTGACCCAGAAGCCCTATTAGGCCATGGCGCGCGTCGCGTTAGACTGAGGTTCCAGCTGGGTTCACTGTTGGCTGACACCCGTGTATCTTATGGTGCTCGCGAGTCAGCTCGCAAAAGAATTTTGTGACTAGGTCAGGTTGGTGTAAACAAAAATATATATGCCACGCGTACGGGCCGCGCATGAAATCTCCGAGCTTCCATCAGAAAACGCACCCCTTCCCCACGTGCATGGCTCACCCCCGCCAGCCGGTCGCTGCCGGGAGCTGGTTGCGTCCGCAGCCGGCCCAGCGCCGCCAGCTCTACCGAAGGCACCGCAGCGACAGCCTGCCGGCCTTGGCCCCGCCGCCGCCTCAACTTCAGCCGACGCTGGCGCCGCTGCTGCTGCTGCCGCCGCAGGAGCTGCCGGTGCATGTGCTGCCTGCATAATGCGCTGGCAAGTGTGCTCTGAGCGTTTCTCCGCAGCGTTCTGCGCTGCAAAAGCGCTGTTTGCCGCGCTGGGTAGGGTTTCGGGTACTGGCAGATCAGAGGAGCGAGAGTCGGCCGCCAGGGGCGCGCGCAAAGGGCGCGTCTGAATTAGGAAGCGAGGATTACACTGGAGGACCAGGTCTGCATTGGGTAGCAGGCGGTTGGGGTGGTTGCGAGTTCGTTACGTCACAGACGGGCGAGCGAGGATCATCCTGTGGAGGCGGCGCTGGGGGAACAGCCACAAAGAGCCAGGACCTTCTGCAGCCACGCCCGCACCCTCTTCGCGCTGCATGCGTAGTCGCGAACACAGTACGGGCACCACGGTCAGTGCTATCGCTGCAAAGCAAGACATGGTACTGCTGCTGCTGCTGCTGAGTGGGCCTACATTGCGGTGGGCCAACGCTACGCGCGAGTTCCGCTTTTCTCATGAAACGTACAGCGCGTTAAGCGGAGCAAACAAACGGCACACCGGCCCCAAAGGTGGTGCCAAGCACAATAGACGCTACGAACGGCTGGTGGCGCGACGGCATGGTGGCACATCGTACACGTCGTACCACAGTATCAGTGCTTCCTAACACCCGACCACACCATGCCTACCTCTCCAGATGCGTTACTGTTAGGGCTGGAACGTTACGGTTTACGGTATTACGATTTTGCGTAATTACGGTACCGTAATTACGGTACCAAATTCCTATTACGGTGAAAGTTTCCAGCCCTAGTTACTGTGCTTGCTTTTGCCTTTGCCTAACACCTTCTCAAGCCTAGCGAAAAATGATGCAAAAAAGGAGTTGATACAAACATAGCAATACCTTTGAGGTCAGCAGACCTTGGCGGTCCATTAGTCCCTTCCCCAACACACCCACACTCTCCTTACGTCGACCAACGCCTAAAGGGGCTGCAAACACAACTCCAATGCGGTGCCGTATGCCTGCCTCTCACCACGTCCGAATCGGCCCAAACACTTATACACCACCGGCACCACCAGCAGCAGCAGCAGCAGCAGCCCTCCGACGCACATCCGGAAGCAGCTCATCGAAGCTCCGAGTGTCCAACACGCCGCTGCCCCCAACGTGCTTGCGGATGTGGCGTGACAGCAGCTCTGCGGTGCCCGGGCCCAGACACAGCCCCGAGCCCTCGTGACCCGCAGCCACGAACAGACCTGCAGGGGATGGAGGGGCGGAGGGAGCATTTAATGGGTTTAATCGGAGCTTTTGGGTGCCAACAGGGGGGCTCCGGAACTTTCCACTCTCCCATAGTCTCAGTTCCCTACTTGTTCGAACAGCAGTGCACAGCCCCGGCGCCAGGCCACAGCCCCTAGCCTCCAGCCCAACCCCGGCCTAACCCCACTAACCCACCCAACCAGCCCTCCAACCCCGCCCTCGTGGCCCCCAGCACAGCCCCCAGCCCCCCCCAGCCCCCAGCTCTCCGCAGCCCCCAGCCCCGAGCCCCCGACAGAACCCAGCCCCCAGCCCCCCAGGCCCCCCCAGCCCCCAGGCCCCGCCAGCCCCCAGCCCCCCCCCAGCCCCCAGCCCCCGTTTCGCCTCACCCGGCGCTCCCTCCACGGGCCCCACCAGCGGCAACCCGCCCACCGCATACGGCCGCAGCCCCACTCGCACCGACAACCCGGCCAGCGGCCCCGCACCACCACCACTGCTGCTGCTGCTGCTGCTGTCGCTGACAACACTCTGAAAGCCAGCACCATCGCTGCTGGAACTGCTGCTGGTGCTGCTGGCGGCGGTCTCTGCTGCTGCCGCCGCCTCCGCAGCAGCCGCCTCCGCTGCAGGCTGCAGGTGCGGCAAGAAGAGCGCGGATCGCTGCAGGATGGCGGCTACGATGGCGGGAGAGGGCGTCGCATCCCAGCCGCTAAACTCCCGACTGCTGCCTGTGTGTTGAGGGGAGAAAGAAGGAAGGAACGGAAACCCCACTTTGTACAACCAGTCAAACCAACCGGTCAAACCCGCAGAGCCGTGCCCATAGGGGGGGGGAATATAGATAAATGCATCAACGGAACCCCAATCCAATCATAGGGGGGAAGGGAGGAGGGCCGAGGCCGGGGACAGGGTGGGAGCCACAGGGGGCCAGGATTGCATTACATGGTAACAGCGGAACACGCGCCCCGCGCACCTATCAGCAGGGATCCGCTGGCGCTGGTGGTGGCGGTGAAGGTGATGTCCACCTCGGCTTCCGAGGGGGCGGAGGCAACAGCCGAGGAAGGGGAGGAGGCGGAGGCGGAGGAGGCAGCATGGGGTGCGGCGGTTGAGGAGGTGGCGTAGTGCTGCGAGGGGCGCAGGCAAAAGGACGGGTTGGGAGCTAATCGGCATTCAAGGAGGAGGAGAATGACGATGATGAGGAGGAGGAGGTGGCAACGAGTGGGGGCTATAGGCCGGGTAGCGAGCAGCGGACCACGGCAGTCCACAGCTAAAGAAGGAGCAAACAAAGGAAAGCTGAGGATGACCAGGTACGACAAAGCCTTTAGCTCCTTCTCGTTACTTTTTCACCTTTGTGTACGACATCTCCATCATGCCATGTACGACAGGCGGCATGTGTTCCGGCCGCGGTAGCTCCAGCAGGTGCCCTCTGCGCGGCTGCAGCAGGTGGGCCCAGCCGGGCTGCCCGGTGGCGGCCGCCAGCAGCCCGCCGCTCCATACGCCGGCAGCCAACACCAGCGCGCGGCGGGCGTGGATTCTAACGAGGGAGGAGGATTAAAGGAGAGGAGAGGGGAGGAGGGGGGAGGAGAGGAGGGGAGAGGTAAGTGGTGTTGGGGGTGGGGTGCTGGTGGGGGTGGCCGTAACAGGGGGCTGGGGGCGGCTACCTGCTGTACTAATGAGCTGTGATGAGCTGATGTCTGATGAGGCGATGAATGAGGCGATGAATGAGGCGATGCATGGTGGCTGGTGGGGCGGGCATGGAGGAGTGGGCATGGAGGAGTGGGCATGGAGGAGTGGGCATGGAGGAGTGGGCAGCAGTGGAAGAACAGCAGCAGCGCAGCAGCTGCCCCTCCCTGCCCAGCAAGCAAGGACCACCACAACCCCCGCACACCCGCACCCCACCCTAATTCGCTAATGCGGGTTGGGCGGGTCGGGCTGGCTCACATGTTGCAACCCATGTTGACGCCTTATCCCTCAGTCAGTTAGTTTTTTCCTCTTTACCCACCCCCTAACCTCCACCTCACCTCCTACGCGGCGTGAGCACCACATGACCCGCTCCTCCCTCCGCTCCTCCTCCTCCTCCTTCTTGTCCGCCCGCCGTCCCGCTGCTGCTGCACGCGCCCGCCAGTTCCACCCGCGTCACCTGCCCCTCCTCCGGCCCCACAAGCGCCGTGAAGCCTGGCTGGCGGCGGCAGCGCTCCAGCAGCAGGTGCGCGGTGGCACGACCGTTCTGGAGGGGGCAGCGAGGGCGGAGAGGAGCGGGTAGGCAAGGAGCGGGGAGCGGGTGTCTTCGGTGCAAGCTGTAAACGGCACGCACTCCACGCGTATCGCCCGCCCCCGCCCTCCCTCCCAGCCCTCCCTCCCAGCCCTCCCCCGCAACCCCCCGCCCCCGGCACCCCCCCCTGCAACCCCGCTCACAATCTGCGTGTCGCTGTCCACCCGCAGCCCCGCCCCCCCGCCGGCCCCGGGCAGCCGCAGTGCCCGCTCCTCGCCCGCCAGCCGCCCCCCGTCCAGGTAGGTGGCGCGCAGCCCCACCGCGTTGAGCGCCAGCTGCCGCTCCGACAGGGCGGCGGACTCGGCGGCGGAGGTGGACAGCAGCAGTGAGCCGCAGTCCTGGAAGGGGTGGGAGGGAGGTGGTGGAGGTGGAGGGAATGGAAGGGAGGAGGTGGAGGGAATGGAAGGGAGGAGGTGGAGGGAAGGGAAGGGGGGGAGGAGCAGGGGAAAGGCGCTTAGTTTGTGTCATCGCCGATCAAGCGATCATACCCTTGTCAGTCACCACGCCCGACCCCTCTACAGTCGTCATCCCCGTCCGCCATCATTCTCCTCCGCAGTCATGCGCACCATGAACCCCACCCTGCATAGTCTCCCCTGCTTAGCCCACCCCTCCTTAGCCCACTCCTGCTTAGCCTAACCCCTGCTGAGCCCACCCCTGCTTAGCCCACTCCTGCTTAGCCTAACCCCTGCTTAGCCTAACCCCTGCTGAGCCCCACCCCGTCCTAGTCCCCCCTAGCCACCTGCCACTCCAGCGGGCCCCGCAGCCCCGGCTCCGCCTCCAACATCTTGCGCCACAGCGCCATGGAGCGAGCCGCCAGCGCCCAGCCCACACTGCCCGGGCTGCGGTGCGCCATCCAGAGGTAGCCCTGGCCTGGGGCGGCACGCGCGGCAAGGGGTTGGGGGTTGGGGCCGGAGGTGGGGATGGGGCAGGGAGGGAGGGGTTGAGGATGGGGCAGGGAGGGGTCGAGGATAGGACAGGGAGGGCGATGGAAGGAGGAGGAGGAGGCGTTATAAGGTGTTGCTGTCCTTGCTGGGCAAGATGTCGCTCGGTAGATTGTTGTTGCCTGACCTGCGCCCGTGGCTCCCGCGCAGAGTCCCTTGCGCTCCAGCAGCGCCACGCTGAGCTTTTGGTTGAGCAGCTCCTGGGCAGCTAGCAGGCCCACAATGCCTGCGGGGAAGATGGCGATGATGGAGGAGCGTCATCGTGGAAGTAGGTTTGCTCAAGAGCATGGAACCCCTAATGCGCTGATAAGTTAGGGTGTGCTTTTGCCTTATTCCCAGCGGTTATTACCTACCACCGCCCACGATGACCACGTCAGCAGTGAGGACATCATCTGCCGCGCTGCGGGCAGCTACGCGGCTGATCGTAGTCTTGTTAGGCAAAGGAGCACAAAGTCGCTGTCTAACTTGTCTTGCAATTACTGGCTTGCGTGTTGCGCCATTCGGGACAGTGTTCCGAACTTGCATGCTCGCGGAGAAGCGATCACCCTACACCCGATCTCACTACGCACACAACGCTTTTAGTGTTTCCTACGCTATGATCGCTGTATACTTGGAAGGGAAAACGGCAACAATGAGTCCTTGCAACACCGCGATGATGTCTGCAGGTCAAGCTAACTCGGAGGCGTTAACGGACAAATGGTGAGGGGCTTCTTATGCATAGCTTCATTACTACTAGCTCTGGCGGAAGTAAAGTCGATTTGGGTCGTACAGTATCCTTGCACACTAGCCTAAGACGACGACGTAACCTAATATGCCGTTTAACACTTTAACACGCGCAAAAGTTCTACGGTCGATGGCCTCCCGACCCAATGCGACGTCACGCAGCAGCTTCAAAGGCCTCGCTGCTTATCCAATAAGTCACAGCATGTCGTGTATCCCTGTACAAGGATATTCTGCTGCCGGCTCAGTCACACCTTTAAACACCGCTCCGTACAAGGCTATCCTTGCACCTACTGGTCAGAAGGACCCCACCAGGAGTCCTGTCTCCCGTCTCAACCGCGAGCCAACACGCCTTACAAGCTTAGGAAGCGAGTATTACACTGGAGCCTGCTCCAACACGGCATCATCAGCCACGCGGACGACACAGCACATGTACGGCAGCACATGCCCGCCAACCATGTCACCCACCGTCTCAGCTAAGGGTAACAACAAAGGGTCAAGCCAGTTGGCTGGGGGCGACATCGTTAGCGACATGGACAGGAGACGGGAGGAAAGTGCTACTACAGCAAGGGTGGACGCCGGCAAGGATGCGCCACAGCCGCCACCGCCTGCCAAGCCTGCACCTGTCAGCCGCATTCCACAGGTCGGGCCCGTGGGGCAGCAGAGATCCCAAGCTGCCATGAACACTGCAACCTCCACTTCCATTCTACCGGTACCCCCTAGGTCACTATACCGTTATCTGCACTATGTACGCGTCCAGTCCACGGCCGTACCCACCATCGCACAACCGTTATATTTACACTGGTCCTAACCACCTTGGGTTGTCCGCAGCCCACTGAACTATCTACCGGTATCTCCGCCCCTCTCCTCTTCCTTCCTTCCCCCAACCGCCCCAAACCCCCCACCCCCAACCAAACACACCCCACATACAGGCCATGGTGGTTCTGGCTCAGGCGGAGGTGCCGCCCGACTGTCCGCCCGCCACCCCGCTGCCAGAGCTGCTGCACCGCCTGCTCCCCGAGCACCTCCCCAGCATCACAGGTGGGCTGGCCTGCCTGCGTTGTGGACGGCACATGTACATGTTATGGACGGCTTTTCCTGGGCATCACAGGTGCCCCCTATGTTGAGGATACGGCGTGCATGTATGTGCGTTGCCTGCGGAGTACCCACCTCGCTACTCGGTGCCTCACTAACGCAGCGGTTGATGATGAGAGTCCAACCTGGCTACATACCGGTGCACACACAAAGCTACACAAAACTAGAAAGTTCTCCAGTGTCTCCATCTCGCGTTTCGGGCCGTCAAACTGCCGCATTCCTTTTTTCCCTGCAGCCGCCAAAAGAGCCCTCCGGCGGCGTCTGGTGCTGCGGATCCCCGCGGCTGCCTTCTCCTCCTCCTCTTCCTCCTCCTCAGCAGCAGCAGCAGCACCCGCCTCCTTCTCCTGCACCCCAACCGGCGGTGACAGCACATCCTCCTCCTCCTCGGCCGCCACCGCCGCCTCTTCCACTTCAGCACCACCAAACTGCGACACCAGCACCACCACCACCACCACCACCGCCCTGGGCGACAAGCCGCACCCAAGCGGCGTCCTGATGTCCACTGCGGACCTGGCCGACCCACGGGACGTTTTGCAGCTGCTGGCTCGCAGCGGCAGCGGCTACATGGGCTGGGTGGGCCCCGAGGAGGCTGCTGGCGGCGGAGGCAGCAGCAGCAGCAGCAAGCGGGGCAGCAGCAGGAGGGGCAGCTCATCTGGAGCGGCTGCGGGTGAGGATGGTGATGAACTGGGGAGGTTGGAAAACGGGTCGCCGTCAGGGCAGCTGCTGCAGCCGCAAGCTGCAGTCCAAGGAGAGGTGAACAGTCGACGACACCTCCAAAAGCAGTTGCCCTCGGGCCTGCCGATCGCCTACGAGGATGACCATTTAGCTGTGGTGATTAAACCACCTGGCATTGAGACCCAAGGGTCAGGTGCGTGCGTGAGCGAAAGTGGCCGAAGAAGTGTAGGTGCTGCGGTGTCCCCAAAACCATGAGACTAAAGCTAGCAGCTGAGAATGGGTGTGAGAGGCCTTGCGTTGCATAATATGGAAACTGTAGAATGCCTGGACACATTCCGTATGCTCTGGCTTGCTGTACCGGTACCGATATATGCATTCAAGCTTATATCGGTATCCTGGCTATCTGCCATCTACATGGGTATTGCATAGGTTGTGTTCTGGCCTCGACTACTTTCTCACGTACAGTCCGGTTACGTTTTTTAACCGTTTTTTCCGTTTTCTTTTCACAGGAGATGCCAGCGTTCAGGGGCGGCTGAAGTACTGTCTGAGACCCACTCCCCTGGTCGGAGCCCTCCACCGGCCCAAGCAGGTCGGAACGTGCGCATGCTCCAACTCGCAACCCGTGGCTGCCACGCGCTTGGCTTGCACGTATACCGTACACGAAGCAACCCTGCTCCGTAACTACTACCACGGAACATCCCATGGCCAGGTGGTTTTATGTCGCCAATTCCTAAGAGTGTCGTACGTGCCCCTCGACGTAACCGTTCGTGTGGCACCAGGTGCACCGGCTGGATCTGCCCACGGGAGGATTGCTGCTGGCGGCTAAGACCCACGTGGCGCTACGGGGCCTCGCCGCGGACCTACATAACCGGCGGGTGACTAAACGGTAGGAGGCATGAAAGGCGGCTGCCACGTGTTTTAATGCCGGTAACCGTTGTCGCATATCGGTAACGCACTTCGATGCGGTAGGTGTACAAGTTGTCATCTAAACGGTTTCTTCAACCCCCGCAGGTATTGTGCCCTGGTCAAGGGCATTCGCGGCGGCTCCCGAACCATCGACATGCAGCTGTCCGGCAAGCCGTGCGTCACTTACTTTGAAGCCTTGCTGCCCCCACCGGGTCTGACACTGTCTTCCAACCCAACCTCATCAGCAGTAGCAACAGCGGAGGCCGCTGTAACCCTAACCGCGACAGCAGAGGCAGCAGCGCCGGCAGCATCGGTAGCCACAGCAGCATCGGCAGCAACAACTGCTCATGTGGCGGGCTGCACCCACGTACCCAGTCCGCGCCACGGGGCCCTCTGCAAGGTGCTCCTGTGGCCGCACACGGGCCGCACACACCAGCTGCGCAAGCACATGGCCTACACCGGAACACCCATGCTGGGGGACCCACGCTACCGTGCGCCACGTAAGGGTGAAGCCGCATGGGGTAGCGGCGGCGGTGGTGGCAGGGGCGAGGAAGGCGACGGGGGTGATGGGGGTGGGGGTGATGGGAGTGCAGGAGGCAATGAGGAGGAGGGTACGGCGCTTGAGGGCGGCGCGGATGGGCCTTGTGATGAGGGCATGGAAGCTCCTGGAGGGGGTCCGTTGGGAGGCAGCAGCGAGGAGGGGAGAAGGGTGTGGGCTGCTGCTGTGGACGATGCGCCTACAGGCAGCCTGCAACATGGGAACGCCCTGACAACGAGTACGGCAACGAGTACAACAAAGAGGATGACGACGACGTCGTTGACAGCAGGTTGTGAGGGAGGAAAGGGCGAGGAGGGGGAAGGAGAGGGTGAGGGTGATGTTGCCAAGGGGGCATGGGAGGTTTACCGGCCTGCTGTGGATGTGGGATGGGTGCTGGCGGCGGCGGAGGCGGCGGCCGCCATGGAAACGTGTGGAGGGGATGTGTTGTCGGATGGGACCCCGGTGTCGCTGTGCCTTTGGGCGGTGGGGCTGCGCTTCCGGCATCCGGTCACGGGGCGGGGTATCGAGGTAGATGTTTCTGACTGGGCTGATGCAGTGTACGATGATGTACTAAGGCGGGAAGCTGCGGCGGCGGCGGCGGCGGTGAGGGTGACGGGGGGGTAAGGTGCTGCTCAGCTGTTGCTAGGGGGGTGGTACGTGTCTGCATGGATGATCAATCACCGGTGACTCCAATGCATTGGGTCTTGCTGGGATAAGATGTACATGGCCTGGCCACGTGCATTAACTGGCATGTCGCATTGGCGACCCACGGGTCACATGCGCGCTCCAGCTCGCCCTCCGGTCCATCCTGTCTACAGCGGTAACGTGTGCTGATTAAAGAGCGCGCTTCATGTTTCACTCGCCTCCATTAACCACGGCGCCGACCCTACATTGCTACGTTTGCTAAATCAATTGGCCCTAAAGCAGCTAGCAGAGGACATTGCCTCAACCGCAATTCTTGCAGGTGACAAGTAAATGAACACCACCACAACACCAGACGACATAAATCGAAAAGGAAAAGAACAAATGTCAAAGGACGACCAGAGCCTGGGGGTCTACGAATGGCAGCGTTAGTCCTCTAGCGTCGTCTAGCCCTGGCTACGGGGGCTACGAGGGTGCCTTGCAAGATACGCCACATCCGTATGCACGCACGAGATGCCTTACTAAACGCTTCTATGCATAAAACCCGGGCAGTCCTGTCACAGTAAACCGCTAATCCTGCATTCCTTTGCACCGGCGAAATTGCACCTAATGCAAGCCTTGTTGGCGGCTTCTTTCAGCAGCGTGTTCCTCAAAGTGATGGGGTTCAGGAATTACCAAAGGACGACTCGTCAACTGCCGGCGGCAAGTTGGACAACTCCCATGTGGGTGGCGGAGCCGCCAAGTCCGAAGGCTCCGACGGCGGTGGTGGCGCTGGCGGCGGCGGCGACCGAGGGGGACGTGGCGGCGGCGGAGGCGCCAGCGGCGGCCTCGGCGGCCGTGGGGGGCGGGGGGGCACTGGGGATGGCGTGCTGGACACGGGCGGGGCTGGGCTGGGTGGAGGCTTTGGGGCGCGTGGTGACGGCGGCTGGGGGCTGGGAGGCGCGGGAGGCAGCAGGGGAGAGGGAGGCTGCGGGAGGGGGAGAAGGGGAAATTGGCAGTTATGATGCACCCGCCATGCTTGAAGAGCAGGAACGGGTGGAAGAAGGCCAAGATGAGCACGGGATGGGGGATGGCGGAAAGCATGGACGGGCTAATTGCCGGGTTGTCCTTATTGGCCTTGCCTAAAGGTACTATGCCGGCTAAGTGCATGCACATATCAGCTTGTTGAGCACCGTACACATGTTCGGAAATGTGTATTGAACAGGAACGTCACCCTAGTTGCGCCATTCATTGACACTGATCTGCGCAAAAAGGGGTATACAACTAGCCCCAAACCCCAGTCACCTCGCCCTACGGCGGGTTGGGGATATCGACTATACATCGCCGAAAGGAAAGGGGCACGGGCACAATCACCCTGACTCACCGGCTTCGGTTTGCGGGGCGACCGAGGGGATGCTGGCGGGCTGGGTGGCCCCGGGACCTGGGGGCCCCTTGACGGTAGCTGCGGCGACAGTAACCTGTCGGGCGGGGAATGTGGTGGCGGACTTGGGGGTGTCGAAAGAGGCGGTGACCAGCAAGCAAGGCGAAGAAAGCGGGGCAGGGCGACACGGGGAAGCAGCGGGGGTGAGATGCATGGTGAGCGGGGTGGAGTTGACACCTTGCATGGAAGCACGGCGGATGTGCCGTACTGAGTTAGGCGCAGTGCAGAGAAGGAAAGGCACATACAGTGTGGAAATCTGGAAGGGATGGAACGTGACAATGCCATATGTGAATATAGGACAGCGAGACAGGTAGGCTTGTGGGTGGTAATAGTTGTGCGGGAAAGCCCTGTTAAGGTCTGAGGCTGGTGAGGCGCCAAGGAAGGCGGGCGGTGTGTGCTGTGCTGTGCCGGCGGTTCCGTACTGCATGTTTAGTGTCCCAAACCATCCAAATAGGAGAACTGCGCTCGGGCATATTACCGTACCTTGGGGGTCGGGGTGGGCTGGGGCTGCGTTGCGGTGTGGGTGATGTGAGAGCAGGGGGCGGAGAATGCGGGCGTGGGAAGAATGGTGGCGGCCGTGGGGAGGGAGACGGCGGTCGTGGGGGAGGCGAGGGCGGTCGTGGGGGAGGCGAAGGAGGTCGTGGGGGAGGCGAGGGCGGTCGTGGGGGAGGCGAGGGCGGTTGTGGGGGAGACGGAGGTGGCCGTGGGGGAGACGGAGTTGGTCGTGGGGGAGACGGAGGTGGTCGTGGGGGAGGCGAGGGCGGTCGTGGGGGAGACGGAGGTGGCCGTGGGGGAGACGGAGGTGGCCGTGGGGGAGGCGAGGGCGGTCGTGGGGGAGGCGAGGGCGGTCGTGGGGGAGACGGAGGTGGCCGTGGGGGAGGCGAGGGCGGTCGTGGGGGAGGCGAGGGCGGTCGTGGGGGAGACGGAGGTGGCCGTGGGGGAGACGGAGGTGGCCGTGGGGGAGACGGAGGTGGCCGTGGGGGAGGCGAGGGCGGTCGTGGGGGAGGCGAGGGCGGTCGTGGGGGAGACGGAGGTGGCCGTGGGGGAGGCGAGGGCGGTCGTGGGGGAGGCGAGGGCGGTCGTGGGGGAGACGGAGGTGGCCGTGGGGGAGACGGAGGTGGCCGTGGGGGAGACGGAGGTGGCCGTGGGGGGGACAGAGGTGGCCGTGGGGGAGGCGAGGGCGGTCGTGGGGGAGGCGGGGGCGGTCGTGGGGGAGACGGAGGTGGGCGAGGGGAGGTGGAAGGCGGCAATGAGGAGGATGAGGGTGGCCGTTCCGACAACGGTGGTGGTCGCATGGAGGGCGATGAGGCCGGCTGTGGATATGGTAGCGTTGGCCGAGGCGGTGGGGAGGGCGGCGGCTGCAGCAGCAATACGGGTGGTGGTGACAGCGAGGATTGCGATGGTAAAGGAGATTGCAACGGAGGGGGTGATGAACGTGGGCTAGGAGAGGTTCGGGGTGGCTGGCCTGGCGGGGTGTTTGGTTTAAGAGGTGGTGAGGAGTGTGGTAGTGGGCTTGTGGGAGGCAGGGGGGAGCTAGGAGGAAGTAGAGATGGAGGGGGAGTGGGCGGAGACCGGCTTGCGGAAGGTGGAGGTGGGCTGGGTGGGGGAGGGCTTGGGGGAGGTGGAGGTGGGCTGGGTGGGGGAGGGCTTGGGGGAGGTGGAGGTGGGCTGGGTGGGGGAGGGCTTGGGGGAGGTGGAGGTGGGCTGGGTGGGGGAGGGCTTGGGGGTGGGGGCGGAGGGCTGGGTGGTGGAGGGCTAGGGGGTGGGGGCGGAGGAGGCGGACTAGGGGGAGGTGGGCTGGGAGGAGGAGGGAGTGGGAGCGGTGAAGGAGGCGGTGGCGTGGATGGCGGCATGGCAGGAGGCGGCGGCTGGCTGGGTGGAGGTGGGTTAAGGGGTGGAGGTGGGCTAGGTGGTGGAGGAGGTGGGCTGGGCGGCGGCGGGCTGGGGGGAGGTGGCGGAGGCGGCGGAGGAGGTGGGCTGGGAGGTGGCGGGCTGGGGGGAGGTGGCGGAGGCGGCAGAGGAGGTGGGCTGGGAGGAGGCGGGCTGGGAGGTGGCGGGCTGGGGGGAGGTGGCGGAGGAGGCGGAGGAGGTGGGCTGGGAGGAGGCGGGCTGGGAGGCGGCGGCGGCGGCGGCGGCGGCGGTGGAGGGCTGGGAGGTGGCGGGCTGGGGGGCGGTGGCGGAGGCGGCGGAGGGGGTGGGCTGGGAGGGGGTGGCGGAGGCGGCGGAGGAGGTGGGCTGGGAGGTGGCGGGCTAGGGGGCGGTGGCGGAGGCGGAGGCGGCGGAGGACTGGGAGGTGGCGGGCTGGGGGGCGGCGGCGGAGGCGGAGGGGGCGGAGGGCTGGGAGGTGGCGGGCTAGGGGGAGGTGGCGGAGGCGGCGGAGGGGGTGGGCTGGGAGGGGGCGGGCTGGGAGGCGGTGGCGGAGGAGGCGGAGGGGGTGGGCTGGGAGGGGGTGGCGGAGGCGGCGGAGGAGGTGGGCTGGGGGGCGGTGGCGGAGGCGGCGGAGGAGGTGGGCTGGGGGGAGGTGGCGGAGGTGGCGGAGGGGGTGGGCTGGGAGGTGGCGGGCTAGGGGGCGGTGGCGGAGGCGGCGGGGGAGGTGGGCTGGGAGGAGGTGGAGGTGGGGGAGGCGGAGGCGGGCTAGGCGGTGGTGGGCTGGGAGGAGGTGGAGGTGGGGGAGGCGGAGGCGGGCTAGGCGGTGGTGGGCTGGGAGGAGGTGGAGGTGGGGGAGGCGGAGGCGGGCTAGGCGGTGGCGGGCTAGGGGGCGGTGGCGGAGGCGGCGGAGGAGGTGGGCTGGGAGGAGGTGGAGGTGGGGGAGGACTGCGCTTGGCCTTTGGAGGAGGAGGCGCAGCTGGGGGGGCCGGTGAAGGCGGTGGTGACGGCGTCGGCGGCGGTGACGCGGCGAGGGGGTCGGCGAAGATGAGTCCGGTCACCTGGCAGGTGTTGCAGCAGCCAAGGTCTTCGCTGGGGGCGGCCTCGTTGACTGCAAAGTAGCAGGCGCCGTCGGTGGCGTGGCACAGGTCGCTCCAGTCGGCGCATGTGGAGCGCGTTTCGTAGCAGACCTGTGGCGGCAGTGGCAGTGGTAAGCTTGTTGTAGCAGTGCAGGTCAGCGGTGCTGTCGTGTGAGATGGCTGGCCAGCAAGACTGCTGACCACTGTTATTATTGCTGCTACATGTGTATCTGGCATGAAAACAGCATGTCAGCATGCCGGCTTCTATTCGGGCACGAAGCGTAAGCATCAGGCATGTTCTTCCTCTTCCGAACACATGTGCCTAAGCTCCCACCTCGAGCTCCCCAGGGGTGGGCGCCAGGGCTCCGAGGCCGCTGGCCAGCAGCCCCACGTTGGCCGCACTGCCCACAACGTACCCAGCTGGGTAGTTGAGAGTGCGCGGGAGCTGCGCAGGTGGGCGGCAGCAGGGAGGGGGGCAGGTGGACCAAAGAAGGGCAGGGAGGGCAGGGAAGGGAAGAGGCCGCTTGCATGTGGTTTCAATAGGGACTAGCGTGGATGGGGGAGTACCGTGGCGAGGTGTGCGTGCAACCACGCATGCAGCATGCCGGCACGTGCCCCTGCTGGTTGACCTTATTTGGCTACCGTAGATTACGGCAGCCCCGCCCTTACACTCTGATGGCCGCTAGGCTGAATGTCGAGCCTAGCAGCCTGCACCCCATAAAGTACCGCTGGTAAGCGCCCGGTGCCCACATGACCCCTATAGGTTGCTGTTAGCACCAAACAGTAAAGGGCACCTTGCACCCTGCAACATGATGTGGCGCCCTGCTGGGGCCCCCCACATAAGCTCTAAGGCCTCCAACCACCGCCCAGCCGTTCATGAAAACCCTGACCCCACGCAATCACGTTGCCAGGAAGGCACATCCCGCGCTTGCATCCCCACTCACCTCCACGCCGTTCGCCAGCACTCGCAGTACGCTGCTGGCGTTGCAACTCCCAACGGCGGCTGCGAGCCGTCCCCGGGGCGGGCAGTCAGGGCGTCAGGGGTAACCAACAGGGCGGGCAGTCAGAGTAGTGCTAACAGAGCAGCAGGCGAAGATCGCGCGCGAGGCATGCGTAGCAATGGGATGAAGACTGGGGCAAGCATGGGGGGTTGGTGTAAGGCAGGAGCGAAACATGAATGCATGTGCGCTCAAGAGATGTGCGCCACACGTGCCTGGCTCCAACCGGTCGAGATTCCCGTGTAGAAGAGAAGGGGAATACGGGCGACCCCAAAGCCGGGACTGCTGCACAACAAGCTGACTGCAGCAGCAGCAGCAGCAGCAGCAGCAGCAGCAGCAGCAGCAGCAGCAGCAGTGTCCACTAAGGTCCGATCTGCACCCTTCCAACTCAACCCCATGCATGCATGCGCACGTGCACCCACTCGTACGCCCCACCTACCCGTGCTAAGGGAAATGGCTTCTACTCGGCTAGCCAGCTCCGCGCAACATGCGTGATCCTGCAGGGCAGGTTTGGGAACAACAAAGGTACTGACAGCAGCCATGGCTGCTGCGTATGGAGGCGGAGCGGATGGAGGCGCAGCGGGGAATGCGCTGTGCAGCAGCACCCCGTCGCTCACCAAGCCCTGCTCTTCCCACAGCAGCCTCTTTGCCCCTCACGTCTACTTATTGCAGCGCACGTGGTGACGCAACACAACGCGTGCGGAGACGGCCAAGATGGGAGGTGGAAGCGCAATGGGGGGTACAGCTGCAACGCGGCAGGTGTGTGAAGTGGCATTGCAAAGCGCAACCCGAGTATGCAACGCACCGCGCAGGTCTTGGTTTGCAGCTTGACGCAGTAGGTTAGGACGGTGCCTCGCCGACTTGAGGTCTTCCGTACTCCCTGGTGTGTGTGGCGGGAAGGGTTGTCAACGGTCAGCAAGCAGCAGCAATACCCGTGTTCCCTTTCAGGCAGCAGGGAGCCCATTGTAACAGCTATTCCTTTCAAGCGGCACCCATTGGCCACAAAGAAGCGACCCGCAGCGTCTGTCTGCTGCTACGTGAAGAAGCATGGGCGCGTGTGTGCATGCTTGGGACGGATCTAAACATGCCTGGTGTACGACGTATCTAGCCAACCCACCCCAGCATGACAAGTCGACAAGACAGCTTGGAATGTGTCTGTCTTGCTGTACAGGGCAGCAGTCACCCCACATGGGGAAATAGAAGCCAGAAGCAACAACGCGGCCGCCGCTGCGCCAATACGTAAATGACGCCGTGCAAGCACCACCAGCAGCGAACATGCATGATCCTAAGGTGCTGTCTGCCCTAGGTGCGCATCATCAATAGCGCTCGCTTGACTCATTGTACGGCCCGGCCCATAGCTTACCGCAAGCGCCCAAGGGCTGTTCGTGCAGCGCTTGCGGCAGGAGTATTGGAAGGGGAAATCCACGTCCGCTAGCGTCTGAAGAAGTGCTCGACCACTGCCGCTTCTACTGCTACCACTACTACTGCTGCTTCTTCTGCTACTGCCAATGCTGCAGGAGTCCATGCCAATCCAGAGCGCAGGCAGGGATAGCATGCCACGGGAAGGTGAGTGCAGGTGAGGAGGCGGTTAGCACTAGGGAAGGAAGGACGGGCGCGTCGCCAATAGTGAAGCAGCCCAAAAAGAACGAAGACAGCACACGGACAGCAGTGCACGCCACGCGACACATGACAGGGTGTAAAGTTGAGCCAACCACGACATTGCCTTGGGGGGCCCACACTTCTGAGGATTACCTTCTAAGCTGGACTGAATGCCAAGAGGTCGTGTGGCCTACGGCAAAGAGGCCGCACGGGCGGGTAACAACAGGAGGTAAGCATAGTAGCAATGGAGCGGAGACAACTCTAGAATGCGAAAGTTACAAGGGGGGTTACAACTCTAGGCTAATTACGTACAATAGCAAGCGTACGGATGCCGTCCAGCCACTTCAGCCTAGTTTGCCAGCAACAACGGTGTATTGCAGCGTTTGCCTGCCGTCTTTGCGAAAGCTTACTAGCTTAGAGATGCCCCATGGCCCCGGTGCACGTTACATGGCTCCTAACACCAACTTAACAGCTGTTTTGGCGGCTAATCACAGGCAGTACAGCAGCAGCCGTACCTTCAGCTGCAACGGTCGACGCCATTGCCTGAAGTACTAGCAGCACAGCCAGCAAGGCGGGCGGAAAGCTGGACGGCTTTGCCCACGTTTGCCTCATCCGTGCATGGGGACCATCGCCGACGGCGTGTTGGCTGCCCATGCAGCCTTTGCCGGCCATCTTCCCGGCAGGAAAGCCTCTTTGCTGCTACGTGCTCAAGGCTGAACTGAGAGCAGCTGGATTCCGCGCGCGTTGCTACGTCATGGACGTCCTGGTGCGTTGTCGTACAGCCTGTGGTAAATTGAAGGGAGGGGCAACTTATGCGCGATGTGTGGGAGTGCAGTGTTGGACAAGGTTTACTCCGCTTCCGGGGCTGCCGCCAGCAACGATGATGAACGCATTCACGGTACTTGGTGGTTGCAGTAAGTGCCAAAGTGCTATGCGACGGAAGCTCGAGGTGGTTAGGGCACTTAGGTGTGTTTACAAAAGAGGTCTTACAGAAGGTAGGTGCGGTGTGTTTACAAAATCATGGTCTCCAAGACGAGGCCTACTCCGTTGCAAGCAGCTGCTCGCGCCCGCTTGCGTACAATTTCGACACCGGGGACCAACTGCCAAGGCGAAAATGATAACAATGTTACGAAAGCCAGTATTATGATAGTGACACGCTTCTGTCACATGCAAAAGTTAAGAAGCCAGGGCGGCAGCAACCCCATTTCTCCCTTACGTGGTGCGACCACACAAGCGCTTCCATCCCTAGCCAAGTGTAAAATGACAATGTGGTAATATATCTGCATGTAAATGTCTTTTTGTTCTGGGCCATTCTGTCAAGTCGAACTACCCGCACGCCCGCCCTCCCGTATAGTTCGACACTCTAGCTGCCCTCACCTGCAGAACGCGGCCGGTATATTAAGCTCCATACTAGGTCTCAGCAGTTATCCTTTCGTAAAGCGGCCGTGTGCATCCCAGGCAGCAACACCCAACCGCAAGCGTCGCGACGCACGTATGTCACGGCGAAGCGCACTGCAACGTCGCTTAATAGGCTATGTTCATCTGTGGGGTGATGGAGTATAGCCTGTGACTTTCTTTAGAGTTCAATTTCTTACTGGGATAGCATTACGGCATAAGGCTCGTACCTGGTATGCCATCCAATGAACGCGTTTTAGGAAATCGTATTGAGAATCTGTAACAAAAAAGCTCTAACGACTAGTTGAACATAGAAACGTTGCTACCAATGGCTTAATGACCACCTCCGTCATTACGCACGTACAACTATCGAATCGCAAGGGAAGCTGATTACCTTGCTCGAACTGATACCTTGATACCTTTGGTGCGCAAGTTCATTATTTACATTGTTAAATCGTAATACCTGGCGCCGGTATGCTGTCGGCTCCTCAGCGGTAGGCTTTCCCAAGCACAGCGCTATATATAGCAATTGTATGGGCCGTCGGTAAGCACCGGGTGGTAAACAGCATGTAAGCTGCAAGTCGGCTATGTCGGCCATTGTAAGCGATCCAAGCATCGAGCATTAGACTTTGTCGCAATCGGATACATGGTTTGCTCAGTTTATACAATAAACCAGCACCATGAGGTTGAAGCTTAGAAATCTATGCTGATTCAAGCGTCAACAAACGCTTCTTTACCTATGAACCACGGTTCAATCGACGATCGACCAGTACCGTACCGGTAGTCGGCAAATCCATGCCTCGAAGCTGTCCGATGCAGGCACAGACGAGAGATGAACACTTGTCATAATATCAGTTGTATAAACAGTTCCTACATGCATAGGAGTACATCGGATTTCTTTGGTAGCACTCAATGAAGCTCTAAGGCCATGAGCCCATAACACGTCACGGTTTTGTACGGACCTGCACTATCAGCGGTTTTCACGCTGCCACCCGCATCAGCAGCAATGCAGGTGTAGTTGTGCTTCCTAGCAAGTCGCTCTACTTGACAGCTAAGATCTCCGCTGGTCCACTCGTGTTCAGCTTTGTACGGCAACTGGGTAGATACGTCCTTCATGCTGCTTCCTCACAGCATGGCGTCTGACGTGGCAAGCATGGCCTTCATCACAAGGCTCTTAACTAACTTGGACTCTTGCTCGGTTTCTTTCGTATCTTCTCCGAGTGATTGAGGGTTTGACCTTGCTGCCCAGCCTTATGTAGCAGGCTGGGCTCGCTTGCCAGGCAGCAATGCAAGACCATGACACTAGCCCCCAAACCTTGCCAAAACCTTGTTACATCCTGCACAGTGGCTTCAAGTGCCGCTCCAGGTATCCAGCCGTGGACGCCCAAGCATGTGACCCTTGTGTTCCTGCATCCAGCGGTTGCTGTGTTTCTGTGGTTTTGTCGGTTTAATATGGAAGCCCCATACCGGTAAGTATCCAAAAGTTCCTTGGCCTTGCTCTTTCTGTCCTGGGCACTGTGGCAGCGTTGCCTCCTTGTTATCTGCGCCATCACTGTTATTCATTACCTGTGACCCCCCCCTCACACCGAAACAACCCTAGATGGACAGGATCTAGGCATTTTTGGACCAGCACTAGATCTGCCAGGGCGCTGTTGTGAGGTTGCTATACCACCTTCAGGATCCGGTGATGGATTGATGACGTGCCGAGCAGCAACGCAACCCTACTGCAATGTGTAAGGTGTCAACTACCCAAGTGGCCTTCTGGACAGCAAACAGCGGGTTTAAGACACAGGAAATGCCTTTCAACAAAAAGGAATGGGAGGAGGCTTAGTATAACTTAGCAAGATGGGACACGCCTTTATGAATTTGTGTGCTCTTACATGTCATGCGTCAGAAACGGATAAAATTTCACGTGCGCAGAACTTGACAACAGCAAACTAGTGAAAAGTCCTGATACTGCAACGTGCTTAGCAGGTGGGATGGCCTTGCCGGAAAAGTGCAAGCTTGCATGTTGCAAGCATGCACACAAAGGGTTTCGGCAATGAGCGATCCGTGTAAGGAAACGAGAGCCGTATACATTGCAGCGCTAAATTGCTGGTGTCGTTTGGAGAATGGCCCTAAAGTCGCGTCGATAGAGGACAGGCGAAACAACCAGCGGTAAGCCCTAGTGCACAATATTCAGCGGCATTGCAAAGAACATATCTATGTCTAATCGTTTGAGCTGCAAAGGAACAGATATGCAGACGTCCGGCGGGATCTCAGTGTACCGGGAGGCCCTGGCCGTCCTATGCGTACCGCACTTTTTAGCCAATCCGTGATCGAGATGGGCCGTAGATGCACGATACATCACATGTCAGATAAATTCTGTGGCACACAATTGTGTGGATATTAGCTTCTTTACCAGAGGTTATAGTCTCTAGTAGACTACTTTCTAGCTGTGTCCCAAGGCCAGATCCTTTTCGGAAGGTCGTTTAGCACTTCTGTGCTTCCTATTGTGCTAAGAGGACTTTGTCCTAAGGCGTAGCCTTTCAGCTTCGTAGTTTACCTGAACTTTTCGCAATGGCCCTGCAAATGACCCTGAAGCAGCAGCGCGCTTGCGCCCGCGCCAGCGCTCGGCAGCCCTTCCGGTAAGCACTCATTAGTTCTCATATGTCCTTATTGTAAGGGCTGCCGCGAAATCCTATCTCCACATAAGTTTGAAGGGTGCCAGCTTCGCCGTCACATATTGCCAGCGCGTGCTTTTTATCTGGCCCGATAATCATTTCACCAGATAAACATTATTCCCTGCGTCAATTGTGCATGGTCCTTGCAGCGCTGCGGCTCCCGCTGGCCGTCCTCGCCGGTGCGCCGTCCGCGTGCAGGCCACCGCTGCGCCCAACGACCTGAACGCTGGTCTGGGCTTTGAGACCATGCGCGATGGTATTAAGAAGGCCGCTAAGGAGTCCATCCTGACTCCCCGCTTCTACACCACCGGTAAATGCCTTGCACGCTTCCTCGAGCTTCATTTTACGCGTGCCTGGGTGACTCATTAGCATGACAAAAGCATCGCTTACGCAGACTTCGAGGAGATGGAGCAGATCTTCAGCCAGGAGATTAACCCTAACCTGGACATGGAGGAGCTGAACGCCTGCCTCACGGAGTTCCGCAACGACTACAACAAGATCCACTTCGTCCGCAACGAGACCTTCAAGGTAAAGACAGGCCTCGCAGCGACATATTCCGCTCCAGCGCGTTTCAGCCCGGCGCCGATGCTAACTGCCATGTCTCGCTCGTTCCCACAGGATGCCGCCGATAAGATCACCGGCGACACCCGCAAGATTTTCATTGAGTTCCTGGAGCGCTCCTGCACGGCCGAGTTCTCCGGCTTCCTGCTGTACAAGGAGCTGGCCCGCCGCATGAAGGCCACTAGCCCCGCTGTCGCTGAGATGTGAGCACTTGGGAGGAGCCTCTATTTTTGCGCTTTAATGCCACTACGGGTGCATGCTGCTGTTGACCAATGCCCGCCCTGTCGCGTCCCAGCTATGTGATAGCCATGCCCTTCCTCCCCCTGTTCAACCCTGATCCATTACCCCCAACTAACCCAACCGCCCCCCTCCCTCCTTCCCCTTCCCTTCCCTTCCCTTCCCCCTTGCCGTCCAGGTTCCTGCTGATGAGCCGCGACGAGGCCCGCCACGCCGGCTTCATCAACAAGGCCCTCTCCGACTTCAACCTGGCTCTGGACCTGGGCTTCCTCACCAAGAACCGCACCTACACCTACTTCAAGCCTAAGTTCATCATCTACGCCACCTTCCTGTCCGAGAAGATCGGCTACTGGCGGTGAGACAAGACAGCGCACCCTGCTGACTGGCTGCCTGGCGGGCTATTGGGTGTGGTGTTGTTGAAGACCGCCGTGGTTGCGATATGCCGTGGTTGTGTTATGACCTTGGGCGGTGTGTGCTTTCCTTGTCTGGGCTGGTGGCTGGTGTCATGCAACCCCCCGAATTGCTTGCTTGGCGTCCCGAGCCCCCCGACTCTTGTGCGGTCTGATGAATACCGACTCCTCAATCCCCACTACCTTCCCCCTGCTCTGCTCCCCCCCAGCTACATCACCATCTACCGCCACCTGCAGCGCAACCCCGACAACCAGCTCTACCCGCTGTTCGAGTACTTTGAGAACTGGTGCCAGGTGGGCGCAGCGGCTGCGAGGTTTGGGTGATTAGGTAGAGACTGAGCTGCGGAAACATTGAGGCTTGGGGGAGCTGAGCGGGGAAGTGGAGGATAGACAATGGCGGGTGACAGCAGCATGTCGGCTAGGCTGGACCGGCGGGGGGTAAAGCCTGGCTCGTATCTCGTATGTGTCGTACACTAAAAACAACTACCTGTTACCTATTTCTAACCGTCATGTTGGGGGTCCTGCTGCTGCTGCTGCGTTCCTTGCAGGACGAGAACCGCCACGGCGACTTCCTGGCTGCCTGCCTGAAGGCCAAGCCCGAGCTGCTGAACACCTGGGAGGCCAAGCTCTGGAGCAAGTAAGCCCTTTCACCGGGACGGGACTTCTGCTTTGTTTAGGAAGCCGCCTCACCAGCACCCATCGATCTCCAAACTGCCATACGTGTTGAAACACACGGGTTATGAGTTGCTTACCTAGGTCCTCATTATTGCTGCACAACTCCTGCTCACCCCCACCCTCCTCCCTCTTCACTCCTGCCCGCCTCCCCAGGTTCTTCTGCCTGTCTGTGTACGTGACCATGTACCTGAACGACCACCAGCGCACCGCCTTCTACGAGGCGCTGGGCCTGAAGACCCGCCAGTTCGACCAGCACGGTAAGAGCATGCCGCGTTCACCCCTCGCTCGCCAGGCGCTCCACTCCGCTCCATACCCCATGGCTTTAACCTAAACCCATGTCGAGGGCCTGCACCCGTCCATGTCGCGGCGTCATCTGCGGTTTACTGCACAACACCCTGTCTCCACTCACCCTTCAAATCTGATGTCATCCATCCCCCACCTCACCATCACCATCTCCCCCTCCCCCGCGCGCAGTCATCATTGAGACCAACCGCGCCACCGAGCGCCTGTTCCCCGTGGTGCCCGACGTGGAGGACCCCGCCTTCTTCCCGCTGCTGAACGACATGGTGGAGGTCAACGACAAGCTGTGCGCCCTGGACACCCAGAACATGCCCGACTTTGTGCGCGCGCTGGCCAAGCTGCCCCTGCAGGTGCGGCGGTGGGGGTGGCGTGTGGTGGGGATGGCGGTGGGGTTGGCGTGGCGGGCAATGGTTTTTAGAATTTTTAGGATGGGGGACGGTGGTCCTGAGGTGGTGGTGGTGGAGGTAGACGTGCATCTGGGGTGTGTGGTGGGTCTAGGATGAGCGGCGGGTAGGTGTTCTTGGGGCTTCCTTCCCCTCCCCGACAAAAACTCACCTTATCTATTGCCCCTATACTACAGCTTTATGCTAACAATACGCCCCCTTGTTCTGTGATGTGTTGCAGGAGCGCTTGGCCTCCATGCTCATCCGCCTGATGTTCTGCAAGGAGAAGGAGTGCGGCAGCGTGGACGTGGCCGGGTCGGCTGCCTCGCAGATGGCCGCTTTCTAAGCGCCATGCCTCTTTTCCCTCCGGGTCAACTTGTTCCCTGTCTCGGACTGTACGTCCTGACGGGAATAATATAGCTGGGTTTCCCAAGCCGGCTTTTTGTACGAGATAGAGCAGAGCAGAGCAACATCTGGCGTTGTGTTGCGTGGGATTCCTGTGAGTGGATTAATAGTCAAATTTAGCTCAGCGCGCGGCTTCTGGGTGCTAGACGTGTAGCTGGTGATTGGCAGGATTGGCCGGGGGCGCGGGCCACGTGCATGGCCTGGGACCGCGTTGCAGAGACGACATTGCTTTATGCCATTCGAGATCGTCTTTGAATGGGTTGTAAGTCAAGAATGACCGTGACGCTAATGTGGGTTTATAGCATATTCGTGTTGACAATTTCGCACTGCATTATTGCTCCTGAAACAGTAGCTGTCGTGCCCGATGTGGCATGGCCGTAACGGCTTCTTTTTGACCAATTGCTATCTGTTCCTATCTGCCTGAAGCGAGAGGTTGTGGCAGCACCCAGCCTCAGTGGATGGCACGTATTGTTTATGGGCATGTCCGCCATGTATTTTCTGCACGCAGAGCTCCAAACCCTGAGGGGTATTATCAATGGAGATGCGGACAACTTTCGAGCAGATCTACCCTTGTAACTACAAATGTGAGGATGCCGTTGCATACCGGTATCTGTTACGAGGTAGCACACATGCTGAAACCAAGAGTTCCTAGTTCCATTCCTAGGCTTCAACCTATTGCACGGCACAGAAATGCGACCGGGGCAAAATCAGGGGAAAGTGGACGGTGCTTGGGTTGAACGGGAATTGTTAGCGGTGACACATGTATGACCAGAAACCCTCATATCGTCAGCCGTGTATGCACTGCATGGCACGTGAGTACATAGCAGAGCGCCACGACGAGGATACTTTGTTCACATCCTTCATCTGCGAAGTTCGGTTTGTTTGGTCCTACTTTGGCCTGAAGCTCAAGTCCGGCTGATGCTGAAAATGAGGGCATCGCTCTTTCGGCTGAATGCGTTGTAATTCATTTCCTCGTTATATGCTACACGCATGTGAAGTTATCGCAAACTGCCAGTGCTGCTCTTAACTGCTCGTACGACTTGAAGCGTATCGTACACACGTGTGGTCTTGCAGGGCTTACCGCTCATGGCCGTTGCCGGTAAACCTTCACTTTGCAGCTAGTTGCATGTGTATTCATGGCGTACTTGATATGTCGCCACTTAGGCGGATATCGAAATGACACGGGCTGCAAGGGCAGTTTCTACAGCAACTTTGTTAATTATCCTAGCACTCTTTAGGAAAATCGAAGAAAACGCTTTAGTAGGAGCTGAGACATTGCCTTCGTCCTCTGCTTGGTGTAGCGACAGGTAGGATACACACGTGTTTACTTTCACTCAAGACGATTTCACAAGTGGAAATGTTACTTGCAGTAGCTTGGCTAGCTGTCAGGAGGCTGGTAACAGTGTTTCCTTGGTGCTTGGACTATCAGGTTGCTCAAATACAACACAGGTTAGTACTCGCTGCCATGAAATATTGGCCGGTCAGTCTTAATTCCTAGCTTTGGGTTGCGCTTCCTAGCTTTACATGCATTGTGAACAGCCCGAACCATGTATTGTACTAGAAGTTACACCATATCTTGTCAACTGGTTTAGATAGTGAACTATACGCTGCTTTCGGATTTCCCCTCCATCGGGGCCCTGATGGGCATGCGGTGGTCAGCAGGGCCAAGGACCCCTACGACTGCTGATTAGCACGTCATGGGCAGCTGCTAGCACTTCCAATGGTATTGCCGTGGCACAGCAGGCTTCTAGCCCCACGCCAGGCACGGAGCTAGCTCAGCAGCTCCGCTGGTTTCTAAATGACGTGGGGTTGCAAGCCTCCATTGTCGTTGACTCGACCAACGCGGCGGGAGCCGCAGCACACAGTGGAAGCTGGCTTGGAGATCCCTCAGCGATTGGTTATGTAGGTAAGTTGTCGCGGCGCGGTAAGATTGCTTGTCCTAAAGCGACCGATGCGGGTAATGCGCGGGCGTCGTTAGAGCACCCCTGTCGCTTGCAGCCCTGGAATGCCTTCCTTAACAGGGTCATTGCATCAGAGGGTCTCTCTTCCAAGCATCGTTCCTGTAGGGACGCCCGTACATGTTGATACCTAGGATGGCGTTGACCCCATGGGGTGCAGGATGGACCTCTAGTCCGGACACGGCGGCAGCAGCAGCAGCGGCGGTGCAGGAGCTCCCAAACGCTCTGCTCCTGCAGGACCCCCTCCTGCAGTGGAGTGATGTTCTGCCTGCAGTACGGCAGATGGTGTCCTGGTACGGCAAAAAGCTGCAGGCGTTGCCGTACGCCGTGGAGGTGCCCCTTGTCCTGTACCGAAGGTGCGAACTCTGGGACGGCTGGGCTGCGCGACTAAGTGTCATGGTGGTTACGTTGGTTGCTTTGGGCTGTCTCGGGTGTCAATCCGATAGAACTCTATGCCTCCATACCTATCAGTTGCAGCATCCTAGGCACCTGTGGGCACGCCTAATCCTCTAACTCCCTCCCTGCAGGGACGTGCTTGAGGGCATCAGCGCAGCACCTCCCAGTGACTGGCCCTCGCTGGTCAGTCTGCTGCAGCAGCTGCAGACGCAGCAACAACTGCCGCCTCCACCACAACAGCAGCAAAGCGGCAGCAATGCAAGCGCCCCAAACACAGGCGGCGGCCCCAACAGCAGCTACGGCAGCTCCCCAGCTGCGGGCTTCTGCAACATGCTGCCCTCCGGGTGCAGCCGCGACGGCAGCTTGCTGGCCAGCATCTGGGCTAGCGTTGGCTTAGCCGCGCTGCCCGCCCCAGCCTCCCTGGAGGATCTAGGGCAGCTGCTGGAGTCGCAGCTCCGGAACCGGGTCGCCATGCAGGGGCTGCAGTGGGCGCTGCAGGTGTACCGGGACCTCATGGCTCTGGCGCCGCCGGGTGCTGGTCATGCGCCTTGCAAGCGGCCGGAGCTGGGGGTGGCACTGGAGCAGTGTGCGGTCATGGTGGGAGCCAGCAGTAGCGTCAAGGCTGCGGTGTGGCAGCTGGGGCAGGAGCGGAGGCGGATGCTGCGGAGGCGAAGGCGTGGCAGGAGTTTGGAAGCGGCGGCAGGGGCGGATGGTGGTGGTAGTGGTGTGGTACTGGCGACACCGCTGCCGGGCAGCTTGCTGGCTGCTCGGCATGATACCGGTAGGTGGGATGGCTGAACAGTAGGGGGTAGCCGTTCGCGGACTGGGGACTGGGTAGCCTGCGGTACCGGGATGTACTGGCTATGTAAAGGCTACAGGTTACCGGTAGGATGTTCTGCCTGGTTCCCCAACTTGGAACGCCTTCATGCCTACCTCGCAGGTAGTCTGGTGCCATGCAGCGCCGGCGTCGTATCCTGCCGCTACACGCTACCAGCGCCGCAGCCGTACGGCGGCATGGGCCTGACGCGGGCGGTGTTCCTGGGCAGCGACGCGCTTGCATTCCAGATCAATGCAAGCGCGTCACCGGAGCTGCAGTACGTTGCATGGCAGGCGGCCGCCGCTGCCCTGGGTCCCAACAGCAGCTGGCCGGCGGTCCTGCAACCCAGTGAGGGAGGCGTGACGGTGCTGCGGAGCTCGCAGTTGAGGGATGTGGAGCGCTGGGTGTCGTACGGGTACGACAGGAAGGACGTGGCAGGGTTTTTGGGAGCTCTTGGGGACAGCCTGAGCGGGCCATTGACGTTCACGGCTCCGCGGCTGCCGCTGGCAGCAGCTGCGGCGCTGCAGGGCATCCTGGCAGGTGCCGCCAATGATGCGGCGTTTGGTACGAAGAGCGTTGCGGTGATTGCGCAGGTGGGGTGGGGTTGTGGTGAGGATGCGGCTAGTTGGGGATGCGGGCTGGGTTGGGATGGGTTACAGGGTTTGCGCGTAACGGGGCCGGCCTGCGCGGGTATCTGTCGGCTGCTCGTGTAGGATACTGGCAAGGGCCCTGTCTGCGGCTGCGTGGTTAGTAGGGTCGCTAGCAGCCATGGGGGGCACATCTTGACAGTACATGATGGACGGTCCGACCCACACAGCGCGAGGCGCTTGCTCCTAACCGCCACTCACCCTTCACACACCCTTCCCTGAGCACCCTGTCCTCTGCTCCCCGCCTTGCTCCCAACCGCTCTCCCCTGCCTACCTCCCCGCCCTCCTCAGGAAACCCTGTCAGCCCTGCTAGCCGCCTACGACGCCGACCGGTCCCAGCTCCTCACCGCCCTAGCCGCACACCTGCACCTGGACTCCGCACAGACCGGCGGGGGGAACAGCACCACCCCCACCACCCCCACCACCACCTCCAGCGGCGGTGCTGGCGGGGGCTTGAGCTCCCGGGCGCGTGCGGGCCTGAGTGCCGGGTGCACGGTGGGTGGAGTGGCGCTGATCGTGGTGGCGGGACTCGCGCTGTGGGCCCGCCGGGCGGCTGCGGTGGTGGACCTGCGCGCCCGGCTGCGACTGCTGAACCTGTCCTCCACTGCGCCGGGGTTCGGGCAGGACACCACGTTGATGCTGACGGACGTGCAGGTGAGGTGGAAGGGCGCGGTGGGGGGGGCGCATGGCATGGCATGGGTGCATGTCTGCGGCAACCCTGCTATCCGCTGATCTCCGCTCTTCCTCCTCCCTCGCACCACACAGGGCTCCACGCAGCTCTGGGAGAGCCTGCCGGCCACTGTCATGGACACGGCGCTGTCGCTGCACAACGACGCGTTCCGGCAGCTGCTGCCGCGCTTCCGGGGCTACGAGTGTCACACGGTGAGAGGGGGGAGAGAGAGGGAGAGTCATGCATGGCGTGCCTCTCGCATTGGCGGTGCCTTGGTAATTGGCATGTGCGGTCCCTCCCAGTTGCGATGGTTCAAGCAGTTCGTCCTTGCGTTGTGGCTTTGCTGTGCTTGCCCTGTGCTTCAGGAGGGTGACAGCTTTGTGCTCGCGTTCCATTCGGCGGTGGAGGCTGCGGCGTTTGCGCTGGAGATCCAGGTATGGCTGCAAAGGAGTTACGGTAGTTGCACACGCACGTGCGGTATGTTGCCATGCCGGCATGGTGGTTCGCCACGCAACACTAGGAGCTGCGACCCGCCGAGGCGGTATGGTTGCGTCTCGCAACCTGCCCTGTGCTGCTCCGCAGCCTCCTGGCCCACGCAGCCCAAGGGCTTAACCTCTGCCGACGCAAAACCCGATCCTCCCATTACTTCCCACTCTCTCCATTCCCTCCCTCTCCCCCCCCCCCGATGCAGATGGTGCTCCTACACCTCAACTGGCCCCAGGAGCTGCTGGACCATGAGCTAGGTGCCGTGGTACGGCAAGCAGCCGGGCCGCCCCCGGCGCCTGACAGCAACGAGGGGAACAACGGCCCGCCAGTACCCGCAGGAGGGGCGGCACCCGGGTCCCTGTACGGGCCCCTGGTCGACCTGCCGGGTACCTGGGCCGGCGGGGATGACTCGGTTCGCATGGCTGGGCTGGGCGTGAGTAATTGTGGCGGCAGTGTTGGCATGGTGCCGGGGGGTACGTCGACGCTGGGTCCGCGGGGCACCGTGGATTACTGCGATGCCACGGCGGGGTCAGCGCTCATGGAGCCTTGGGGCTTGCAGGTAAGGCGAGGGGTGCGGGATGCGGGGGCAGAAGGAGAAGGGACGGCGGTGTTGTTATATAGGACTGCCCGCAGGGCTCTTGGGGTTACGTAAAAGAGGCAGTCAACAGCCCGCACACATTCGCCGACTGCTGTGCGGACTGTAACTCTAGTAATTGTTGCATGCCGCAAGTGTGTCTGCGGACAGATGTGCAACGAATACCTGGACCGTTACGTGGCGCGTTTGTGACTTCCAAACGCTGTCCGTTTTCCCCAACCTCACGCCAGGCGGTGGATGAGGAGCGTGCGGCTTCGGAGAACTCGGATGAGCGGCTGGCGGACCTCTTCATGGGGAATGCATTTGCTGACGGCAGGTCAGCCCGGGGAACGCAGACCGGGGTACGGAAGGGAACTACCCAGCTCGGCACGCGTGCATGGAAGTCTGCAAACTAAAAATAAAACCACGTGTTGCCGCAACGCAGTGAACGCACTGTTACCATGTAGCTACACGCCCTCCTTATAGCAACACCGCCCTCACCCCGCCCCCCTTTCCTTACCCCGACTCCGCTGCTGCCCGCTGACCACCACTGCTGCCTGCTGACCACTGCTGCCCGCTGACCACTGCTGTGCAGGGACTCAAAACGGGCTTCGGAGCGCACTCGGATGTTCAGCACCCTCCAAGGGCTGCGCGCCACGCAGGAGCGCAAGACCTGGAGCGCGGGGCTCAGGCGACCCATGCGTCCGCCGGAGCCCGCCCAGGGCTCCTCTGCGGAGAGGTGGATGGAGCACCGTTCCCTCAGCGACAGCCGAGCCGGGCCGGGTGACTGCTCGGAAGACGGCTGCGGCGCGCCTGGTGCCGGCGCTGGCGTGAGTTTCAACGCCAATGCCGGCGCGCATCGTAGCAGCCTCGGCCCTGGGGAGCAGCAGCAGGGGCAGGGGCGGCAGGTGCAGCAGCAGCCCCAACTGCAGCGCAGCCCCTTCCCCAGTCACATGCGGAGAGGACTGAGCTCCGACGTACTCAACCGGGACCTGCCTGCAGGCGAGCTGTTGGGGCCGTCGGCGCCGGGAGTGGTATTTCGCCAACATAGCGACCTAAGTGCGGAGTTTTCCTCGCGTTGTAGCGATGGCTCCAGACCCCCCTGGCGCTCCGCCACGGGTGCCGAAGGGCTGTCACGCCTGGAGCCGCCGCAGCCTTTTTCTGCGGTATCACGCTTGGGCCTGGGCTTGGAAGATGATGATGCCCCGGGGTCGGGGCATGGGCCTGGCATGTCATCGCTACCCCCGCCGCTGCTGCTGCAGCCGCCACCGCACTTGTCTATGGATGAGGAAGCAGCAGCGGCGGCGTCGTGCGTTACGGGCACGGAACTTAGCGAGGAAGCTTCGTTGCGTTTGGTGACGCCGTTATACATACACACGCACCACCAACAGCAACATCAGCAGCACCAACAGCAACAACAACAACAACAACAACTACAACACCAGCAGCAGCCTCAGCTGTCTCAGCCGCAGTTGTCCATGTCGCAGCTGCCGGGGACGCCTTCCTCCGAGGCTCCCAGCCGCTCCTTCACGCGCCGGTCGCCAGACCATGCCCACGCCAACAACGGCGGCAGCAGCAGCAACAACAACACAACCAACGGCAACAACCTAAACTCCCGGTCGCTTTGTCTGATGCGAGGACGAACCTCGGTGCGATCCTCCGCAGGCACCACGCCGCCCTTCACGGGCCTCCTGGCTACCTTGCGTGTGTCGGGAGCGAGCGAAGGTGGCGACGCAGGCGGCGCGGCGAGCGCTGTGGGAACGGGCGGCGCTGGGGCGCCGGGGCTGCTTGGCGGCGTGGAGTTTCTGTTGGGCGGGTCGTTGCGGGCCGCGCTGGGCAGCCATACCGGAGGGTAAGCCACGTGGAGGGGTGCGCGCGGAGGGGTGTTGCGGAGGTGTGTTGCGGTGTGGGAAGGTGGTGGTAGTTAGTTAGCTGGTTGCGGAAGTCAGGAGGGGCTGGGACGGTTGCTGCGAAGGTACCCCTGAAGGTAACCGTTTCTGTCTTCTCCGATTACTGCTATTAGAACCGATAGTATCAACGCAACATGGTAATTAACCAACATCGACCCCACCTCACCTAACCTCCCCATCATCATCACCATCATCATTCCCTGCAGGTGGCGTACATCCACGGATGGGGACGGCGGCGGCCCCAGCACCGGCATCGTCCGCGGCAGCCGCGGCAGCGACGGCCGGCGCCGCGTGCAGCCCAACAGTCTCGGCCGCTACCTCCGCCGCTCCTCCACCTCCTCCGCCGTCTCCGTCCCCAGCGGCTGTGTGGAGACGCCGCTCATCGTTGTCGGCGACCTGCCGCACCAGGCGCTACAACGGCGGCGGCGGCGTTTCCAGCGCCACAGCTCCGTGGACTACCACCTCAGCACCGACCACACCAGCTCCTGCGGCAGCAGCATGGATCCTCCCGGCGGCGGGCGGTACTGCGGCAGCAGCGCCGGCGGGCCCATCGGACGACGCTTTGCCGCGCTGGAGCTCGCAGCGTTACCCGGAGGTCCTTGTAAGGCTGTTGGCAGCAGCAGTGCTGTGCAGAGCGGTGTTACTGGGGATGCCGGTGCTGCCGCGATCGTGGCCGCGACGGCGAGCGCGAGTGCAGTCAATACGGGGGTCTTCAGCGTTGCTTCGGGGCGCACCAGCTCCCCGGGGGCACCATCGCCGTCTGGGCAGGAGCTGGGGGAGGGGGGTGTAGCAGGGGCGGCTGAGGGCTCGCCTGCGTGCTGCACGTCCGCGTCACGAGTCACCTCTCCTCGGCATGAGGAGCGCCGGGGGCTCTTGTTACCGCTCGAGGAGGAGCTTGAGCCGGCGGCGTCACGGCTGGCGGTCTTTAGAGGCGTGTTGGGACCGCTGCCGGGCGGAACGGCTTTGGAAACGGTGTCGGAAGCCGATCCCGGACCCAGCCGCGTCGGGTCGGGTTGTTGGCGCTCGTCTTCGGAGGGCCCAGCAGCAGGGGCAGCGGCAGCGGCAGCGGCAGCAGAGCTTAAGCATCCACCTTTGCTGCCGTTGCCACCGCTGTTTCCCGCATTTCCGCCTGCGGAGTGCGAGGGGGAGTTGTTGCAGCCGGAGGCATCTTTGGCCATCCGGCCCAGCCAACCAAGCGCCGCTGCGGGTAGCTCCTTGCTTGCAAGGCACCCGGGGCCGTCCAGCTCCGGTTCGGCCGGCGTTGTGACGGCTTGCTCGCTTGTGGTTGCTTTTGGTGGCGGTCCTCGTAGCAGCGGCGATGCCTCCCTTGCGAACCCGGAAGCACCATCATCATCATCATCATTGCTAGGGACCGCAACGCTGCTTCCGCCGGCACTGCCATCAAAGCGCCGCAACAACAGCAACAGCAACGGTCAACAGCCGGCGCAGCAACACCCAGCCGACGGTTTTCTGGAAGAGGAGGAGGAGGTGGACGGGGGATTCCTGTTGCAAATTGGGCGCGGCCAGTTGGGTGCTGCTGCTGCGGCTGCTGTAGCTGCTGCTGCTGCTGTACCCTGCAAGGACCCCGCGCCTGCTGCAGCCCCCTGCGACCTCACACCCTGCAGCCACTCCTCCGCGGCACCACCTGCAAGCCCCTGCGTAAAGCCAGAAGCATCTCCCTTCGCCACGGAGCAATTCGACTTGCTCGTCCGGAACGATGTGAGCGGGCGGGACCCGCCGCGCGTGCCGCAGACCTCCGACGTTGCACGCTGGCTGTCCAATCAGTCATCCACCAGCGGTGGGGGCACAACGGCGCCGTCACAACGATCCAGCGATACAGGTCCCATGCGCCTCGCAGGCGTGCTAAACTTGATTCGTCACGGGTCGGACCCCGTGCTCCCCGTCAGCGCGGGGGATGCAACCGCCGCCGGGGCACTGCGATGTGGCGCCGTTCCCGGCAGCGGGGAGGAAGACGGCGACGCCGTTGCTGCTGCTGCTGCTGCTGCCATGCAGGATGTCACCATGCGCCGCGCCGGTGTGGCCGAGCAGGTCCGCGATAGCACCGTACGACGTGTGTTGTTGGAGCTGTCTGCAGACACTACTAACAACGTTGTTGCTGGCTGCCGGGTGGGCTCCGAAACCGGGGCTGCTTGGGCGCCGCGGCCGCTGCCGCCCGCGCCGCCGGAGGTGTCCTGGTGGCGCCGCTCCGTGGGCCGCAGCGCGTCTGTCAGCGACTTCAGCGGACCGAGGGGCGGTGTTGCGACTGCGGTACAGGGCAGCGGCAGCCCTCTTATGCCGCCGGCGTTGCATGCCGTTAGCAGCAACACTCGCTTCCCTCGCGCGCAGAACAGCGTCATCCTGCGGCGACAGCGGCATGTGTTGGAGTATGTGCAGTCGCCGCTTAGCCGCCAGGCGTGGCGAGGAGCTGCCGCTGCTGGATCGGAGGGGGCTGAGGAGGGGGAACCCCAGATGGGCGGAAGCGCCAGTGGAGGAGCCGGAGCCGGAGGGGAGGTACGTACGGCTGGGGGAGCTGCGGAAGGAGCAGCTGGGGATGGTGATGATGCTGACGTGGGTGCTGCTGCTGCTGCTGCTGCTGCTGGCGTCAGCATGCTGGGTGCGGCGGATGCGGCTGCGGAGCGGCTGGCGGCACGACACGGCAGCGGCAGGGCGTTGTTGAGCGTGCATGGACCCCACCCGCAGCCCCCTCACCAGCAGCAGCAGCCAGCCAGGCAGGACGTTACCTTCAGTCGCGGTTCCTCCCAGGGCGGCGCACTGGGATACGCCCCGGAACGACCGCTGTCGGCCAATTCCGTGCGGGTTCGGCTGCTGCAGGCCACCATTGATGGGCGCAGCAGCACCCGCCGCGGTGGCGGTGGCGGCGGCGGCGGCCGGCTACAACGCAGTAGCACACACTCCGATCCGGGCGGCTTGTCGGGTCCGCTTGCCATCCTCACGCCAGGCATCCCCAAGGAATGCGGCCCCAGTGCGCATGGTCCTGAGCCCAGGGCGGTTCCGCCACTTGTAGGGCCCGCTCCTCTCATTCCGCCACACGTGCGGGCGTCTGGGTCGGGAAGCATCCGCTTACCGCTTGGGGGGTCGGGTACGGACGGCACGTTGGGACCACCTGCAGTTCCGGTTGCACCCAACCACAACATGCCTGCACCACGGCTTGGAGCTGGGGGCGCGGCCGGGGACATGGGCACTGCGACACCGCGCGGCAGCGGCCCCATTTCCTCATTGGCTGGCACTGCTGCCATGGGCTCAATGCCCCGGCGGCGGCCGCCGGTGCGCGTGTCGACCCCACCGCCACGAATGCCCGGCCACGGGCATCCCACGTTTCTTCGAGGGTCTGGTTGCGGGTACGGCACCACGTTTAGCTCTCTCGCAACGGCCGGTACCAGCCATGGAACCAGTGCGGCTACCGCCTTCAACAGCAGCGTAGGCCACCAAAGCGCGCTTGCACACGCGAGCAGCATTGGTCACCAAAGCGCGCTGGTGCATGCCAGCAGCACCGCGTGCGGCAGCGTGGTGAGCGGAGTAAGCGTGAACATGCTTGCCGACGGCGGGCGCATGTGGGGTGAGCTCGAGGGTTTGCTCCAAGTGTACGGTAACCTCACAACGAGCGCCCCGCGACCCGCGGGTCGGTGGTCGTTGGCGGCGCGCGGGCGAACCGCCACCTCCATGTCGCTCTCATCCCTACCTTCCCAAGCGCCAGGTCAGGACAGCATCAACAGTACATGGTACGACAGTCGGGTTCTTCCAGACTTCCGTACATCCGACAGCCGTTTCGGTACTTCAACCGCCGGCGGCATGATGTGCGACAACAGCACCCTGCTGCAGGGCATGATTGACGTGACGGCGGCGGCGCACTACTCCAACGGCCAACCTGCGGCGCTTCCCCGTGACAGTTCCGCGCTTCCGTTGGTGAAGCTCTCGCAAAACGGGGCTGCGGCCGGAAGCGGCCGTGACAGCAACACCAGCCGGCTCATGGGTGCCATCAGCACCGCGCTACGTGCCAAGCGCATCTCCCGCGGTGGCGCGAGCCTGGGCGCGGCTGTGGCTTCCGGTGAGTCGGGTATCGCCTCCAGCTCGCGACGCATGTCGGTTATTAATTCAGCCCGGGAGTCAACGGGCGCGAGGGTTGACAGCAGCGTGGGCGGCGGCAACAACGGTGCTCCTCGGACCGTCATGGAGGCTATGTTACAGCTCGCGTCAGGTGCGACAGGCCATTCTCACCACCACCACAACCTCCTCAATCACAGCCATACCCACGGCTCCGTGCTGTCAGCAGTGGGTGCGATAGCCAGCGGCGTCGGCGGCGGCGGCGTCAGTCGCAGTGCGCGCGCCTTGCTGCGAATGGTGACGGCCGGCGGAAGCGTTCGGGAGCTCGACGGCTCTGGCCCCGTCGTCGCCGCCAGCAGTCTCAGCGGCCTGCCGTACCTTTCCGCCGGACTGGCGGCAAACGCCTCCGGCAGCATCGCTAGCGGCCAGGGCCTGGCAGGCCGGTCGCCGTCCACCGGGCTTGCCTCCCCGCACCATCACGTGTTATCCGGCGGCAGCGTTGGTTCCGGTCGCACGCCGCAGGGCTCCTCAGGCACAACAACGCCCCGGGCCGCCGTCGCCCCTGCCAGCGGCGGCGGGCCCGCCGCCGCCGCTGACGGCGGTATGTCCCGCGGCGGCGGCTTCTCCGTTTCTTGGACACAAGCCGGCGCGTCGTCGGCGCTGCGGCTGCCATCGAACCTTCCGTTGGCGGTTTCAGAGCCGGACAATGTGGGTCTCGGCAGCGAGGCTGTCGCGGCGATGGGAGGTGGACCCATGGCAGCGGCGGCGGCGGCGGTGACGGCAGAGGGATTTCGCACCGCCGCCACCGCCGACTCTGCCAGCGGCTTGCCGACGGCCCAACAACCCCCCAGTACGCTGAGCATGGCCGCTTGGCAGAAGTCCAAAAGCACCAATGCTGCCATGTCCGCGAGTTGGCAGCTGGGGGAGGCTGTGAGCCACCGTGCATTGCTGCGGAACAGCAGTGGCGGCGCAGGCGCAAGCATCTGGGCATCCGCCTCTCGAGGAGGTGTCGGCGGCGGTGCTATGCGTAACAATTCCCTGCGGGAGAGCCGAAGGGCAGCGCCGCCCGTGGCTGCATCGGCGTCGGCGTCGAGGCAGCTCTCCATGCCCTCGTCGCGGCATCCGCCGTCAGTGATGGCAGCGCCGGCGTCAGCGTCGGCAACGGCGGCAACCACGGTAGCCATGATGCGTCTGGGTCGTACCGCCAGCGGAAGTCGTACGGCCTGCCCCTTGTCCGGCCATGCGCTGTCGCTTCCGCTGCGCCTGGCGTCGGAACATGAGGGTGCCAACATCTCGCCGCAGCTCTCGCCCCATGGGTCTTTCCGGAACTTGGGCGACGACGAAGCCTTGGGCCGCAGCAGCGATCGCTCGGTAGCTTCCGCCGCGGCGGCAGCGATGATCAGGAGCAGTCGCGGACCGGACGGCAGGCCCCACCACACCGCCTCCATGTCGTCACGAGTTCCCGTGGGCGCAAGTGACACTAGCACCAGTGCCGACAACATGAGCCGCAATACCCCCTCGGAGGCGGCTAGGGAAGGGCCGCTTGCGGCAGGAGCGACAGCAGCAACCGACATGAAGGGCCCGGTGCCAAGGCCCGGGCCGGGTAGGGTGCGACCAGCGGTTCTGGACCCCGCTGGCAGCGAGATTGAAAGCGACAGCGGCGCCGTCGCGCCCGCGGGTGATGGGTTGGACGGCCGGGTATACGGCGACAGTCAGCCCTGGCAGGCGCTAGCTCAGCGCTCGCAGCCGCCAGCACCGCCGCCGCTGCAGCAGCAACAAGAACAGCAGCAGCAGCAGCTTGCGCACATGCAGGGAGGTGCCAGGGGTGAGGCCGCAGGTAACCTGGCGGGAGTGGGCCGAGCCTCAAGTTGGACCCTCGGCGCAGGTATGGCCCGCCGGCAGCCGCGCCGGCCGCTGCTGCCACAGCAGCAGCAGCAGCGCCAGACCGCGACGGCGGCGGAAGCAGCCGACAGCGGCGGCGGCACAAGCACAAGCGGCGGCGGCGGCGCGGGAGGTATGGTCGCCCGCGCGGTGCGGTTGTCGCTCCTGGCGCTTCGCAACATGACAGCCTCGGCGTCTGTTGCGCCGCTGGGCGCCGCAGCCAGGGCGGCATCTCGTGCGCCGGTGGCGCCGGCGGCGGCGCCCGTGCCTAGCCCCATCTCCGCCACGGCATCCGCATCTGGCTTGTTTGGCTGTCCGGTGCTAACAAGCAGTGCTGCGGAGAGCTGCTGTGACGAGAACCGCCGTTCGAGTCCTTCGGGGCTGCTGGCGTCGCCGCTAGCATCGTACACGAGGATGCCGATACCGCCGTCAGCTGCAGCTGCGGCGGCGGCGGCCGTGACGTCACAATCTGGATCTCCGCTTTGTCGTACGGTTTCGGCGCGTGGTGGTCTCGGAGGACAGTTATCGCCGCTGGGCGGGGGATGTGGTGGCCGGGCGTCTTGCGGGCATTCGTCGTTTCGACAGGTGTCGCAGCAGCAGGGGCCGTCGCTGTGTGGGAACAACACCGATGGCGAGATGAGCAGTGTTGTCCAGGTGAGCATCTCGCGAGTTTCGCCCTTGTCAGCTTGCATGCCTTGTTGGGTTTTGAGGATGTTTGGGGAGGATAACCCCCGGGCAATGCGGGGTGTTTTAGCATCGTGGTGGGGTGGGTGTACGCGTGGGAAGGAAAACCGTGTTCCAGCATGTGCAAGCTGCGCTTTGAGATTGTTGGCTACCGTTAACATCGTGACCATCATGGTAATCACATGCCTCCCTGTACCCTCTGCTGTCCCCATGAAAACACGCCAAACACAGGAGTACCGCCACTCTCTCGTCAGCGGGCCACACAACCCGCTCCTGAACCCCACCTCCAAGGACCCCGCCTGCGACGACCCTGACCGCCTGTCCGCCGGCCACGCCATACCCTCAATCACCGCCGCCATCGCCGCCGCCAACGCAAGCGCCGCTTCCAATCCCTCCCTCCGCGCCTCACGTACTTGTACAGCACTAACGGTGCCGCCGCCCGTAGCATCTCTGACTGCCGTACTCGAGGGATCCACATCCGGCTGCGGCGGCGGATTTCGCACGGGTCCTGGAGGTCGCGTTTTCCCACAACGTCGCTCGCTGTCTCTCACTCGTACCGTCACGCCAGAGAACTTGGTTGCGGGAATCGCGCGGCGGTTGGACAGCATGGTTCCTGGCATCGGAGGCGGGGGGTCAACGGACATGCCGGCATGGGATGCGGCTGCGCGTGAGAGCGTGCGGGCGCGTCATACCAGCGGCTCCGCCTCGTTTGTTTGCATGTTGGGAGGCGGTGCGACGGGGCAGCGACGCAGTCGGAAGACGCTGAACCTGGTGCCGGCGGCGCCCTCGGACTCCCCGCTGTGCTTCAGGTGCGCGGGCGGGTGCCGGGACGCGCCGGAATGCAGGCGGCTTTTGGTTTCGGAGCCTAGGTCTGCTGTTCGTGTATCTCCTTGCTGGATACACGATTTATTCTTTGTCGTCGCTAGCATCATGGTGACCTGCACCATGTGTTAAGAAAACTGGCCGCGAGTAGGAACGTACTGGGATGTCGGAAGATGAAGTCCCCACAGAACCGCCGCAGGAGCCGAGGAATATGGTAGCGTATGTACGCCCTTCTCTCTCCCCCCCATGCCTCCCTCGCTCCCTCTCACCCTCTGACCCTCTCACCCCCCAACGCGCCTCTCCATGCGCCCCACAGGGGCTTCCGAGTGCGCTGCGGCATGCACTCGGGCCTCATGGAGGGACGCGACGTCTTCTGGAACAAGGTCACCGGACGCCGCGCCTACAGCGGGCCTGCCATGGCGCTTGCCAAGGCCGTCTCCGATCTGGTCCCCGGCGGCATGGTGGTGCTCACAGCCACCACCTTTGAGCGCCTGCAGCCCTGGCCTCGTGCGGAGGCGCTGTCGGGAGCCATCGCATGGTCTCGGGGCCGCTTCCGCATCTGCGTGGGGGGTGCGGCAGAGGGCACGGCGGCACCGCTGGTGGAGGTAGACTTGTACCAGCTGCTGTGTCCGCAGCTGCTAGCGAGGCAGCCGCATCTGGAGCGGAAGCCCTGGAGGGGCGCGGAGCAGGTACCGGTAGTAGGGGATAGCGGACAGGGGTATGGTGGCCTAGCAAGCAAGGCATCGGGCCATTGTACGGTACACAGGGCAAAGGCAAGGCACATTGCATGCATACTGGGGGCTTCCCCACATATCCTGCTGCGCCTCCGTCGTCCCGATCCGCAACCCACCCCTGGTTTCTTCTTCTTCTTTGCCCCGATCCGGTGTGCTGCTGTGTAGGTGCTGCCGGGGGTGCTGAGTGCACCTTTGGGGCGACTGGCGCTGGTGCAAGTACAGGTGGTGGGAGTGCAGGTGCGTGGTTGGGTGGTTGGGTGGGTGGGTGGTTGGGTGGGTGGGTGGTTGGGTGGGTGGGTGGTTGGGTGGGTGTGTGGGCGGGTGCGTGGGGGTTCAGCGTACCGTACCGGTGTATCTCCTCGCAGAGCACCGGGGCCAGCACATGCCAGTTTCAGCACGCACCAGTTTCTTGGCACGTGCTAGGCTGTCAGCCGGCACCCTGGCAGCTCCTTTCACGCAGCTCCTTCAGGTCTCTTCACCCTTTCCCCGCCGCCTTCCGGTGCAGGTCCTGGCCGCTTGGAACTGCGAGGTGACCTCTGCGGCGCTGCAGGTGTTTGGCGGCGTGGCGGCGGAGGCGCTGTCCGCATGGGGCGGCTTCCCCGCCTCGCTGGACACCGAGGGAGGCACCCTGCTGGCCGCCTTCAGGGAGCCGGTGAGGCGTGGGAGAGGGGAGAGGGCAGAGGAGGAGCAGCTTGGGCTGAGCTTGGCGGAAAGTGGAGGACAAGGACAGCGACTGTTCTTAGTCCTGCATGCCCCTGTGCTGACCTCACACAAATCCAAAAGCACCTTTCCTGTCAGTGACTGGGTTGTCGTTCCTGGCACCGAATCCCCATCTGTTTTCCCGCTTCCCCCCGGTGGTTTCCTATGGTTCGGCATGGTCTTTGACTCCCCCCACTGCTTTTGCCCTAACCTGTGGTTTCCTATGGTTTGGTGTATGGTCTTTGGCCCTCCTTTCTCACCCATCAGGCTCTGGCACTGGGCTTCATGCACGCCCTGATCGAGGTCCTGCGTGACGCAGACTGGCCGCCAGAGCTGCTTGAACACGTGCTTGGCGAACCGCTGGCGGTGCCGACGGTGCTGCCCGGCACCTCCGCCTCCGCCGTCGCCTCCGCCAGCATGGGCACGACCCACCCGCCCGTCGCCACCGCCGGCGGTAACGGCAATATCTCGCCGTCAGAGCAGACAGCTCAGCTGCCGCTACTAGCTACCGCGACGGCGGCGGCAGCCGGCGGCGGCGGCTGCATCGGCTCCTCCATGCTCTTCCGCGGGTTACGTGTGCGTTGCGTGGCTGACGTGGCCAATGTACGAGTGGATCTGGGGTGCGCCACCGCAGCAGCGCTGTACGAGGCGCGAGACCCCAAGGCCTTCAAGTCGCTGCGCCGGATGATGACGCTGGCGCACATGGGGGAGGTGCTGTGCAGCGGACTGCTGCTGGCGGAGGTGCTGGCGGGGCCGCCGGCGGCGCTGACGGCGCTGCATGAGCTGCTTGCCTTTGCGCCGCTGACGGCGGCGGCGGCGACGGCGGCGGTGGCGGCGACGGTGACGTCGGCTGCGCCGCCGTCACCCCTTCCGCGTGCTAGCAGTCTTCAACACCACCCGCCGGCATCGCCGTCGCGGGGCGGCGGCGGGCACTACCATCACCAGCAGCAGCACCAGAACGGCCACCTCCCTCACCACCACGGCTGGCATGGCAGCTCGACGCCGCTTGTTCGTTGGCCAACGGTCGGCATGCCCATTGGCAATGCCAGCGCTGTTGCTGGTGCTGGTGGGGTTCTTGGTGGTGGAGGCGTCGGCAGCGGAACTGGGTCTGGCTTTATGGCTGTGGCAGCGGCTGCTTCTGCATCGGGCGTTGTGAGTAACGCCGTTCCGGTGAATGCCAAGCTGACAGGAAAGGAGGCCACTCGATCCGCCATCTATCAGTGCACTCGACGAAGGCCCGTGCGGAGGAGCGGACTGGGTCATGTGGGCTGGTCGCTGGGGGGCAGTGTGGGAGGTGTGTACGGCAACGTTGCCGCAGGAATGTACGGCGCGTACGGGGTGAGTGTATCTGGTACGGCAATGGCGGCCGGGAGTGTGCACAGTGGGGCTGGTGGGAGTGTTGCTGGAGGCTGAGGAGGCGCGGAGGGTCAGGGTGGGTGTTGGTGTTGGTGTTATGGCTGGGGTGGCTGCTGGAGAGGTGTGAAGTGGACTGTAGATAGCTGCGTCAGAAGGGGATTGCCGTGCTCTCCTGTGTATGTGAGTTTAGCCCAATGGGCCGTAAGAAGAAAACCTTTTCTTTAGTACCGTTGTGGTACGAGGAGTGAAGCGCTATGTCGTTGTAGAACATAAAATTGCATAGAAACATATGAACTACTTGCATTGAGAAGAAAGCGATGCGGTTGGGTTGTGTGTGTGTGTTGGAGAGCAGTGCAATCGGCCACCGTGACTGGCCTGACTGCTGATGAGCCCCGTTGGATAAGAGACACATGATGAGCTGGTGTGCAAGTGAGGGTATGCTCCTTACTATTATAGCTGCGTTGTAGTTTGTAGGTGCATTTGTTTTGATCAGCACTAGGGCGCATGTCTGTGTCGTGGGAAAGGTGCCATGTACATGGCTGGCACGCCGGCACAAGCGTGAATGTGCGCTGTTTACAGGTGACCTTAAGACCAAATTTGAGTGTGGGGTTTATGCGCAAGAGATATGAGGCAACCAATCAAGCCACGGTAAACGCTTCCAGCAACGCACCCCAAAAGCCTGGAGAAGGGTTGCACATTATCATCTTACCTGTTTAGGTGTACGGAAGGTGCAGAGGCAGGGTAAGAGCCCTGGCCGCTGCAAGGAAACGATTTCCGTGTGCATGTTTACTGAAGATGGCACCCTTGTGTGTGATGTGGATGCGGTGATTACGGCGACCTACCTGGGAGGTTCTATGCCCTCCTGGCTCATCATTCTTGTGGCAACCAATTGCGGCATGGTGACCCATGGGACGATCCAATGGATGCCTGACCCTCCCCGATGCCTATCTGCTTCTAAGGCGCGCGTGTGCGTACGTATGACACTTACGCTGCGATAAGTATGTACGCGCATAGCATGGGCGCTTGCTCTAAGCAGGCCACGGACAACCCGTAGGCCTGCGTGCATGCTCCAGCCCTGTTGAACACCATTGGCCGTGCTGGAGGGCTACTCTGAAGGTCCCGGGAAAGTGATGGGGGGGGCCCCGCGAACGTATTGCGTGTTTATGTGTGCTTAAGCTTGTCTTTATGGCGTGTTTGAGGCAATCCTCGATTTAACGTTTGCTCTTTGCAATGGGAATGTAATCAGGCTGCACTGACGACCCAGGCACGACCCACGGGTCGTCCGCCGTAATCCTCCACATCCTCTGACAACACCATGAAGTCCACACCCACAGCAACTCGTCGTGGTTCAGCCGGTCCAATGCCTCACAACTGTCACCACTAGTGCCGCCGGCTAACACACCTCCCCGTATGCTAGCTGCAGTGCCAGGTGCAACCATGCCTCCAAGTTGCTCATTCCACACCCAGCCCTTGCAGTGGCGTGTTTTGGATGCAACAGCCGCAGCACAAGCCCCGCATCAGCGCTGTAGGGTTCTTCAGCAGCAAGTCGTAGCAGGCGCTCCAGGCAGGGCAGCAGGCCGGCGTCTAGCGCTGGTGTGATAGAAGTAAGGTGGTGCCAGGCAGGCTGCAGCAACCTGCATGTATGACGATGGGGCGGTGAAGCCCAAGGGGAGCACAAACACGCACACGCTCAGTGGCCTTAATCTCAAGAACCTTGGTCTTGTAAACTTGGGCACTGCCGGGGAGCTGAGCAGCAGGGGTAGCACCTGCTGCATGTGTGGTAGCTACCGTAGTAAGGACCAGCTGGTCCCCACACGGGAAGCCTGAAACCTGCTGCAGCTTTGCTAGCCCATTAGAGCCTGTGGAACACTTCATTGGAATGTACGGCAGTGAGCCATGGCATGCGAGCAGCTGGGAAGCAGACAGCTGGGGCCCCATCTACCTTGCGCTGTTTTCTACTAGGCTTGCCGAGCATTTAACCTGCCTGAGGCATACTCAAGAAGTGGTCGTACACCAACTTGCTGTGCTGTGGCGGCCCGCACCCTGACAGGAAACAGGGAGGTGAGCTGGCCTGGATGGTGTTTCAGTACCGGGCAATTGGGAAGAGCAATTGGGGAAGTGCAATTGCGGAATACCCGTTGAACAACCAACTTTCCTTTGCGCATCCTTTGTGCAATGCCGTGCCATGGCAACTGGCCTATATGTGACAGGTAGGGGTAAGGATTAATTATACATGCAGGCCGTGGGTCGATGGGGTTGGTCCCACTCCAAGACCAGAGCCAAAGGCCGGACGTTGCTCAGGGTATGCTGTGGTGGCGCGGCTGTCGGCAAGTGGTACAGCGGTACTAGGCGAGGGCCTGTGGCAAAGGCAGCAAGGAATGCACAACCTGCAGTAATAAAGGTGTTGGGAGCAGTGGCGGCAGAGCCGGCCACAATCACTGGCCGGGCCCCTGCCCCTGCACAGCCAGTCGCGCCTGGCCGGGGGGTGAAGCAGTGGCCGCCTCCAAAGCGAGCAACTGCAGCGCGTAAGCGAGCAACAGAAGCGCCAAAGCGAGCTGCTACATGACATCAAGGTCCTGGTCAAGGAGATGCACAATGAGTTGTCCAAGGATTGATGTGGCATGATGCAATGGGTGTCTGACGTCTGTATAGCATGCATCACATTTCCCTGATGGATGGCACCGAGAAGCGAGGCCATGGGCTTTGTTGGGCCCCTTAACCAGCCTGCTCCCTTGCTGTGATACCACCAGCTAGCTCTGACTCTCCCATTCTCTCCCCTTTGTGTCTACCATATTCCGTTTGGAAAGAGGACTCCTGTCAATGGCACTTGTCCTGCACATTAGTGCCAGTGCCGGCGCCATCCATATGTAGAGAGTGCTGACATGGCGGATATGCTGATGGGTCAGCGACCTGGCCACGGTAGCTGTTGTTGGGAGACGAGCTTGCTGATCTTAAGGAGAATGCAGTGGGGTTTTGCTTGGTTCCCAACAACAGCTACCGTCTGAGATCATCAATCTTCCTGAAATCAGCAAACTCAGTGTGTATAGTGGTAGGAATGATTGGCGGCGAGATTGTGATGGTGCATAGGTATTAGGGCTGGAACGTTACGGTTTACGGTATTACGATTTTGCGTAATTACGGTACCGTAATTACGGTAAAGCTAAAAAAAGGCACATTTTTTACGATATGACGCCGTAATTGTAATTACGGTGTCCTTTGGACTGTTTCTTACGGTTGAACCGTAAAGAACCGTTCAATGTCGCCGCAAAGTCCAAGTAAAGTTCACAGAAGACGCCATTTCCACTCTATAACACCTCTTGGAATCTAAATCAGCAATGTACAAATAAATTGGATTGCTAAACTTTAGGAAATCACGCGAAGCTTGATGTTTGACCACCCAATGAAGCGCGTAGACCTCTGCTCACTAACATATCCACCCTAGAGAACGAATGACAGCATCCTCTATCTAACTATTACAGCTGTCACGGAAGTACTGGCTGGCATTCACTTCTTGGCCAGCTGGGCAATGGCCATGTCGTCCATGCGAACCCAGTCAGCCCTAGCCCGACCGCCCCTCCCCGATGGAGGCAACGAAGGAAGCCCACTAGCCGTCTTATAACCCAAAATGGGAAGAGTTGTTCCTTTCTTTAGGTTATTGCTGGTCTCCTTGGTGGTTGGCTGAGCAATCGTGCCAGGCGGCACGTTGCCAGGCTTATCGGCCATGTTTGGCAGCAACCAACTACCTAGACCTTTGTAGAAAGATATGAAAGGGTAAATGAGTGAAGATTACAGCTTAGATGTTAGTTTTGGCTCCAAAATCGACCACCGTAATTCGTTACGGTGCCCTTTCGAGCCATCTTCACCGTAATTTACTATGTTTCTTACGGTTTGCGTAATTACGGTCCCGTCATTACGGTACCAAATCTCTATTACGGTGAAAGTTTCCAGCCCTAATAGGTATAGGGTGGGGTAAAGCTAGGTCTGGCAGGAGGGATGATGGTAGAGCTATCACATCAGGGAGCTGTGTGTGGCACTGAGTGTCTCCAGTGCATTTTTTGGGGCAGCATGTTTACACGCACCCTTGACATTATCATTTACACATGGGCGGCATTTAGGCTCTAGCCCGGAAGCATGCATCCTCTACCTATTTGTGTTGAGGCACCACGACTTTACTATTTTTAAACCACTTAGTCAGACTGAGTTTGCAAGCTATTTGTAAACTACTGAGCTTGATTTTGGGGGAGGGGGGATTGGTGTTGGCGGTAGCTTCCAGGTTCCTGGGGTCTGTGTGGGGTGGCTAGTGTGGTGGGTGCTGGTGGGAGGATCCGTGGCTGACTGACTGGCAGCTCCTCCTTGCCCCTGCCACCGGGGTGCTTGTGCTGGCCTGGCGGCCCTGGTTCCTGCAGTTTGTGGGGGTCTGTGGCTGCTCCGTAGGAAATGGACTTAATGGAAAGGTGGTACATACTAACATACTGCAGCCATGGTCATCAGCAATACGGAAACTTTTAGTAGCATAAATGTTTTGAGGGGAGACAGGTCCCAGTACCTGTACAGCAAAAACCGATGACCGAACCAAACCCATGCCAACAGTAGCAACATTTTGCCATCACTTTGTCACCGGTGCTCTGGAGTGGGTATGTAAGGTAAAGAAAGCCGTATACCTCTTGATGTGGGTCATTGACCAAAGCAAAGGTCAAGGGTGGCTCCACCTGTCCTCCAACGCTTTCCGTTTGGTAAAACAAGCTTTCGAGGGTAGCCTACGAATGCCTGCTCTGAACTACTAGCTGAGGATATATGTAGCAGCAAACATCGCAGTGTGCACGCGCCACCGTATGGGGCTAATCCACTAGGGGATCGGCGCAAATTTGCAGTCCCCTACCGTACAATACTGATCTTTTGCTTTAGCGAGGCATGACATATTTCCATGATAACAGGTTGATCTCTGGAAGTCAATTCGTCGGATCGACACTACCAGTTCGTTCGGCATTTGCAACCACTTTAAGCCGTACACTTGCAAGCTCGCTTTCCTTGGTGTTACTTTCGCCTGTTATGCCTGAAACTCGCAACTTAGTCGCAAAGAAGCATTTTCTTGACCCAGTAGCACATATTTGACTAGCCTTCCGACCTAAGACCTTCGGACGGTGCCGCGTCTTCCAGCAAGTTACGTAAACGTTCATTGTGTTAGGTCTTATCTTGTTGTTTGGTTAAATACTGGGTCTGACACCACAAGGGATAGGGTCACATTACACATCACTGCACCAGTTAGCCAGGAGGACAGGACCAACATGTCCTCGGCGTATCAAAAGGCGATTAGCATCCCACCTGCATTCCCAGCTATCTTGAAAGCTTTTACTCGTGAAATTCTTCGGGCACAGGTGCGAATCCGCGGTGCTGGTGAACTCGTTTTGCACCAATTTACCGCTATACCTTAACATATGCAGCCAGCAAATATATATGAGTTTGGTGCACGCTACTTCGCGGGCCTTCAAGGGCAAGGCGAGCCGGAGGGACTGGCACGCGGCAATGCCGAACCCGCCAGCACGTTAAAAGCCAAAGGTTCCGTCGATGTCGAGGAGACAGCTGTTATGTATGACATCGCATCGCTCAGCCCCGCGGAGTTGGAGCCCATCCTGATGAGTAAGTTGACGTTGTGCTGTTGGGCTCCAGACCGGCTGCCGTACATCGGCGTTGCTAGTCATAGGCACGCTCTGAAGGGTGGGCTCTGCCGCCTGCGCTCCTCTTCACCCTGGCAACGGCTCTCGGCTTTGGGCTTGGAGAGTAATCCTCCCCCAAAGGGCACAGCTCCCCCCACAAGCTACCCAGCCCTTAACGCTGGATGCCGCAACAGATGTCGTCCACTCACCTCCGTGTGCATGTAACCCTCCTTAACGCAAACTTCAACCCGCCTGCCACAAACCGCTTTGCTTGCCCGCCACGCCGTCCTCACCCTCAACCGCCAACTCCCCTTCCAACCAACCAACATCCAACTGCCAACCAACCACAACCGCAGAGCTCTTCATTGAGGCTGACGCGGACCGAAGCGGCTTCTTGGACCGACACGAATTTACGTCCGTGCTGCGCAATGCGAACCTAAAGCTAACAGACAGGTAAGCACAGGGCTCTGCCGGCTAATGTGCCGTGTATGCCCGGGTTGGCTAGCCGCGTCCCATGAATGCCATGTCCCGAGCCGCCGAGCGGCTACCTACATGATGACCTATCGTACATGGGGCTGGCCTAGCCTTTCACAAGGGGGACTGGATCCTTGACTGGACCCTTGATAGAACGGCCCGGAAGCCTGTTGGGGACATTCTGTAGAGGACGTGGAGGAAGGAGGGGAAGCAAGGTGCCTGCCTTGGCTTGGATGCCACGAGGAGGCGTCCTGGGGTTGCAGGAGCGGGCTGACAGGGCTGAAGAATAGAGAGAGCCGCGGCGGCTGATCTGGGTCAGCTTGTGGTGGAGCTGCTGTTGGCTACACGGCCGCTCGGATGTCGTGTAGGGAGGGGGTGTTGCCAGTTTTCTCAACACACACACACACACCGCGCGGCCAGTTTTCTTAACACACACCTCCTCAGCTCCTGTGTTTCTGTGGGGGCTTTATCTTCCGGCAACCCTACGTTCCGACTCGCGGCCAGTCTCCCACTGCCACTCTCTCACTGCCTCGGTCCCTCAGCCTCCCCTGCCTGTCCCACTCCCTCCCCTCCTGCCTGCCGCTTCCCGCCGCCCCCACCACAGGCAGATCCGCCAGGTGCTGGCGGAGGCGGACGAGAACGAGGATGACGTCATCCAGTACAAGGAGTTCCTGCCCGTCATGGTGGACATACTGCAGGGAATCAAGGTAGGGGGGCCGGGGAAAGAAGAATACCCACTTTGTAGCGCCGCCACGGCGCGCTAACAGCAGTACATCCGTCCTACACCCTTCCATGCCTTATTATAAGGCCCTCACACCCCGCCCCTCCAACCCCTTCTCCATTTCCCCCCCCCTTCCCCAGGCCAAGGAGCAGGCCAAGGCCATGATGCACGGCGTGGAGACCATGGTTCGATCCGAGGTGGAGACCATGCTGCTGCACGGCCTGCCGCAGGAGGAGCTGCAGGTGGGGCGGCAGGAAGCAGGGGGGGTGGAACATTTTATGATTTAAGTGCAACAACTAGGGTGTCCCAAAATCCCATATCCCGACTCATGCAGTGAGTGCATTCGGAGACACTAAAGCAGGGAGGGAAAGGGAAAGGGGGGGTTCGGGCGGGGTAGTACCGTGCCGTAAAAGGCTGGGGGCCGGGCAGGGCGATTAGGGGCAGAGGAGCAGCAGCTGGAGGAGTGCTGCTACTCGGTAAGCACCCAGCCCCAGTTCCCGAAACCGCCACCGCACCGCTGCCCCTCGATCATCCCGTCCTGCACTGTGCTGCCCTGTACTGCATTGCACACTCCTCCTGTCGTCCTGTGCTGTGTTGTTCGCTGCGCTGCGCTGAGCTACGCTGCGCTGAGCTGTGTCCGCCCCCGTGCGGCGCTCCTGTCCCCCCCATTTGCCCCCCAGGCGCTGATGCTCAAGGTCTTCAAGCGTGCCGATGCGGACGGCAGCGGCCAACTCAACAGGTGGGGCCACAGCGCAGAGGGCTGTCCGGTTGCGCTGGCAGCAAACCCACCCTAGACTTGAGCATCTTTGTGTAAGCCTGTTAGCCCCCCCTTGTCAGGTCTACCCCGCCTTGTTAGCCCCCTTGCCACGCTGGCCGCTGGCCGCCGTGTTCTCCCGCCCCGCCGCAAGCGCACCCCATGGCCACACCGGTCCACTGCACCGCACACACCGTGACAACCCCCGCAACAACCCCCGTGACAACCATCGCACCATTACCCAACCGCCTCCTCATGTCCCCGTTGCCCCTGCCCTAATTCCTGTGGTTTCCTATGGTTTAGTATTATGTTCCTTGACTCCCCCCCTCCGCCCCCTCCCCGGGGATCCCCCCGCCAGGCATGAGTTCAAGGAGGCGCTCAAGGCTGCGGAGCTGGGCCTGACGCGCAAGGACATCAACCTCATCCTCTCGCACATCGATGTGGACCGAGATGGGCTGGTGTCGTACGAGGAGTTCATCCCCGTGTGCTTCCAGGTGGGGTCCACAACACGGAGGGTTTGGGGGGGGGGATCTGGGAACTGGGGTGTGTGGGTATGTGCGGGAGGAGGTGGGTAAAAAAGGAGGATACCCCTCGCACCTCCTCGCCTCCTCCTCCTCCCCAACCCTACCTCACTCGCCTCCTCTCCCCCCCTTCCCCCCCTCCCCCCCCAAGGTTCTGGTTGAGCGGTTCAAGGACGAGATCGTGGCCAACGACATCCTGGGCAACACCGACGAGCTGCAGCAGATGCTGCTGGGCGCGTTCCGGCAGGCGGACCCGGACAACACGGGGCTGCTGGCACAGCGGCAGGTGGGGAGGGGGGGAGGGAGGGGAGGAGGGAGGGGGTGGAGGAGGATGCGTAGGGAGGTAGACGGAGGAGGAGGGTAGACGGGGCGGGTGAAGAGGGAAACAAACAACGACGCATGTGACAAGGCAGCGCGGGGAAAAACCGTGGGTGCACCATGGTGGTTGCAGACCCGGTGGCGGGGAAAAAGAAATTCCAAAGTTTGTGGTGTGATAATGATACAAGTTGCTGACGATCCCAGTGGAGGGTAGGGGGTCACCAACACCGCAACACCCATGCCCCACACCCCTTCCTTCCTTCCCCCGCCCTACCCCCCTCTCCCATGTTAATGCCTTATCCCTCAGTCCGTCATTGTTTCCTCTTCCCCCCTCTTACCCCCTCTTCCCCCCCTTCCTCTCCTCGCCACAGGTCAAGGCCATCCTGAAGGAGCTGTCCTTCCAGGCGCTGGGACTGACCACCCTGCAGACGGTGAGCCTGCTCAGCCAGGCTCCCACCACACCCGAGGGGCTGGTGCAGTACATCCCCTTCGTGCCCCAGGCGGCCGCCATCATCCGCTCGCTCAACGACGTGGGCTCCATGAAGAGCCGCATGAAGGCCATCAAGGCGGTGGCGGCGGCGGGCGGAATACAGGTGGGGGTGGGGAGGAGGGGAGTACTGGTGGGGGTGGGGAGGAGGGGAAAAAGAGGCATTCCCAATGCGTTGGATGGAATTGCAAACCACTGAAACCAGATGACAAGGAGGAGGGGCAGGGGGAGGAGGCGGAAGGGGCGGGGGTAGGAAGAGGAAGCTGAGTTTGCCGTACGTGCGTAGTTGGCTGCGTTTCCGCTCGCACCCCCTTCCTCACCCCTCCCCTAACCCCTTCCTTACATCCCCTCTTTACCTCCCTCCCCCCCACCCGCACCCCCCGCCCCTCCCCCCCCCTCAGGCTCTGGGTGCTCTGGACCTGGACCAGCTGCGTTCGCTGCTGGCTGCCGCCTTCCGCGAGGCGGACCCCGAGGGCAGCGGCCAGCTGAGCGAGCCGCAGGTGGTGCAGGTGCTGGAGTCGCTGGGCAGCCTGGCGCCGGACGCGAACATCCAGCTGTCGGAGCAACACATGAAGGTGCGGGGGGGATAAAACCATACCAAACCATAGGAGACCACAGGTTAGGGCAAAGCAATGGGGGTAGTAGGCGGCAGGGTGCCACAAGACAAGGGGGGGGGGGGGTGGCAGGGTGCGGGTGTGGAGTACGTACGGTAGCTCTTAGGATGGCGGGGGAGGGGGAGGGGGAGCAATAGGGATGCTTATTCTTCGCATTAGGCCGGATAGCTGGGTTAGCGTGTAGCGTGGCTGTGGGAAGGAGGAGGAGGTGGAGGAGGGGGTGGAGGAGGGGGTGGGGCTGGGAGAGCAGGGTTGCGGTGGTGACGGGGCTCTGCCGGTCGCGAAGTGTAGCTGTTGAGGCGGGGGGCCGACAGAAAGAGGTTTGGGGCGCTTCAAAAGATGCTTTTGGCCTGCTTGGTGGCCCGAACCTGTTGTTGGCTACGAGAGTCCCCTGCTGTACATGCGCCCCTCCCCTCCCGTGTTGGTGGGGGCTGGGGGTTGCTCTTCCCTAACCTGTGGCTTCCTATAATCTTTGACCACCACCACCACCACCACCCGCCTCCCGTACAAATTGGGTATTCTTCTCCCCACCCCCCTGTCAGGCCATGTTCGCCGCCATCGACGCCGACGAGAGCGGCACGGTGGACTGGACGGAGCTGGTCAACTTCCTGTGTGATGCGCTGGAGCACGTGGAGCGGGAGGCGTACATCGCGAACATGGGCGGAGCGGGGGAGGAGCAGTGAGGCGGGGGGCCGGGGAGGAGCCGTGAGGGGGAGGGGGCTGTAAAGGTGGGGGGGGGGAAGGAGCCGTGAGGGGGGGTTGGGTAAACTGAGCCGCGGAAACACTGACCCTAACCTTAGTACACCGGAGGATGATGGCGTCCCAGATGAGGGGGGAGGGCAGCTGGCGTGCGATGTAGTAGGTGTAAACACAGGCGCTTAAACACAGGCGCGGGGCGAGGGTTGGGGTGTGTAGGTGGATATTGGTGTGCAAGGGGCATGGAGGCGGCAGCAGCAGCTGGGAAGCAGCTGGGGTGTAGAGTGGGACGCTGGTCGTGCGTTTCAACCAAGACACAGGTGACAGTGTGGGGTTATGTGATTGCATAGGGGGAGCCGACGTGATTGTGCCTCCGGCTGGGTGGTATCTGGTATGGCATGTTGGTCAGCATGCGAACAAACGAATGAGCAAGGGGGTGGGGGTGCGGGAGTTTCCCGCCACCCAGCATTGGGCGCACAATGCCCCAGCATTGAGAGCGACATTGTGTTATTGGGTGGATGTTGGACGCACAGGGGGGTATATCACCCCAAGGGATGCGCGACCCGCTGTACAGGTACCGGCTACGGTGCGTGTCTGTTAATAGAATTCCCCGCGAGTAGGAACATGCTGTGATTGCGGTATGCATACGATGCGGTCGATGACTACTGCTCCTATCTGTGGTGGTTGGTCACCCCCTAGCCTGCGGTATTATTCCACAAGTGGGCGACTATGTCGCTGCAACGCCTCATGGGGCAGCAGCAGCAGCAGCTAATAGGGGTGCTGGCGGCCCCGCTCCGCAAGGGAGCCTGCACCGAGCCTGACGCCCCGCTGAGTGCAAAAGAGGTGGCATCCTGGTCAGGAAGCGCATGTGCGGTGCGGTACTGGCGGAGCCGGAGGCGGGGGGACACGTGCCAGCATCGCATTCCACAAAGCACAGTAAGCACACGCTGTCTCCCTTCCTCGCTTCTCTCTCTCCCCACACCACGCTCCAACAAGAAATGGGAGAAACAAACGCTCAGCGCGCTGTACCGGTACATCGGCTATACGCCACATATCATGTCCTCATCCTCCCCCCCACGCGTTGCAAACCATGATGACGCCTTACCCTATCACACAATTCGTTAGCCGTTTCCTCTTTTTTCCTCTTTTTCGTTAGTCGTTTCCACCCACCCATCGGGTGCGGCCCATGCACTCCTTACCCCCACCAGCCCCCTCCATGCAGCCCCCCCCTCCATCACACGAAGGCCTCCTTGCCGCCCCACAGCACCCCCGCCAGCTGGTAGGCGTTCCAGCCCGCATGCAGCAGCAGCGGCGCCGCCAGACTGCCGCACCGCAGGTACAGCACGTCGCAGCAGCCGGACAGTACGGCAATGGGCAGCCAGTTGCCGGGACCCGGGTGCAGGGCGGCGAAGGCGGTGGAGCTGAGGGCGACGCAGGCGGGCAGGGGCAGCACGCGAGTCATGGAGGCGAGGAAGAAGCCACGCCAGAAGACCTGCAGGGGGGCCGGATGAAGAGGGGGGGGGGTGAGAAGAGGAGGAAGGTGAGCGGGTCCATGTCCGGGTTGCGACTAACGAGAGGCAGCAGCACATACAGCGTGCGGCAACAACCACCTCCTGCTTCCCCTTCTCCGCTTCCTCCTCCCCGTCCTTTTTTCACTCCCCAGCCCCTACACCCCCGGCCGCCGCCCCGGCCCCTGTTGCAGACCAAGATGAGCTGATGAGTTGTTTCCTCTTTGCCCCCGCCCATCCCTCCCTGGTCCCTGCACGCACCTCCTCCCACAGCGGGCCCGCCAGGCAGCTGGCAGCGCCATGCAGCACCAGCCCCACCCCTTCCCCAGCCGCCTGGCAGTCCCGCAGCTGCGATGCCAGGGTGGATCCGGGGTCGGACAGCAGCTGATGGGGGGACAGCAGAGACTGCAGGGGAAGCGCCTGCAGGGGGTGGGGCGGGGCGGAGGGAAGCAGGGCGTGTGTGGGGGGGGAGGGGGTAGGTAGGAGCTACCGATGGGATACCGTATCTGACTTACCGCTGACGCACATGCGGCCTATTCCGATTCCGTTTTTATCCCAACCCCAACCTAACCTAACCAACCCAACCAACGCAACCAACCTGTTCCACGGCTGACCACATGTCGTACAGCAGTGGATCCGCCAGCGGGTATGCCACCGCCGCCAGCGCCACCACCGTCACCGCCACGGCGGGCGGCAGGTCGAAACGGAACATGCCCGCGGACCTTTATTTACAATGCATGACAGGAACAGGATTGGGGGGGGGGGCATGGGGTGAGATGGTGGGGTGCGGAGGGTGTGCAGGGAGGAGTGAGAGGAGAAGGATGAGAAGGCATGTGGGCTGGCGTGAGAGTGCGTTTAGAGGCAGGAGTGCGATGAAGGCACCCGCCCCCTCCTCTTCCCAGGACTCCACTCCGCTTCCCTTCCATTACCTGGGCTGACTCCCTCGAAGCCCCAGCCCCAGCACCGCCACAGAAGCACAGCAACACAGCAGCTCCAGGCCCAGATGCCGTACGGCGGTTGTCCGTACATCGTCGGACATGAGTACGGCAGCAAGATCCTGTGTCGTACCGGTACATGGAAGGGGGTCTGAGGAGTGGCAAACGGTAGTGGAATCTGGATGCTAGATGGAAGGGAGCAGGCTGTGGGCCTGGCCCAAGGATGGTGCTCGGGGTGCCTGTGCCAATATGATATGAATGAGTTCGTTCGCACCCTGGGTATGTGTGGGGCGGCTGTTGCAGCCACGAGCGCGAGGGCCGTAGTCCAGCCCATCACCTGCACCAGCTGCATAGGGCCCCAAGGCACTTTTGGGACACCCTTGCTAGCGTTGTCTAGGAGTTTCCCCGAAGCCACTTCTGTCAGGAATACGACAGGATTAAGGAGTGGTATCTGGGCTGGTGTGGGGAGCGGAGGACTGTTTGTCGTTGTTGTGCTGGGAGTAAGTAAACTGGGTGCTGTATTTGATGTTCTTGGTTCACTGGTAACGTGGTTTGTGGGGCTAATTTCCGCGTCTCCCTTAGGGATGGCGCAGATTGGGCCACATGTGACGGTGGATGTGGTGAAAAGGTGCAAGGTTTGGCCGTGCGTGCCCTTAAACCATCCTTGTTTTGCACGATGTGCTGGCTGGTGAGGTATAGGGGCCAGCGCCTGTGCTGCGGGGCAAATGGGTGGCCGTCGTTGTTGCAGCGACGGGCCGAATAGACTTGCAAGACGCATTTTCGCAGCGCTGAGAGAGGCGTTGGCTACTTATACGCTGCTTAGAGTTATGCATATTACACAATTTAAAGCGTTCTGCGCACGGCGACGGCCAATCCTCAATGCAGCTCGCCAACCGAAGTTGTAGTGTCGCCGTATTTTCAGTCCAGCTGGTTAGCAACTTAGCATAGCACACATACAATACTAGATTGGCGTCTTTAGCTAGAGACCACCACCGATTTACGACGTTACAAAAGGGGCCGCTAACAAGTTCATGTACCGGTGCCTGCAAATACCCGGTCGAACTATCTAATCGCTTCACTGTGTTTGCTCCTCTTATAGGGGGGCTGGCGACCCCAGTCCCCCAGACATAGCGTACAACGATTCTATATTAGCCTTCCTGACCTGCCACCTGTAACTTTAGCATAGGAAAAATGGTGAAAACGAAAGGAGGAAGGACTCTCAATCCTGCGGATTCGTTCCGCAAGGAGCAGCGCAAAAAGGAGGTGGCGCGCAACAAGATGGAGCGGAAGTTCATCCGTGAGGGCGCAAAGATGCGTTCAGACCCTGAATCGCTCAAGAAGGAGCTTCAAGAGCTAATTGACATGGAGGAGAACGGAACTCTGCCTAAAAACCTGAAGCTTAAGAAGAAGGCGCTGCAGGAAGCGTACGACCAGGCCCTAAAGCGGAGAAAGGTAAGACAAGCCCGCGTAAGCCACTCAACCTCTGGCTCACCACTTCCCGCACCTTCACTGCCCCGCACCTCCGCTTCCCCATAGCCAAGCTCCACCCGACCCGTATACCCGACCCTCACGCCCCCTTTCCCTTCTAGCTTCTTTCCGCAGTCGCTCTTCCTATCGCCCTGACACCAACCACAACCTATCACGCCATGCATCATGTCCTTGCCCTCGCCTCCTACCACCATCTGTACCCTGCCCTGCCCTCTCGCAGGAGGAGGAGCTCAAAGCCAAAATCGGCGGGCCACAGCTAGCAGCCCCGGGCGCAGCAGGACCCGTCGCGCTGCGGCCCCAGGATTCGCCGTACTACCACCCCACGCTTAACCCCACCGGCGCGCCGCCGCCAGGTAAAGGCGTGGCGCCCACGGCTCCCACCGCAGCTCCCGCCGGGCCAGCCATCCCCGTGCCCAAGGCCCCGCCGCTACCGTCGGGGCCGAGGCCGACGATGCCGCCGCCGCCAGCGGCGCCACCGCTGCCAAGGGGCCCCGCGCCCAGCAACATTCCGCCGGCGGTGCCGCTGCCGCCGCCAGATGAACCGCCGCCGCCGGTGCTGCCGCCGCCGGACCACCCGCCGCCCGGACACAAGCTGCCGCCGCCGTCAATGCCGCCGCCGATGTTGGGGAAGCTGCCGCCGCCGCCAGGGCCGCCGCCGCCGCTCATGGGGACGTTGCCGCCGCCACCGGGGCCGCCGCCGCCGGTGCTGGCGGCAGAGGGCGCGCAGCCTCCTGCTCCGGGTGCGTCCTTGGGGTCATGTCGTTGTGGTGTCTTGATGTCATACGCTCATATCCTGCCACGGTCCTCATGGGGCCGGCAAGCATGGCGGGGTTTCTAGCCTGGTGGATGTGGGGGGCTGAAAAGCGAGGAATGCAAGGGGATGTCCTAACGGCGCGCATGCCTCGTAACCGTCTTCACCGCACGCTTCCTGCCTCCCGCCTCCAAATCGCTGCTACAGGTACGGAAGAGGAGGGGCCACCCGGTGTCGGCCCCGGCTCCGCAGCTGCAGTAGCAGTACCGGGGTCGGCGGTAGCAGCTGGCGGGATGCCGCCGCCACCTCCACCGGGGCCGCCGCCAGGGCCGCCTCCCCCGGGGTTGCCGCTGCCGCCGCCGATGGGCGGTCCGCCGCCAGGCATGCTGCCGCCGCCACCGCCCGGCATGATGCCGCTGCCGCCACCACCGCCGCCCCACATGCTGCCGCATATGGGAATGCCTCATCTGGGTACGCCACGTAACGGGGGCTGTGGGGGGAGGGGATGTCCGGGACCGTCAAGGGGGTCATGTGGGACCTAGCTGTTGCGCACATGCCCATACACGCACATGCGCGCCGCGTAACACGCCATGCATTTTCACTAATTCCTGCCCCCCCCCACCCTCAATCTCTCTCTCCCCCTTGCCGCACCCCCCCTTCCGGTGCTGCATGCGCGTCATCAGCCCTGCCGGCCCAGTACTCGGCGCCACCCGCCACACTGGCTGCAGCCGCGGGGCAACCGGTGGTCGCATCCGCACCCGCAGCACCCGGCCGCACCACCGCGGCTGCCGCCGCCGCCACCATCTCCGGAGCCTCCACGGTGGCTAAGCGGCTCCCCGCCACGCAGGACAAGCAGCTGCTGTCGATGGTGGGTGCCGTTGTGCGTAGGGGCGGGTGCGTAGGGTGTGTGTGTTGTGACTGGTTGACTGTGCCTATGGAGGTAAAGGAGGGGAGGGGTGTAGGCTCCTAGCTAGCTTGATGGCAAGGTGGGCGGGTGCAGGGGCTGGTTGCGAAGAGGCGCCTGGGGGGGGATCGCATGCGGTTGGGGGATTAGATTGAACTGAGCCGCGGAAACACTGACCCTGCGGTTGGGGGGGGGGGTAAAAAATAAGGAAAACTGACGAACTGGATGACGGGGCTTCTCCATGGGTTGCTAATGGAACCCACGGTTGAGGGGGGCACCGGGCTGATCATGTGGTTCATGCCTCATGCGGGAGCTGGGTCCTGTCCGGCCTCCGTGAGCTGATGTAGGCGTGCGAACCCACCCTGGTACCCCCCACTGCTCCTCTGCCTGCCGTACATTGGTAGAGGCAAGCACCCCCCAGGGGGGCTGTCTGTGTGTGTTTGCCTCCGCCCTTACCCCAGCTCCAATGATGTCCCCGCCCCGGGTTTTCTTCCCATGCGCCCGACTGTCTTTTCCTGCCGGCTGTCCTTCTGACCCACCCCCACGGTGGCCGCATCCGCCCCCCTCCTCCAGGTCCCCGCTGCCCTTCGAGTGCGGAGGGAGGATGCTGCGCCTAAGCCGAAGCGCCAGGCGCTAGGGGGGCCCGGGGGAGCAGGTGCGGGGGGTCGGGCGGACGCAGGATCGGGGTTCGGCCTTGCACCCAAGCCGGTGGCCGCGGGCAGCGGCGGAGCAGGAGCAGGCGGCAAGGACGCGGGCCCAGCGTCTGCGGACCAGAAGTACCTAGACTTCTTGGCGAGTGTGGCGGACTTGGGTGCTTTTGACTAGTTAAAAGATGGATGGATGTGCGTTCAGGGTTGTGAGGTGCGGTTGGATGGGGCAGCAGGGGAGGAGCGGGTAGGCCTTGAGAGAGGCAGGGAGCGGAATTAGGTGGATTAGGGGATTTAGGAGGCGAGGCTGCAAGGGGGCTGCGGCGGAGTTGAAGAGGTGAGACTGTAGGTTGGGCCTGAACCTGGGATTGAAGTTGTTCCTGGGCTACTGTTAACGCAGCACCGGCTGTATGCAATGGTAGCGACGTGGCTTCTACTTGTAAGGAGGAAAGGCTGGTAGCTAGGTGTTTGGCTCCAAACATGGGGTCAGTTAGTCAGCGTCTGAAGAAGGATGAGCAAAGGCGATACCACTATGCGAAGGCATCGATCGTTATCTAGGTATGCCTGTGCATGGCATCCAACTTCACCGTACGCGGCATCGCCAACAGGCGCTGTAGACTTTACCGGTCGGCAGACCGGGAGGCCAGACTGGACAGACATACCAAGTGGATCAGTGCAAACTTCAATACTTATTATCACAATCTTACAAACACTCCCGATAGGAAGCTCGCCGTCCTTAAGTTTACCTCTCTCGGCCCAGTGGGTAGCCCTAAAACCAAGCAACAAATGCAATAATGCGTAATTAGTATACGATTTACTGTTCTATAGCGTTCTATTCTTTAAGGGCGCGATGGACAGGTTAATGAGCAATCATTTTGCTGGTTCACTTGCGCCGAGACAATGCAACCTTGCCAAGGGAGCTTTCAGGACAAAATGGAGCTTCAATGCATGGAACAATCAACCTGTCCAGCTTGGTAGAGCAGGTACGCAAGCCATGCCTTGGCGGCGGCCTAGCGCCTGGTATCCACCATCTCCGTCTTCGCGTGCCAGGTCTTGGGAGGCATGAGCGACGAAACATTAAAGCGCAAGCGGCAGCGGCAGCATCAGCGGCGTTTGACCCACCAGGTGAGCCCAGCGATTCACCCATGCTTCCTTTCCCTGCAAATTACCCAAACCTCCCCCTCCTCTTCCGACATTTCTTCCTCGCAGGTGGGACGCCATTGGAAGCAACCATAACACGCGCTCCAGCACAACCAGCGCTGGAAGCCTCCCCAGCCTCCTCTCGTACCTCACCCTCGTCCTTGCCCTCCTCGACACCTCCTCAACCAGCCTCCCCCTCCGCGGAGCCCGCCTTCCGCCCTGCTCCCCGCACCTTCCGCATCCCCAACCTCTCCGCGCCCATCACCTGGACCTTCATGCTCAGCTACATGGCCTTCATGCTCATCATGCCAATCACCGCGCTGCTCCAGAAAGCCAGCGCCATCCCGCTCGCAACCTTCATCGCGCGCGCGACCGAACCCGTTGCCGTACACGCCTACTTTGTCACCTTCTCCTGCGCGATCCTGGCCGCGGTGTTCAATTGCTTCTTCGGCTTCGTGCTCGCCTGGGTGCTCGTACGCTACAAGTTCCCAGGTCGCAAGCTGCTAGACGCGGCCGTGGATCTGCCCTTCGCCCTCCCCACTTCCGTCGCGGGCCTTACGCTCGCGACCGTGTACGGCGACGAGTTCTTCATCGGGCAGTTCCTCCAAAGCCTCGGCATCCACGTCGTGTTCACGCGGCTGGGCGTGGTGATCGCCATGATCTTCGTCTCCTTTCCTTTTGTCGTACGTACCATGCAGCCCGTCATGCAAGAAATACAGCGCGAGATGGAGGAAGCGGCCTGGTCGCTTGGAGCCTCGCGATGGAGGACCTTTGTGGACGTGGTCTTCCCGCCGCTCTTTCCCTCGCTTCTCACAGGCACAGCACTCGCGTTTTCCCGCGCGTTGGGCGAGTTCGGGTCGATCGTGATCATCTCCTCCAACTTTGCGTTTAAAGATCTCATCGCGCCCGTTCTGATCTTCCAGTGCTTGGAGCAGTACGACTATGTGGGGGCGACTGTGATTGGCACGGTGCTGCTGCTGATCTCGCTGGTGATGATGCTGGCGGTCAACCAGCTGCAATCCTTCAACCAGCGGTTCAGGCGGTAGTGTGGATGGAGGTGGTGTGGGTCGACAAGAGCGTGGCGGCAGGTGCTGGGAGCGTGAGGATGTCTGATTGGAACAGCTGGGCTGGCTGGGAGCTGTGAACTACCCAGGGGCTTCTGGCCTGGCCGCTGTTTAGCTCTGCTCTGAGGAGGTAGCACCGAGCTAACAGAGAGCTAAGCGTTGTGGGCTTCCTGGCAGGCGGCCCTTCAGGAGGAGAGGCAGCGGCAGCCACAGCGGCGGCAGCAGCGGAGGAGGAGGAGGAGCAGCAGCAGTGGACGAGCAGCGACAGCAGCGGAGGTAATCCGACAAAGGTGGACATGCGGTGTTAGCAGCTGGGGAATAGGAGGGACAATGGTTGATGACCTTACCCGATCCGCTCTCGCGGAGGCAGGAGCTTCACTTTGGGAATGTCTTTGGCGTCGGCGCGGCAGAGCACTCAAAGCAGCGGCACGCCCATATGCCGGTGGTGGTCTTAATAGTGCTGAGTTGCGGTTGTTGGGCCGGTGAGGGCCTGTTGCGGTATGCTGGACTGCTCATGTAGACGTCCTGCGGCGCCCCTTGTCGGCTGTGGCTGCATATGTAGTCACGGTTGGAGCTCCGTTGGCTGTGGCTAAGGGGGTAGTGAGAAGGTGTCGCCTTTTGGGAAGGCGAGGAAGTGTGAAGCCCCAATGGGTGGCGTTCGACGAGAACGGGGGTTTACTGCAGCGAAGGGCAGGTGTGTGTTGAATGCCGGGTTGTTGTTTATGGTGGTGGTGGTGGTGGTGGTGGTGGTGGTGGCGGTGGCGGTGGTAGCACAAAACCTGTGTCTTGTTTTTTGGGGTAAAGGAGCACGGTTCGGTGGGTTGCGGTGGAGGGCGCTATGCGTGAGGCCCTGTGAGTTGGAGTGTGGAGGGCTGAAGGAGGGTATCGCGCGTGCATGTAGGGAGGGAGTCAGGAAGGTGGCTGTGCATGTGTAACGCAAAGCTGTTACTAGCTAGCTGCCGGTGCTTCTTCAGGTGCACTTGTCATGGCATGAATGCATGTAGGCGCATGTAGGTGATGGGTTGGGACTTCGGGGCTTCGCAGGCTTCGTATAGTTATGCTGTTCGTTCGCACTCTGGGGTGCGTCCGCAGGGCTGCATGCTCGGTTATTAGGACGACGGCTGTCGCAGTGCGGTGGCAGGCAGGGGTAGCGGCTTCCTCGCTTTTGGGCGTTTGCACAAGGACCGGGCACGGCAGGTGTATGGCAGCAGCAGCAAAAGCGGGGGCCTTCATTGCATATGGTGTGATTACTTCTGCGCGCGCCTTATGGTAGAGGGGGCCCAAGTGCTTCCAGGAATGGTTGGAAGCGCGTTTTGTGTTGCTGAGCTCAGGATGTGTGTTGGGGAGGGCTCCGAGAGGGCCTTCTTGCCTGGGTTACGACCTTCCGTGAATGTTACTGTGAACTAGCTAGAATTTGCTCGATGAAACTGTGCCGAGGATCATTTGTCAAAGACATGCCCGGCGGTGCATGCGCCGGTGCCTAGGCTGCAGACTGCAGGTGTGGTGTGGGGGGTGGGTGCATGCCGGGTCATGCCGTGGGGCGCCGCAGCGGAGGTAACTCCTGCAGATCTGGTGCGCAGCGTTTCCAAGCCGCAAGGGGCCTCAGCACTCAAACGCAAGGTCCCCAAATGCTCTCAGCTGCTTGTTCGATTAGCAGGCAGCAGGTTTCGAGAGGGCCTTCTCGGGATTGCCAGTAGCAGCTAGGGAGTGATTGGTATGCTGCCTAAAGCGCTCGCTTATGGCTAGCAGGCCTCGTATAGTCTCTGCTCGTATTCACAAGTTCCATTGTGACAATGCCAGCAGCAAAAAGGATTGCAATGCCTGCTTAGCGACCGCAAAGGCCGTAACGCCTGCGGTTAACATCTAACAGATAGCGCTTCGGACGACTTCCACCGCTGTCAGGAAACGGGGGTTTACATCCTGTTATACTGAACTGGACACGTGTCACTTCATGGCAACAGGTACAACACAGCATTGTGCCGTTCAGTCTGTTGCGCGCAAGTGACCCACGGGTCATATTTGCCTTCCCGCAGCGGCGCCGGTGTCACAGGAGCCGCACTGCATTGAAAGGACAGGCAGTCCATCACCATTGACTAGGACTGCTGATGGCACCTTCCGCAGAACGCATGAACAGGCGTTGCGGCATTGGACCAGTGACAAATCTCAAGTGGCGAGTGTTGGACAGCTATACTCATTCGAAGGATCGTCGGCGCCTATGGTGACTTAACACGCACGCGAATGCGAACAGCCCAGGCGTCCCCGCTAAACATCAACTCAGTCTCATGGGAAGACTTTTGAGCAACCAAGATAGCCACTGCAAAGCACAAGGTCCGCGTTCTACGCTTGCCTGTCCGGCGCCTGTTGCGAAGGTGGTCTGACATCCGTTCCTTTGCTTGCATGGCCAACCGCTGTAACACACGCCACCGGAAACAGCAATAAACCCTTCGCAACGGGGAGTCAGGGTGTGACAGCAGGCAGATTACTGGAAGCATCTGGAACTAACAGCCGTGCAACTGCGCTGAGCAGTTGACATTGTCAGGCGGGTGAGTAACGGGATGCATGGATGGGTTCAGCAAGTATATGCTGCTGACGGTTGCGGTCAGGAACCAAGAAGCAAACGACTGTGATGTATCATTCGGTGCGTTAAGGTTAGAGGCACGACGAGTATATGCAGCCCGCTCTGCTTGGGACATGCCATGCTGTAACACTTCCGTTCGTGAGGGCGTTGAGCACACCTCGGGCAGTCTCGTTTGCGGCAGGCGTACTTGCCATCAACCGTTCAACAATTCTTCCGGGTCGTTCACACCGTCAGCCGCCCCTTGATGCGACTAGTACCGTAGGGGAAACGGGGATGCAAGCAGACAACGAATAACGCATGCGTGGCTTTGCCCCAATTCATTTTTCAAGGACTCCCGCCGCTTGCCCCTTCGCCCCGCAGCTTGCCTTAGAGGCAGCAACGCCTTCCGCTTACACCGTTATCGCCGCCCCTCCGCCCGACACCAGACGCGGCAAAATCAGCCACGATCCCCTGACGCAAACCCGCACAATGACAAGAACCGGTTCTTCCTCCTCTCCCAACATCGCTCCAACCTTACCCAACACTCCAAACTCCGTGCCAGTAACTGCCGTACCCACTTCAGCAGCGCTCGCCGAGTGGATACCGGTATTGCCAACGAACTGTAACAACCAACAGTTTCCGCCCAAGGATCCCCTCACGCCATCACCATCACAATGTCAACATGGGCCCATGGGGCGCTCTAACGCCGAGGAGGATGTGAGTGAAGACCCGCCCAGGCCTTGGCCTAAGCTGCAACATCATGCGCTACTGCCTACACAGGGGCAGCAGCAGCAGCAGCCGCGGATTCCGCAAGGCATGCAGTTGGTGCCGATGCTACAGCCCCTGCTGCCAGCTGCACCGCTGCCCCGATCGCATTCCCACCCGTTGCTGCTGCATCAGCAGCAAAAGCAGGCGGACCCGTTGCCTATCAGTGCCACACTCTGTGCCACCCTGCACATCCTGCCACACGTAGCCCAAGCTGCACCAGCGGCGGCAGCGACGGCGGTAGCTGCTGCCGCAGCGGCGGCGGCGGCGCTAGCTGACCGCGGCTTAGTACGGCCGCCACCGCCGCCACCGCCGCTACCTCCTAACACAAGCTCAAGTACCTGTAACGAAGAGCTGTCTCTATGGCCTGCCGCTGCCGCAAATGCCACTAGCACCTCCAGCGCTCCGCCAGCAGCCGCCAGCATTTCCGTACAACAACAGAACCACCAAAAGACGTCGCGTCGTCGGGGCTCCATCATGGCAGCGGCGGCTGCGGGCTTCAGGCGCCGTACACTGCCTTTTGGCGGCGGCAGCAGCGCTCGTGAACGTTTGGGCGACTGTGGAGGCTGGTCGCTGAACTTCGCGGCACGACGGCCGTCAGCGTCGCTGCTGCTGTTGGCGGCGGCGGCGGCCGCGACGGCGCCGCTGCTGCTTGTGGCGCTGCTACTGGCCAGCGACCTTTTGCCCGACCTTCGTAGCGCTGCACACAACCGCGTTGTAATCGTGAGGACAGCGCCGACGGCGGCGGCGGCAGTGGAAGAGGGCAACAGGCCCGGGTCTGGCGGCGGCGGCGGCCCCGCGGCTACCGCCAGTGCCGTACAAGTCCCCGGAGCCATGACTGCGGCACCAATGTGGGCGGAGCAAAGCCTCCGTTTGGCGCGGGAGCACGACAGGGCAAGACAGGCGGCGGCGCCGCTGACAAAGACTGCGGAGGCTCCCGTGGAGGCTCCCCCGGCCGCGCATCCTCCGGGTCCAGCAGCGCCGCCGTCGCTGCCTGCTGCGCTTGCAACCCTTCCGCCACCTCTGCTGCCATCACCACCGCCACTGCCGGCGGCGGTGGCAGCGGCGGCAGCTTTGTTCTTCCGGGTGGCGGATATGCGTGCTCCGCCGGTGCCGCTGCGACTTGCGCTGGACCTCCGCACATGGCAACACATCCCGCTGAGCCTGCCGCCGCCGCCACCGCCGCCACCCTTGACGCTGCTGACGTCAGCACCTCCCGGCGAGGTGGTAGCTGAACCGTCGCCGGCGGCGGCGGCGGGCAGCACCCGAAGCAGTGTATCCCACCAGCGTCGCCAGCTTCACCACAAGCTGACGGCGGCAGTGGCCGGTGACGTCAACGGTGCCGCTGGCGGTGTCGCGCCCGCTGCGGTCGTGGCTGGCGTCGGCGGCCATGCGAGCGCGCTGGCGGGTTGCCCCCGGGGCGGCCCCCGGGTGCGTGTGCTGGTAGCCGTCACCTCCCGCTGCTGCGACGAACAGGTATGGGTGTGGCCCGTATGAGGTGCTGGTGAGTGGCGGCCTGGAAGCTGGGCAGGGTGCTGGGTGTGTGTATGTTCTGGGTCATGTGGGAGGTTGGGGTTAGGCGGGGTTCGTGCGGTGGCACATCAGGGTGTGTGATGGCACGTGCTGCTGCTGTCTGCTTTTTCCCCACCCATTCCAGCCTCAACTCAACTCCACTCCCCCAACTCCGCACCCCTCCTCCCCCCTCCTCCTGTCTCCTCCTGCCTCCTGCATGCGACCAGTCCGCCGAAAAGCGTCAGGCCATTCGGGAGTCCTGGGGCGCCCAATTGCGGCGCCGGCTGGGCTCCTGCATGGACCTGTTGTTCGTGCTGTCGCAGCCGCCGCCGGAGCAGGCGGCGCGAGCGGCGCAGCTGCTGGAGAAGGAGGTGGCGGAGGCGGAGGCGACAGCGGCGGCAGCAGCAGCAATGGCGGGAATGAGGGGGGAGGAGGGGACAGAGGACGGAAGTAGGGGGGTAGCGGCAAGGGCTGCTGCCGGCGGCGAGGGCGTGAGGAGCGCAGCTGCTGCTGCTGCTGCTGGTGGTGGAACAGCCGCCAGCGATATCGTGTTTGTTCCTGGATTGGTGAGTGGTGGCTGCAGTTGGCTGCACATGCCGTACATGTACCGGAATCATGTGTGTACCAATCGGCCGCTTAGCGTTTGCGATGGGCGTGTTCAGGGATGTATGTAGCTCATTCCCTGCTCCAGTACCTGCTGCCCCAATGTACCTGCTGCTCCAGTACCTGCTGCCCCTGCCTATCGCCTTACGGTACCTACCATGCAGTGCTCCCTTGCTCTCCCTCCCTCCCTCAAACCCCCCCCTCAAACCCCCTTCCCCCCTCCCCTCCCCCACACCCTCTCCCTCCGCAAAAGGACACCTATCGCAATCTGCCCAACAAAACCCTTCGCATGCTGCAATTAGCGCTCAGCAGGTGTGTTTGACAGCTAACAGCAGGTTTGTATGCGTGCATGTTCCCTACTATGTTCCATCACAGAAAGCTAGCTGATTAAGCGCTTTCTTTGCTCGGCAGGAGCAGTAGTGCCAGACCATGCCTGGGCACAACCTCGCATACTTACACCGCGTCCTTGTTGACCTCGACTAACCAGCTTCCCGTTTCCGCCAACCCAATGTGACCCATGGGTCATCGCCCACAGCCCCCATCACTACACCCACATCGTCAAATGCGACGACGACGTCTACATCCGACCCCACAAGCTCCTGCACGACGTCATACTGGCGCATCGTACCAATGGCAGCAGTACTAGTGCGGCACCCTTGTCGTACATTCGTCGAACAAGCCGTACACCTGTGCATCAGTACGATGCTCTTACTGCCGTACTACCTGCACAGCCGGCTGTACTGCTTGATGATAAGGAGGAGGAGAAGCAATGGGGTACTCTTGATCAGGAGGAGGAGGAGGAGGAACGCCGCGGGGCAGAGGTGATGGAGGAGCCGGTGGTGGTGGTGGCAGAGGAGGAGGAAAGTCATCTTGGGGAGGAACAGGCGGAGCAAGAAGAGGAGGAAGAGGAGAAGCTGTTCTGTGGCGGCGTGTCGGGCTGGTTCTCCCATGCAGACGACGGATTCAAACCCGTTAGGGACCCCGCGTCAAAGTGAGTGGCTGCAGAGGGCAGGAAGCGGACTGACGACGGGTTGGCTTGGTCGGGTTGGGAACTTGGGTGGCCAAGGAGGGGTAAGGGATACCAATGATGGAACCAGCGGTACGCTGTGGCAATGACGAAATCAACGCCACTAGCCTTCTAGTCTTTCTCCCCTTACATCATGCGACTTCCCTAATGCCACTGCTGCAGTGCTCCTCGCATCGGCCCGCTTGCCCGCCCGCTCCCTGCTTCCCCCCACCTTCCCCCCGGGTTGTCAATGCTGCTCTGACGTACACCGGGTTGTTGCTCCACACAAACGCTACCGGACGTACCGGTACACTACTCATGTGCCACCCCCCTCCCCCCCCCCCTTGTCTCATTATCATACCACACTTTGGAATTTCTTTTCCCCCCCCCCCCCTCCCCTATCGCCAGGTGGTACCTGTCCCCCCGGGAGCTATCAGACCAGGAGGCCCCAACAGGAGTGCCGTACCCTGTCGGTTGGTCGTACGTCATGTCACGTGACGTGGCGCTGCGGGCTCTGGGTGGGTCCTGGTGGCCTGCTTAGTAGTTGGTTGGTTGCTGCTGGGTTTTTGTTGTGTTGGGTTTTATATTGCTGGGTTTTCATTGTGCTGGGTTGTCACCGGTGGGTAGGCTCACGGGCGATGTTTGTCACAGAAGTCAGAGCATACGTGCAACCTATGCCGCCTTTTCAGCTACGGGACCCGCTGTCCTGGCTGGCATGCATGCCATGCCATGTCGCTCTCCCCGGCGAGATACCGGATTACCGGTGTACGGTACCTCATCCCTGCACCTCATCATAATTTCCTTATGTACCCTCTCGCTGCTGCCGTACACTCGCTGCTGATGTACGTACGTGTGGTGGCGCCGTACTGCATGCGTGCAGCCAAGGCCGTACACTACACCCGGCAGCCCTCCGCAGCGCCCGCCTGGTGGGGCAGACTACCCTGGGAGGACGTGACGATGGGGGCGCTGCTGCAGGTGCGGGGGTGGGGGGTGGGAGGGGACAGGAAGGAGGAGGGGACTGGAAGAAGCAAAGCCAGCATGCCAGTTGTAAAAAACATGCGTACGGCATGCGTTCCAGCCGGAAACAGCCCCAATCAGCATCTCACCACGCACTAGGTTGATGTGTCTCGACTGCGCGGTGTCCCTGTGCCCTGCATACCGGCATCCCTACAACCACCCAACCACCGTCACATATGCCTATCCGCACGCCTATCCTATACACCCCCGCGCCTCATCATGGCGCACTCCGCACCAGGGCGAGGTGCCCCTGCGCAATATCCCCGGCTTCAAGCACCCCTTCATGGCCTGTGAGGCTGACACAGTGGTGCGTGAGGGGGGGGATACAAATAAGGAAACTGACGAGAACTGTATGACGAGCAAGGGCTTCAACATGGGTTGCGCTGTGTGATTCCGGTCCACCCCACCCCGCCCCTGGTGCGTTACTGGGGTCAAAGACCATACCAACTACAAACTATAGGAGACCACAGGTTATGTGCGTTATCGTGGAGGAAGGGGACGGGGACAACACAACCCCCCCACCGCCTCTTCACACGAACACTCTGCCCACCCCCAGGCCAAGCACCTGGACAACCTGGCTCCGCAGCTGCAGCGGCGGCTGTACGGGGCTGAGCTGGCGGGCGGCTGGGAGCTGCAGCAACAGGGGGCCAGCGGCGGGGCGGACTGCGTTGGCGGGAGCTTCCAGGTGGATGGGTGGGTGGGTGGTGTTGCTTGGTCGGCCGGTAAGCAAGGGAGTTGTGCCTTTCGTGCCATCAGCCCATCAAGCCGTGTGCTGTAAGACTGTCTTCCTACAAGCGTCACCCAACCCATTGCTGAATTGTTACTCCGCGCCCTGGCTTCCTGGCTTCCTGGCCTCCTCTTCCTCTGCTCCCCCTGGCCTCCTCCAACCCCAGGCGGGTAACTTCACGGATTGGCGGTTGTGGCGCAACCGACAACCGGACGTGGCGTTGACGGGTCGTATCTGACACACCCGTACATTCGGACATGACTAACCCCCCAGGATGAAGCTGATGGGTGCCGTACATTGGGTGTGCAAAGCAGCGTAACAGTTTCTAACGCCTGTGGTTGTGGTTGTGGTATGGATGTTATGGTGGTAACCCCTGTTGGAAGTTGGGGAGCGAAGCAAGAAGAGCACCTGCGAGATGAACGTGGGGGCAGGAGTGTGTTTTGACTGTTTGGGCTGTCTGCAGGAGCAGCTGATAGGTGTGTTATTATAGGTGTGTAGTTGAGCAGAAACAAGAGCAAGCAGTTGGGATAGGTTCGCATGTGAACCGCACACGGTGTGTGCGTATTTGCCTAGGTGCACGGACCCATAGATGGAGTGGTGGGGGCAGATGACTGTGGCGGTGGGTATATGTGCAATGAACTAAAAAAAGTATGTGCTAGGTAGGCAGGCGAGGAATATTGAGGCTGTACGACGGAAGACGAACCTGCACACACGTCACGATGCGAGATAGCTCTTCTTGAGCAGCAGCAACCCCAGACTTCATTCGTTCAATTGGTGTTGCAGGCGGGAGAAGGCCTGAGTTACATGAAGACAAGAAGAAGAGGAAGCTACGGTTGCTGCTGCTTCCGGCTGGGAATAGTGTAGTAGTTGCAGTTACCGGTAGATGTCTCAGGGGAGCCAGCAGCAATTACAGCAGTTAGGCAGCAATGTACTGCTGTGTGCTTCTCTGTTTTGCAGTACTTGTACGACACCCACCACTCGTCCTACACAGCTGGTACCGTCATTACACCGCGTCCGTATGTATGTGCGTTGTGGTCCTTCAACCTTTTGGTAAACAAAAAGAGACGCACAAAGCCACTGCCAGCCCCGCTGCCATCCTCTGGTGAATCACCCCGCGGAGGTTGGTGCAACAACAGTGGTGGTCTCGGAGAGGAACACACGAGGCTTCCTTCCAGTTGAGTCCAGCAAAGACACCAAGGGCAGCTGGTTACATCCTCAACTGTCGGGCTATCCACATCATACGTGGGTCATCAAGCCGCGCCAGCACGTCAAGAGGGAACTCGCCTCTTTACCCGCATAGCAACATATACCGCTACGTTCCTAGCCTAACTAACGTACAAACAGCCACCACAGCCAAGCCCACAGGCAACAGGCCCCAGCAACAAACGGCGGGGAACGCCCCAACTCATCAGCTCTGTTTTCCGGTTCTTCAAGTCACATGCATGGGCGGTTCATGTTGACCGTACGGCCCGTGTACGGTACGGTACGGTACGGCAAGCAACGGCTGTCCAGGAAGAAACCAAGAGGGTTGGATCCCTATCGATCCTCACCAGTCCTGGTGAGGAATGGTGCTGCGAGGAAAGCATGCATGCAGGCAGACAGACATACCGGTGCCGTGAGACCACGCCGCTACAACACACCGTTACAGACGCCAGTTGGCACATGTGTCATGTCATGTGTCATGTCATGTCATGTTCAAAAGGGTACCAAAGATTGTCAAGAGTGGTGTAGTCTTCCACAGCACCGTAACACGTGGCGCGGGGGCCTGCGCACATCCGCGTCCATGCTGCTGCCGCTGCTGCTGCCGCCACCGGCCGGCTACCACCAGCCGGCTACCACCGGCCGGCTACCACCGGCCAGCTGCCATCATGCTCTCGGACCCGTTTGGTTACATCCCAGGCGCCCGGATGCTGCAGCCTCCAGCACCCAACTAAGACAGTGCTACAGTTCCCTTGCTGTAGCACAACTAAAACCAAGCCAACCCTCGTGACCATCATCGCAGTGTTACCGTACGTATGGCTATGGACACCACCATCTCCATCTCCATCCCCATCAACTACCCCCATCACCCCCCCTCCCATCCCCATCACGCCACCACCCCACCAGCCCCATCCCCCCTCACAGCCCCTGCAGCAGCTCATCCGCCGCCGCATCCACCTCCCCGCTGCGCTCCCCCAGCCACGCCTCCTCCGCGGGGTCAGGCAGCGGGTCGTCGATGTAGTCGGGAACGGGGTCGGAGTTCTGCTCGCGCCAGGGCATGATGCCCGTGCCGTAACCCTGGAGAGCGGGAGGAAAGAGGGGGGGAGGGGGGGAAGAGCGAGGAGAGGGGGTTAAAGAGCACGGCAATTCAACTTCCCTTCCCACACCCGCACACTACTTCCAACTCGCGGCCAGTTTTCTCACCTTACCACACACGTGCCCCACACAAACACAGTACGTTCTGCCCCTCGGCCAGGTTTCTAAACACACACGTGCCCCCTCCCCCACCCCACCCCACTCACGTCCTGTATCTGCTCCGCCATGAGGCCTCCGTCGGGCGGAATGAAGTAGGTGGGCACGTCGATGGAGCGACCGGTGGCCTCCGAGATCTCCTCCAGGCTCCAGCCGTTGGCCTCCGCCCAACCAAAGTCAATCGGCGCGTGGTAATCATCGGGCGGCAGCCTGTGCGGGTGGGGGGGGGGGCAGGGGGGCAGGGGGGAAAGAAGATTACCCAATGTTGGGGGTGGGGGGAGATAGGCGGACCCGGGAGGGTGAGGTAGGGGGTGAAAAAGGAGGATACAGGAAGCATACCCCCCTGCCATGCTGTGACCGAGAACGTGGTGAGGGTGCGGGGAGGGGGATTGCGTGATGGTGAGGCCGGGGGGGGGTTGCAGCGAAGGGGCTGGGGTGGTGGTGTCCAAGCCATGCAACCCAACAACCCAACACTGCATGCGGCAGAGCATGCGGCACCGGTTATGTCGTCTCTATTGGCCCTGCTGCCCTCCTGAGCCCGCAGCGCCCATTACAGCCCCCTCTCCTCCCGCCTGCCTTCCCCCCAACCCCCACCCCATCCCCCTACTATCCAGCCTAATGCGAAATGTGTATCCCTGTTAACCCACCCCTTTGACCCCCCTCACATGAGGTCCTGCAGGCCCCCCCACCCCCCTCACATGAGATCCTGCCCCCCCACCCCCCTCACATGAGGTCCTGCCCCCCCACCCCCCTCACATGAGGTCCTGCCCCCCCACCCCCCTCACATGAGGTCCTGCAAGCCCCCCCACCCACCCCACCCCCTCACATGAGGTCCTGCAGCCCTCTCACGGTGAACTTGAGCTGGATGGGCCAGCGGTACAGACCCGGGGTGCGCAGCTGGGCAAGGGCGGGAAGGCAGGGGGGGCAGGGGGGGCCAGGGGGGAAGGGGGGAAGGGGGGAGGGGTGGGAGAGGAAGGAAGAACGGGATTAGGCTGCTGCTGGGTAAAGGGAGTTGATGTTAGTGCGGCCGGTGCAGTGGTGCTGACGTCGCACCCAATCCCCCAGCCCCACACCCCACCCGCATGTTCCCTCCCTCCCGTCCCCCGTTGTCTCCTCTTTACCCTCCCATCCCCCGCCTCTTATCCCCATTGCCTTGCCTTAACTTGTAGTCTCGCTTGGTTTGGTCTGCCTCCCTCCCTTTCCTCGTCCGTTCCCTCATTTCTACCTCCTTCCCCCCTCCCCCCATTTCTTATATAATTTTCCCCCCCACCTTGTGCACCTCCACCATCACCACCTCCCCCACGTCCAAATGGTCCACAGCCAGCTCCCACAGCTCCTCGCTGCAGGGGATAAGACTGCCAGGGAGGGGAGAGAAGGGGGAAAGAAGGAGGAACAACAAGCGTTGGGGCGAGGGCAAAAATAAAGAAAACACTGACAAACTGGATGACGAGGGCGAGGGCGAGGGCGGGGAGGGCGACACGACCAGGTCGCCGGCGTTGGTACCGAGGGAGGCGGCCGGAGAGGGGGCCCTCAGCTCCCGCCGCCGCCACACCTCCCACCCTGCTTCCCCTCCCCACTCTGCTCCCCCCCCCCTTTCCCCCCTCCCCCACCACTCCCCCCTCCCCCACCACTCCCCCCTCACCCGTCGAACTCCGCGCCAATGTCCACCTGCACCCCGTGGTAGAGCCACACGTCCGTCACCATACCCAGCAGCACCCGCCCCTCGTCCAGCTCAGTGTAGCGGATCTGGAGGGGGGGGAGGGGGCCCGGGAAGGGGGGCCGGGAAGGGGGGTAAGGGAACAAGGAAGCTGACGAGGCAACTAACGAGCGGTGTGACACGTAGGCTTCACCATGGGGTGAGGAGGAGGGGACGCGGGGTGTGAGAGAGGGGAAAGGAAAGGAGGGGAGGGAGGGAGGGAGGGGGTTGGGAGGAGGGAGCCGCATGCAAACACCCTCCTGGGGCAGCTGGGTGCGACCGGATGTGAGGATAGGGGAAGGAGGAGAGGCTACGGCACGTGGATTGGAAGGAAGGCATCCACCGCCCCGCCGGTCCGCTCACCCGCTCCTCCGCGCCCTCCTCCTGCTCGGGGTCGTGGTAGGGCGACGGTACCAGCGGCTCCTCGTCTTCCTTCATGTAGTGCAACCGCTGGGGCTTGGAGTTCCAGTTACCTGGGGGTCAAAGACCATACCGGGGGGGCAAAAAATTATATAAAAGTGAAACAACGAATCCCAATCCCATATCCCATACCGGGGGGGCGGGAGAGGGGATTGGGGCGGAGGAGAAGGGGAGGGGGAAAGCAGAATAGCCGATGTCTTGATTGAGGCTGGCAAACAAGGGGGAGGGAGGGAAAAGAAGAATCCCAAGGGGGAGGGAGGGAGGGGGTTCAGCCTCTTGCATTTCCCCTGGCTCCAGGCATATGGCCAGGCACGGGCCGGCACCCTCATTCATCCCTTCCCTCCCACCCTTGGCCCCCTCATTTCCTTTGCGCCTCTGATCCCCACTAGCATAGATACATTCTTACCCTCTGGGTTAGAGAACCAGTATTCGGTGTCACGGAGGTCGATCCGGTCGTCCTTCATCGCCTCATTGTACGACTTGTAGACGCGCCTCTCCAGGGGACCTTTCTCGGGCTCCCAAACCTGATGGGAATTGGTTGGAGGTGGGGCAGGGGAGGTGGGAGGAGATCAGAGTGCTGTTGGGCTGTAGGGCTGGTGGAGGCAAAGCCCATTGGCCATGTGGCCCAGCCAGGAGTGCACCGGGCGCCGCGACATTCCCCTTTGCACGATACGAAGTTGAACTGGTGTTCTGATGGTGCTAGGAATGTAGTAACATACCTGGTAGTCAGGAACGTCTATGTAGGCTTCTTCGCCATCGTCTTCCTCAACATTCATCTCTTTTGCTTCGTTTGACTGGTAAAGCTCCTTAGCGGTACTGGTAATTCGACATGGCTCAAGTACATGCTGACGGTGAGACCCTGGAACAGGGTCATGGCATTCACGGTTAGGATTCCCTCGCGCTTGCGTCTGGTCTTATCGAGAAGCCAGCAACCGACCATGACTCAGACGACGACTATTTGCTTTCCAGTGCGGGCGTACTGAGGTTGCTGTAACAGGTGCAACACGGCCGCTGCTGGAGGCCTCTCCGACGCAAGTAGCTGGCGGCTGTCTCTGAAACCGCAGCAGGCGCTGCATTGTCCTAAGCTTTCGGAAAAACAAAAACTGGCAAATTGGCCCGGTTATCGGCTCATTTCTGTCACTAAAAGCTTCTATCGGGGTATAAGAGTTCTCACCAAAGCGAACCAAAGCGCAAACAAACTTGTAATGGGAGTCAAATTTGTGGGCAATTGCATGTATAGGCTATGTTAGGATGTTACTTCTGCTGCGATGGTCCCTGTCAAGCAGTAGCAGGTAGCCTGTTCCGTACGGTGGCAGGTAGGCAGTAGTCTCCCAAGGCACCGTCCGGCAGCGGTTTCACTAACAGTGCCCCTCACTTCTTTTCCTTAATGGACCCGTCTCGCTCCTACTTAAGTACCGCTCGAGGGGTTGTGTGACCTTGCTGCACTGCAGAAAGGGATTCCACAATAGCAGCATTCCTATACCTGAGAGTGAAGAGGGCTTGTTAGGAAGTTCAGTCTACCGAATAAGCCGAAAGGTTCCATTAGTTGATGATCATCCTGCTACCTGGCACCCTGGGTGATGTAACAGCTATAGCTAGAGTGCCCGAGCTGTCCCAGGGTAACAGGCAGCAATGTGCGCAAAGCAAAGGTACACAGGAGGCGGGCTGCTACTGGGATTACGACGAAGCCGAAAGCCAAAAAGCCTTGAGAAGGGAAACGGAGTGGAGTAGTACCCGAGGGCCTACAGCCGTGCCACGATAGGGTCAAGGGTGTACGTTGCCACAAAGGCCACGTTTGCGACGCACGTAGCATGCTGGGTTAGGACTATATATTCGGAGAGAAGCCGAGGGGAAATGTCGCCCGGCCCCTCCCGCAGGAACAGTTTGGTTTCTCTCTGACCCACATCCCAGCTACCTGGCGTGGTTTTGCGGCCATCGACTCCGCTCCTATTAAAAGTTGGAAAGAAAATGCCAAGCGATACGGATTACAGCGCAGCACTGTTGGCTACCCTAGCGCTTAAAGCGGCGAAAAGCGCCCGTGAAGTCCAACGTGGCGCCATGGGACGGACGGATCACAAATTAATACTTGCGCGAAAAGTATACGGAGCGTTTGCTGGATATCAGAAGTTGCATTGCAGCTAAGGCGAATAGCACAAGCTAAGGAAAAGTAGGTTCCGTACGCTGACGAGGACTAGCGCTTTATATTCATGCCCGCATCCTGCCCGTCTTCTTCGTTGTCATAAACAGCACATCTATACTCTGAAAGTGTTTTCGTCTGTGCTACACAAAACTCTCAATCCTTTTGTTTCTTCTGAAAACAGCACGCAACGGTAGATATGTGTCACCAGCCTTTGCGGGCTAAGCCTGGCTGTCACCATAGGCTTCATCAACCGCACGCTTTTGGGAGGAGGCGGGCACCCGCAGCGCTGCGCATTCTGGCGGCACACTCTGCGTCCGCGGTCAGCACCGCTACCTTGAGTGACTCACCACTTCTTGAACTGGGATGGCCTACGGACTTGAGAGAACATTATGTTCAAGGCAAGGTCCTTGGGACCGGCAGCTTTGGAAAAGTGCATCTTGGGATAGCTGCGGAGACAGGCCAGGAAGTCGCTATTAAGACGCTTCCTAAAGAGCGTCCAAAAGTTCCGCGACCAAGGGTTATTGAGAAGCTTCAACGGTACGCTTGTAATTAAACTGTGCTGCCTCGCCTTCTGATTCCGTTACGGGACCATCAGACGTAAGCTGCTTGTTACTATGCGCAGGGAAGTAAGCTTGTTGGACCGGCTATCGGGATGCCCCCGTGTTGTGCAACTTCTGGCGTGCTTTGAGGACGAGAACAGTATCTACCTGGTGACGGAAGCTTGCCATGGCGGGGACCTGCAACAGTTCTCTGACGTAAGTTGGTAACATATTCCCCACAGCAACACTCTCTTGGGTTCATGTCGCGGTGCTAGCTTAAACGTTCCCTGTACTTTGTTTGATATAACATAACATTTCTGGGTTGCAGGCCTACGGACCGCTTACCGAGCGCTGCCTCGCCCTTGTGGCGCTTGAGGTTCTCCAAGTAGTCCGCAGCTGCCACCGGCAAGGCATCGTGCACGGAGACGTCAAGCCAGGTCGGTAGACGACATTACCAGTGTAGGGTCAATTACCTAGCCATGCTCGTTGGATAACTGCATGCTTCGATGCTGGGGAGTTGCTGGGGACTTATACGTGCGAGGGCTTTACTGCACGTAATAGTTCCTTCCACTATGGCTGAAGCTGTCTGTCTCTTTTAAATGCTGGCCTCCGTGCAGCCAACTTCTGCATCAAGGATGCGCACCGGCACCCCTACGCGGCCTCCCTGGTGTCGTTACAACGAACACCCTGGCTGAAGGCCATCGACTTCGGGTGTTCTCAGCTCCATTACAACCACACTCGCCTCAGCAAGCGGTCAGGGACACCGGTGAGCTTCCAAGCGTGGCATCCTTGTCCATGCATGTAACATTTGCGTCTGTAACCGCAGCCTTGCCCTTGTTGCATGTTACGCATGGTTTCTTACCGAATTCCGTTGCGTGGCAGCTGACATATTCCTCCTCTGCCCATCTTTCCCCCGATCTTTCGTGGCGACGCTACTCTTCTCACACCTAGGTCTACATGGCGCCGGAGGTAAGCACCGTGCTCTCATCAGTAAGGGTATCTGCTACATGCCCGATTGCGCTCGTAGGCGTGCATAGCGGATTTACCAGTTGACAATGCGATCATTGACATATTAGTCGACAAGTCCTCTTGGCCCAAATCAGCGGTTCCCACACACTATGAGGACGTGCCTTTGGGCAGAGACCCAAATTAGCAAACCCTTCCCCTCAGCTCCAGCGCCGTTCACCTCACCCCCGCTTCCACCTCCCGTCGCCGCATGCCCGCGCACAGATCTTCCGACGCGACTACTCCTTTGAGGTTGACGTCTGGAGCACCGGCGTGCTGCTCTACCAGCTTTTCTGCCGGGCCTTTCCCTTCTGGCAGGGCGACTCGTACAACCGCGCGCTGTCGCTGGAGGAGGTAGCGCGCGCCATCACGCAAGCCGAGATTCGCATGGACTTTGGCCCCTGGCTCACCATGTCGCCCGAGGGCCTGGACTTTGTGCGAGGCTGCCTCACCAGGGACCCCACGGCGCGGCTCACCCTAGATGAGGCGCTCTCGCACCCCTGGCTGGAGATGCAGGTGTCGGCGGCCGCAGCGGCAGCGGCGGGACCGCACACGACCACGACGTCTAGCATGACGGGCCTGGCGCGCAGCAGCCAGCAGCAGCAGCAACAACAACAGGCGCAACAAGGCCGTCGTGACGCGGCGATGGCGGCGTAAGGGGATGCCGGCTGGTTCCCTAATGGTCGCTATGCAGCGTGTTATAGGCATTGGCGCGGTGTTGTCTCTTAAGCATCACAGTCGTTGCTTCAATGCGAGGTGTGTTAGGGGTTAGTTCCTCATGTGCTGCCCGGCGTGGGTTTAGGGACTTCTACACGAGAGTAGTGAACTGCGTTCCCAACGCATGGGAGTAATACTTGTAGGGCGACTTGTGGGAAACAGGCGAATGTTAGCTGAACACTTGGGGCAGCTTTTTCGGGCGCTGCCGGATTGGTTGGCGCTCTTCGGTTCGACTCTTTTGAGTTGCCCCAAAGAAAGAACCCGTCAACTTGAGCGTGCGTGTACAGCAACAGTGCGGTGGTTACCATTGCCCATGTCTCTTGTCGGACCTACGATGTGTGATGGGTACAACGCGACTGGTTATGCTCTGCTGCTTGGCGGGGGGCGGGCTGTACGGACAGGCGTGTTTGGCTTCGCGGCGGCGACCGTATGGTTTTGGCCTCACAGAATGTTGCCCTCCAGCGCTATGCCAGGAAGCACCTGACTAAAACGCAGGGTGTGTTGACTTGGATCGGGGGGACATTCATCGTGCGTGTGCATGTGCCGAGTTGGGTTTGCCATGTGTCCGTCATGCGCGGCGTGTTCTGAGCTCGGGTTTGCAGGGATGCGCGAATCATGGCGTGTTACGCCTCATCATCATGGCCATCGTTTTCTGCGCCCTTCTTCACCTACGTTTGGTGTTGCCCTGCCTCCAATTCAGACAAGCGGTAGTCCTTGAGATGTGGCATGATGTGCGAACTGTAGTTAGGTGTGATGCATGGTTTGGCTTGGCTTGTACGGATACTGGCTTGCGGAGGGGAGCGTGTCGACGTGTGAGCCAGTCGACACGCTGGCTGGTGCTGCCGAGTCTGCATTGCCTAGATCCGGCTCCAAAATGAGAAGACGAAAACTCCTTTATAGCGCTGTGAATTTTCCAAACGTGAAGTGTTTCTGGGCGCAAGAACATCTCTTGTGTTGGCTTACCTTGTGTGTCGTACAACTTGTGTGCGTGTTTGTGTCCTGCTCTCTGTTTCCCATGTGCCTTAATTTGTCTTGAGCACTATTGTACTATTAGAACCTTGCGTGATGTGCGTTTTTGGGGGACTTGCCATACCTAACAATGGCACCCCGACTGTCTTGCGATGTGGTTGTGCGTGGTCTTAATAGGCTTATGTCCATTAGCGATGGGATTTTGCATTGCGGCATGTGCAGTGCAACACCTGGCATTCCTATGTTGTCTTTTGCTGGGATTTTAGGCAAGTGCGGTTATGCGTTGCTAGGGTCTGCAGTCTTGGTGTATACATAAGAGGGACATGTTCTTCATGTGCCCTTGCACGCTTGAAGGCTTCACAAGAGAAGACAACACGACGTGACACGCTGATGGACCAGCACGCCCTCCTGCTGAAGATGCATGAATGGCTGGCTAAGTCCTTTCATGCGGCCACTGAAATATAATATTTATCTTTCATTTCCATTTCAGCAGTGCCAAACCGAGGAGTATGTGAGCGTTTGCCGCGTGATGATGATGATGATGATCAACTGTGTTTGTTATGCGTTTTAAGCCCAGTCGGTTTTTTCCGTATAGCCACTAATCCCAATCTGGTTGCAGGAGGATGTAATAGCAATAAGGGTTATCGTTTCCGCCATAAGACAGCTTCGGACAGCCTTGCCGAACGGCATTTGCTGTAAGGGGTACGGAATGTACGGCTCAGACAAGGCTTGTGGGGTCTGCGGCTCGGATATGCTGCTGGAGGTGCCCGACCAAAGCGTGCAAGGTAGGCGAAGAAAAAGAGCAGGATTACACAGTCACGTCGGAGATCCACAAAGCATAGACTGCTCCCCAAGCCGTTAATTCTCCGGACAAGCAGCTTCTGCAAAACCGAGCACGTAGCTAACAAGTCTCAAGAGTAGATCTTACAAGAGGTGGTCGGATGACCGTGTACGCCAGGTTCTGCCACGTCGCCATTAGTAACCAAACTGGCTGTCGTAAACACGAAATCACGACAGGTCCGTACACACCCAGAAATTGCGTATACGTTATTGTTCAATCCCTTACTTGGAGAAGACAAAATTTCAATTGCTAGTACGGGTCTAATACTCATTACCGGTAAACTGACCTGGAACAAGGACCTCCAGAGGATTCCCGAGTCGGCCGCAGCATGATAACAAGTACGAAGGCGGCCCAGCCATGCCGTTTCTCCCTTCGTCCGTCCTTGCACACAGATACCGTACGGTGTCACCGGACAGCCCCTGCAACACCGTAAGCGGCACGCCCGCATTCATAATTGAAGGTTAAGGACACCAGTACATCTATCTTAGCTCATATTGACGGCCTACGGTTAAGCCACAGCCCACAGCCCGCCGCTCCAAAATTATTGCACACCATTTAGGTGGCTGGATGCTTCTTGTGACAAGCCAAAAAAACAGAAACCAAGGGCCACAACTTCGTCGGCGCCATTTTCTTTCTTCGGGAACATGAGGGATGCTAGTGGGATTCCTTGGGAAATCCTATCCAACATCATGCTGCGAGAAAGTGTGGGAGATGGTGCCAAACGGAAGGAAACATGCCGCCTTCCCTTATGATGCGTTCATATATGATGGCCAGAAATATCTGCTTCGCACACCAACACAAAAGCGCCTTATATTCACGCGACATGGGGAGGTAATAAGAAAGCTCCCCATGCCATGCGCACGCAGCCATGACACGCCACACGCACGCACAAATCCGAATTATGAGGGTTCGCATGGATATGACCAGCAACATTTGTTTGCGTTCCAAACCTATCCGCCTGTGTAAAATCCATACCCACTCGAACATGTTGGGCCCCCTACAAGGCACTATTAAGGACCTGTGAGGGTAGCACATCTATTCTCATCATTAATTGGATCAAGACATGCTCAAATGCGCACATTCCTATGACCGCCACTGCATTTCCATCTCGATCGACAGCTATAACCAGTTCAAATGCGCGGCCTAATACACTCCTACGGCGTGCATTCCCCATCCTTCCTGGCCGAACCCTGCGTCTACTTCCTTTCTGCTAGTGCCTTAAATATCCCTTCTGTGGAGATGTGTTCCTGTAAAGCACGACTTCGCATGAGGCAAGCACTACCGTTGCCCACAGAAAAGTTCCCAACGAACATTGCTTGGCCTCCCAACATATTCAGTTTCAGTTTCAAACGTGCTCTTCATTTCAGTGATTAAAACTGACGGTGTTTCCATCACAAGCAAGAAACCTCAGCAGCTTTGAACAACACGCCAACAGCAGCAGCTAAGGCATCATCACCTGTGCCGTACAACATACAAAACGTCCTATCAAATCCTTCCCGGTCATCAATTTCAACACCATGTTGCATACTAAAGGGGCTGAATGCGGGCAAATCAATCAACAAGCAGCCACCGCAGCCAACTTGACGGTATGTATGCGAGGCAACATCTTTCGTGTCGTCGACTGGAGCTTCAGACTGTTGCCATTCCCGCGCAGCTTAAGGCTGGCAGCACTATTGCTGCGCTTGAAGGCGGACGAGACCACAAGCCCATCCCCTTGCTGCGCTGTCCCGCTTGCCTGGTCAGGCGCGCTGTCTTGCACATCAAAGCAAGGAGCTGCTGGTTGCAGCTCCGGTTTGGGGTGCGAAAGGAGAGTTTGCTGGCTTTGCTGGGATCCTCCGCTATGGCAGGGATGTGGCCCGGCAGCGATTACTGGTAGCGGTTGTAGAGGTGGCGGTTGCCGCTGCGGTTGCAGTTGTGGCTGCGGTTGAGATTGCGGTTGTGGCTGCAACCCATTCTCCGCAACCAAGAGACACCGTTCCCACAGCGCTTGGGCTTGAAGCTGAACGCTTCGAGATGCTTCGGTGGCGGCAGCCAGCTGGAGAGAAAGGGCGGAACGTGTTGTCGTACAACAGCTGGATCCGTTGCCGCTCCGGTTTTGAATTGTGTTAAAGGACGGTTCACGAAAGCCCCGGATTACCGTTTGTGGCTCGGAATGCAAGGATGCAGAGGTGTTGCAGCTGGCGTTGCTGCATGCTCCGAAAGACGCCTTTGAAGACGTGCAACCGCCCTGGACGCAGCATTGCGATGAAGAAAAGCTGTTGACTGAAACTGGAGAGTTGGAGCGTAGGCCGTGCACGCTGCTCCGCAGCGCTGGGTGCAAGGCCGCTTGCGATGGAGGAGCAAACACGGAATCCGAGAAGCGCCGGGGCAGCCACTTGCTTAACAGCGCCTGCTTGCTGCGCCATGGAGGTAGTTCCAGTCCGATGGCCCCAGCGTCCTTGTGTAGCGTGCCCGTTAACAAGCTAACCAGCGCGCTAACGGTGCCGATTGTGCCAATGAAACACTCCGGAAGGTTGCTAACGGCCACAGCGTAGGAACTTGTAGAGGGCATGCCTGCCACCGTAAACTGCTCCCGAAAAGCTGGATCAACTATGATGCAGAGACCTGCAGGACGGTTAGGGCGAAACTGGTTGGTACGGGGCACTGTCATCACCGCAGTTGCTTAACGTCGAGTTTCTATGCGGCTAGAATGAAGCACTTTTATGTGAACAATAGGTGATCTAACAAGTACGCGTTGGAGGAAGTACATGGACATGCTCACGTGAACAAGAAGGGGCGCTCAGGTGCCCACCTACGTGGTGAAAGACTGTACTGTGCAGCATCCACAAGATGTCGTTGTAGCGACCAAGGTAAGGATGCTTATAAAGGACAAGTTTCAGCGAATGCCTCACCCGACGAACCCTCCTGGCAAATAAGATACGAGTGTCGAAGGATTGATAGGTAGTCGGTACATTCTGTTCCAACGCTTAGCCCAGTACGCAAGGTGACCAGAAAGCCTCCGTCGGCAAGCCACTCGGCCATGTCCGGGAGAGACGACTGCGTCGGCACAAACTTTTGTAGAGCGACCTGGACTTTGCCAATAGCAGCAACGGCAACGGGGCAAAGCCCATTCCGTTGCTCCGGTGCCTACGACCGCATAAACGGGGAACGATGTCAACACTTGGCAAGCCGATGTCGCTGCCTGGCAAGTTGCTGTATGCACGTACTTGCATCACAGAAGCTTTTAGAAACCGAGTGGTGAAGTTCAGAAGCGTCCCCTTTCTTTCGAAAAATAAATGACGTGGATGCCAAGGAAACTTCTGCAAGGAACCTGACTGGACTACTTTAGGCGTAAGGAGAGGCGCCCACAACAGCACTAGCGTATAGAATGGTTAAGGGTAACACGTTGCAACCTTCGCATCAGCGTATCTTATCTACACTTTCGCAAGGGGGCATGTGACGTACGGAATCATGTGACATGGAGGTTCCTGCAAGGGACCATCCTAGCTGACCAGCAGAAACGTGTACAGACGACAACACAGTCAACTTAAATTGGGTTTTCTGACAGTTAAGCAAAAAGATGACAGTTGACCACCCGTCTACGGGACTAGGCTGGTTACCAGTTGCTTGGAAACGAACTGTCACACACGGAATAGACTTGTTAGCTCTATGTACAAAAGGCCCTGTGATACCTGGATACATAAAGGAGCTGGCCCCAGACGTTATCGTACTGGTTACAGCTTGCCAGGAACCAAGGGCTTCTTTGTCTGTTAAGCTCCTGCCTACCAGTAAGGTTGCATACTTGTAATCCCTATACACGCCATGATTATAAGCTGACACCCAGCATTCAGGGTTTGACGACCCTTATTCTGTTGGAGAAGACTTGTTAAACGGTAGAGGCTGCGTAGGCCAGTCACATAAGATGAAATAAAAGGCTCTTAGGAGCTCTGCATTGAATTGCATCCCGGACAATGGCCAACGACTGCCGTCTGACCCTAGTTTCCTCGTCTTAACTGTAACCAGGTAGTAATGTCTGCGAGTTTAGCTGTATTTGCGTGAGGAACGTTTGTATTGGCTCTGCATAGCTCTCTCGCGAATCGGACCTGCTAACCATACGGATTAAGGCACACCTATCGCAATGAAAAAAACGCGTGCTTCGTAACCTGGCTTGTTCATATCTTGTTTATTTTCAGTATGGTAACTAGGCGCAAGCTAGCTGTGAGCTCGGGATTTCCACGTTATTATGACATGCACAGGCATTGCGTCGGCAGTCAGGCTGGCAAGGGCCAGTTGTCACATTGGTGTCTCTCATTAGGGAAAGATTACAGTTTGTGATTACTTGGGCTATCGTCGTAGCTCCGTCAGACGTGGTCAGAGCAAGGCAAGCAGGCGCAACGCAGCGCCATTGGCTCCCCGAGGAGCCGTGCCCTCCCGCTCCTCTCCACTTGCTTAATCGACGGCATGCTTTTGCACCCGGTCGGGTCGCAGGTCCCCCGCAGGGCCCCCGGGGCCAGCCGCCATCATACATACCGCTATGAACCCCATGCAATGCAATTGCCATAATGCGACCTAGCGTGGCAGCACACCAAGCATCTGCGGGTGGGTGTAGCAGCATTGTGGAAGTGGGGGTGCTGGGTTGTAAAGTGGGTGTACCCCTGCTGGTGCTATGCCGCACTTTACTGTGTTACGTCATTTCAAGTTTAATTGGGCTGCCTGGCGCTGTGCTGCGCTGCGCTGCCTTCCGCTCCGCCAAGCTCGCACGGATTGCAATCCGTCCACTATCCGCCAGCGTGTGGAACGGACATTGAACACAACTACCGGTACCCTTCGAAGCTGCTGACCCAGCCGAGTCTCAGCTTACAGAACGGGGGGAGAGGGAGCGGGGAGCTAACGCCCCTTCCGGAGCCAATGGCGCCGTGTCTAGAGACGGGGATTACCAAGGGCGGTACTTCGTCGGACTGTCCAAAGCGCATTATTTGTATCTTTAACCGGCAGTGCCGTTCAAAGCAGTACAGAAAGAAAGTCATCTGCTACCGGCATTTTACCACCAGGAAGCGCTGACCCACGGGTCAGCCTAGGACTGCACGAGAGGCCATCCAGCGCATCAATTTTAACTATGGAACAACATGGTTAGATAGTGTTTCAGCATTTTGAATGAATTATGTAGCAGGTGCATGTGGTGTCGGCTGATAGCCGAGCAGGTAGGTCGAATCTTGATTTCTTACTAATGGTGCTGCCCCCAGCAGCTGAAGCGTCTCAGCTTGTCCTATCCTGGTTATTGGAAACACAACATTAGGAAAGATGCGCGCGGTTGTACCTAGGTAACGGCGACCTCCACCTATGTCGATGCATTACCTTCCAAACATCCAAGCAAGCGCGCGCCAACGTACATGCGTTTGCTGGCGCTTTTGTACGCTGTCAGCGGGACTATGTCAGGCTATGTGTGATGGAAGGATGTCGCAAGCGGCCATGATGATGACTACCGGTAAGTTGTCGGGTAGTGTTTTGACAGGTGCGTCTGACAGATGTACCCGCCTCGGACGGCTCTAAATGGCTGGTTTGTAGTTACGAAATACCGTGCCCTACACGCTATCCCTATCCTACTGACTTTCTCATAAGCGCGTTGCCAGCATCACAGCCAATACGCAGCATACATACAAGCACAAACGCTCCTCATCAGGTACCGCCACCCCTGCCGCGCCCATCCCTGATTCCTTGACTCGTTCGGACCATCCTAGACTGTCCTAGCTGCGCATTTAACCCATACTTCTTCACTCAAATCACTGCAAGCAAGTAAGCAGGCAAGCAAGCAGCCAGCAGACAACGTTGCTGCCTTCTGTCTGTCCCGCCTCACAGGGATTCCAACCCCAAATTGCAACCCAATCAACCAACCAATCAATCAATCAACCATAGGTAAAGCGGCAGCACCCGCAGCGGCCTAGATGCCGCTCCTCAGCTGCCTCCATCTGCCCAGGCGGTCCTCGTCGTCGCCTGCGTTGTCAAAGCACCACCACCACCACCACCACCACCACCAGAAGCCCGAACCTCACCACTGCTCCAGCTCGGATCCCCTCAACGACCGCCCAGGAGAAGGCTTCGTGCCGCTGCCAGCTGTCCTACCACAGGCGCCTGCTGCCTCGCCCTGTGCCGCTGCTCCCCCCCTTGCTGCTGTTACTGCTGCTGCTGCTGCTACTGCCAGCCCGCTGCTGGTTCGAGACGGCTGGCCGGTTGTCGTCACGGCTGTTGCACAGCGCACAGCATCAAGCGGTGGCAGCAGCGGGAGTGACGCGGGTGTCGGCAGCGGCTTGGAGGAGGCTGCTATGAAGAGTGTCTTTTCGTCGTCATCTTGTGGAGGCCGCAGCCGCAGCAACGGTAGCATCGGTGCTGGCAGCGGCGGCGCCGCCGGCGGTGTTGCTTCTGATCTGTTACGGTCATACAGTGTTGACACCGCGACCGGGTCCATTATTGGCGGTAAGTGGCGTGCACGTGCCGCTTGGTGAGCTGGGAGGTGCGATTAAGCGGGTTGGCAAAATGGCGTATTTGCTATTTTGCTATTTTGATTGCTCGTGGCGCATGACATGTGCATGATCTGTCCACCAGCCTGCAATCCCACGTCCCACCGCCCTCCCGTCCTCTAGCATGTTCCAGAAGAACTGATCCAAACGAATCAGCCCTTCCTACTTCAATCACCGTGACCTCCGCATCGCTCTAATCGTTTACCCTTCGCCGCCCGCCATCCATAGGGGAGTTGGTGGCCCCCGCAGCGGCCGCAGCGACGTTTCCGTCCACACTGCTGCCGCCTGAGGACGAACCTGAGTAAGTGCGAAGGAGCGGGCTCAAAGGGAAAGGAAACACTAACCATGGGAAGCGGGTCAGGACCGGCAGCATGCGGGTTGCTGGGGGCCCGCATGCATAGTAGCACGCATGCATGTGCTTGTCCCAATCAATCACCCACCCACCATGCATACCTCCCATGCTGAACCACCGGTACGTTTTAAGCGCTCCATTAGTGCAGACAAGAGCTCCCTTACAAAGACGCGACTAACAACCGCTAACCACCGCTGCCGTACAGGCTGCTGTTGTGGCGGCGTTTCCGTCTGACGCAGTACCTTTCTGCCGTACCTTCCCGCTGGCGGCGCCTGGCGGCGCTGTTCGAGTACACGGTGGTGGCTCGACCCAGCAACGACCCATCACTGGGGCTACAGGTGAGGGTGGGGTGGGGCTTGGGTTGCTGGGGCGTGTGTGAGGAATCGTTGCTGCCCGCCCTGCTGCTGCTTCGTTCCCTGCCCCCCTGCCCCCGCCCATGCTGCACCTCTGTTGCCATGTCGCTCGGCCGTCCTGCCGCCCGCCCTGACCTCCGTTGCCGTTCTGCTTTGCCGTGCCTGCTCGCATCTGACTGCTTAGTTTGCTTCTTGGATTGCTGCTCCCTCCTAACCTTTCGCTTTCCTGCTTCCAGGGCTGGCGCAGCGGCGTGCTCCGTCGCTGGGAGCTGATGTTTCCTGTGCTGACCATCTTCGATGCGCCGGGTCGGGCGCTGCCGGGGGAGGGATTCGCCGAGTGGCCGCTGTTCGATGTGTTCAAGGTGGCAGGAGGGGGGGAGGGGGGGAGGGCGGGGAGGGAGGGGGGGAATGTGGGAGGAGGGTGTGGCTTGAGGATGGGGAAACAAACTAGGGAGCATGCTTGTCAAGGAAGGATGAAGGAAAGCTTGCTAGTTGTCCACTGTCAAGGTGGGCGGGGGAGTTGTGTTAGGATAGGCTGGCTACTCTTGCTACCTGTAACCAACTCATTGCCAACGCACTACCGCCAGAAAACCCTAAAACCTTCCCCGCGACCCCGCCCTCCAATCTGCATTCAGGTTGACCTCCGAGGTATGGACAGCTGGTCCGACTACCTGGCATCCCTCAAGCGAGGTGACCGCTGGAACGTCAAGCAGAGGGCCAAGGTACGTTGGATGCAAAGAGGTTTGCTTTGGCAGGAAGTGTGTGGTGTGAACGGTGTCACACGTACCAGGCTGAAGTTGGGGTCAAAGAATCACCAAATAAACCACTAGTTAGGACAAGACAAGGAAAGTGGGGTGCGGTTGTAACACGATGTATGGGTGTATTGCAGCGTGTAAGCTGTTGATACCCACCCATGAACACCGGCATGCCCCTCTCTCCGACCCCCGCCCGCCTCACTCCTCATCCCCCCCATTCTTCCTCTCGTCGCCCCGCCTGCTGTACCCCAACCCTCAGCTGTTCCGTTCCTTCGAGACGGAGGGGCGGCTGACGTGTGAGGTGGTGCAGCTGGGGCCGCAAGCCTTTGGCAGCAGCAGCAGCAGCAGCAGGCACCAGCGACAGAACGGGACAGCGGTTAAGGGCACAGCTGCTTCCCTCACAGCAGCATCAACCGCTGCGCC